TCGAAAAACGACCTTTTCAAAGTATCTCCCCAGTAAAATTTCCTTTTAGAAAAATTGCTATCATTAAAAGTTGAGGCAAATTTTCTGGTAGAAAAGTTGTCAACAGAAAAAAAAAATATTATACAAGTATATTTTCATACTTATTACCTCAGAAAGTATTAACGTTATCCTGAATTTGTTCTTTAGAATATTTAAGAAACAAGCAGCTCTAAAATTTAATATCCATGTTATTTTTCTCACCCTTATTTTTGGAGGAGAGTAGTGATGCATTATAAACAAGTCGCGCGCCGTACCGCCACACAAATGATACTTCACTACTCTCTTTCAAACCAAACTTAAAAGTGAAATATCTCGTCAACGGATCTACGGAAATCAAAATTGTCATCACCAAAATTTATTTTAACTAATACTCCATCTATTATGGACTTTTTAATATAAGTTGCTATTTGAAAATCAGAAGTATGTAGCGGTTTTACCCCCAAAAATAAGGGTGACAAAAAATAACATGAATATAAAATTATAAAGTATCTTGTTTCTTAAATGTTCTAGAAAATAAATTCCAGAAAAAATTAATACTTTCCAAGATAATGAGTGTACCCATTTAAATGGATCACCTGATATGTCTTACATTTTCCCGTTTTTTTCAGCTTTTTCGCATTTGATGAGAAAACTCTTAAGAAAATTGAAAAATTACATGTTTAAGGTACCTCCCCACACCAATTTCCTTTCAAAAAAGTTGCTACACATAAAAATCGGAGCAAGTTATCTGGTAGAAAAGTTGTCCACAGAAAAAAAAATAAACATCTTTGTAAAACCATAAGCTTCTTCGCTCCACTCAGAATCTAAAAAGTACAAATAAGGTGACTTCGCATAGGTATATTTTCACATCCAAATTTTCTTCAAGATTTACAAAAGAGCGACGTAGCCAATTATTCAGAAATTATTTAGAGAGAAATTAGAGATGATAAATTTTAAATTCTCATTATTTATATAACCAACCAGTAATGCCTGTTGTTTAATTTCAATTATAATTAACAAATTGTATTGAAAAAAAAAACCACTTGTTTACAGCAGAGAACCGTCACTAAAGTGGAATTTCTCCCCTCTCCCACACTTTTTTATTATAGTACCCCCTTTCAAACCATGCAACCAAAACATTAATACATGAATACAAAGGGAGATAAACTACGAGAGTACCAGTTTTTGAAAGAACGATATTAAGAAAGCGAGGGTTTTAAAAAAAGAAAAAATTATGATCTACAAAAACTATTATACATTAATTTCCTGGCTAGCCTAGAATAGGAAGGACATAATATGTGGGTGTATAACAAGCGAAAGATAAATTGATATGAAAGGTTATCGTAAGAGTGATCAAAAATCATTAGAAAAAACCTCTTCAGAGATATATTATTAATTCAAAGAGACTAAAATTCTGACCAAGACCAAATGCCACTCTAGACATTGACTTTAAATAGTAAACAATAGAAAAATATTTAAAGTAGTGAAGTACCCAAATAGTCTGATATATAGGCGTAAAAAGATAAAGCAAAAACTGCAGTATTTTTGTCTTACTTTTGATGTACCAGTACTGTATTAGTATATTTGTTGTTATGTTTTGATATAAAACAATTTGTTTTATTTATACTTAATACTTAATACTTATAGGCATATACATAGACATAAGACAAGATTAAGCTGTGTATTGTAGTAGTTGAATTCAAAATAATTGCCGAATTAGTACTTATATAAAACGAACGTCTATTATTTTTAGCAAGCTCACATTATATTAGCTATAATCGCAAAATAATACATCATTTTTAAAAAATCGAGTTTTTATTATTTCTTTTATATACGTTATTACATGTATACTCCAGTTCTAAAAAACAAGTTTTTTTTTAACTACATGAATAGTATTTTCCAAACGATTTAAAAAAAAAACGTCAATGAAAGTAATTTTTTATATAGTAAATTTATTGGTTTTACGATAATTATTTGTTTTGTTTTTTTTTATTATTTTTTTATCTATATTTATAACGTAGGCATATTCAAATAGTATCTATCAACATTTACAGTTTTTATCTCGTACTATCTATCTTAATATTATTCCAGCACGTGTATTTCAAGTGTTATGCCATATTGTTTAATTACAAATATGAATAAAGCTTCAACATCTGAAATTATGGGCGTTTCTTAAAACTTATAAAGGTGTTAAGTGTAAAGGTATTAAGGTATATGACTTCAACATATAACTTGATATCATCGAAGATAGACGCAGATTGACGATTAGATGGTGAATTTCGAAACAACCATCCGTCTAGTGAAAAAGCTACTCCGTATTTATGGTAGAGATAATCGAAATAGAACACCCCCAGATTTTTTAGATTCTGAGTGCAACGAAGAATACATTGGCTTTACTAAGATATAAATTTTTTTTTTTATGTCAACACTTTTTCTACCAGAAAACTTATGTAGACGATGTAGACCTTTTTCTGAAAAGAAATTTTCTTAGGGTGGTACTTTAAGGAGGTAATTTCGATTTTCTCAGGAGTTTTCTCATCATATGTGAAAAACCAGAAGAAAACTGAGGAAAATCAGGAAAATGTACTGAATATATTAGTAAAATATAACGATTTTTTCTGTCTGTAAACAACTTTTAGAACAGAAAACTTGCTCAGATTTGTTAAGTGTAGCCCATTTTCTGATTTTTAAAAATATTCGTAGGAACTTGAAATTGAGAAAGAAAATTTATATTTTTTCCTTTTCTAGAGAAAATTGTAAATTAATTGAAAATCTATGTAAAATGTTGAGCTATTGATAGATATTTTAATTTTGCGAGTTTTTAACGTAATTTTTATTCGATAGCTACTTAGTGGATAAAATTTTTAGTCATACTTAGTCATACTTAATGATCAAAAAAAAAAAAATTGAGTGCATTATGTAGTTTTTTTTACAGATGTTTTAAAATCAAATTTTAACGGAAGTCGTAAATATTACAGCTTTTAAAAACATATATAACCGAACACGTCTTTGAATCTTTTTGTTAGCATTGGTAATCGTTGCTTATAGATATAAATTAAATAACTTTGTTTATCCTACCTTCCCAACTTTCCACCTTTAATAGTGCCATTCCTATCCAGTATCTGCTTTTTTATATATTTAACAGTTTATTCTCAGGATTCCTACTTTTTGTAACAGAAATATTCCTCTAATCAAAAAATGGAACAAGATTGATTTTGTTCCTTTTGATATACAGGGTGTTTTTTTTATCATGAACATTAGCCTTCCCTACTCTTCCGGTCTAAACGTTAGACTAATATAACTTATAAACAGTAAATCTGATATTAGTGTCATGCATATCAAAATTTCTATATAAATAGTCTCTACTCAAATCTGTGTTTAAAAGGGGGGGTTCCTATTTTAAATTAAAAAGTATATACTTTTTTAAAGTATATGGATAATAGGGGTGACAAATTAAAAATGGTTTTAAAATAAAGCTTAAACGATTCCATTCTGAAAAAACAGAAATCAAATTAACTTAAAAATATCCAAGATTATTGCTGGTTCATGATAAAAAAAAAAAAATCACCTTGTATAGTTACTCTACAGTTACTGATAAAGAAATTAATTTTTTGATATCTAAAGAAGTTTTTATAATAATTGGGAAAATGCGTTGGATTTTTTTTTTCATAAGTGTTTTAAGATCAAATTTTTACGAAAATCGTAAATATTATTTCAAATAATATATTGTATTTTACTGAACTCCGCCTCAAATCGATTTTTGTTATCAATGGTTTATCGTTGATTAAAGGTATAAATTAAATAAATGTATGTATCTTGCCTGCCCGATTTTTCACCTACAACAGTGACGCATCCGTTCCTACTGTCAGCTCTTTTTTTTTCTCTTCGATATTAAAATTAAAATTAATAAATTTATCCGTATTAAGAATATTACTTAGGTAATTGCCTGTTTATACTAGTAAATTAAGTTTACAAATCGTTATATACATGTACGCGGACACTAATAAAAGAAAAACCAACGTCTAATAAATAATGATGACCATCATAAAGAGTAATTCAGTGTTATTTGTCAATATATTGTGTATATAGCTTTTGATATTTTATGTATTTTTATCAGAATTAATTTGTTATCGATCCTGCAGGTACCCAGGTGAAGTCTTCGGCACTTAACAAATTACAACTGTACTTATACTTATCTTAAACTAATCTTATATAAGTGTTTTCATCAAACATTATCGTTATTGTTACTCGGCAGTTAATATACGTTAGTTTATCACCATCACCATGCAATACGTGTTTTAACTATGTATTTTATGGAGATAGTTTAAAAAAAAAAACACTTATATTATAATTATACGTGCACAATCAATTAAAATACTAGAAAAAAAAACCATCATTGCTTTTGGTGATTTTTACGGAAAACCATAGTAAAAATGTGTTGAAATAATTAATTATAATAAAGAGTATTTACAAGTGAACAATTTTGTCATCGGTTCTTACTACTCCAGGCTACCCAAAGCGGAAAAGAATATAGGGAGGCGATTAAGTTGAAAAATATCAACACTCGTTTTTCGATTTACTTTTATTATAGCTTATGTTGACAATGGCTGCAATTAATTTATTGAAATTTACGTTACATTATAGTTTCGCTCGTAGGTACTCATATATTTGATTCTCGGCATCTCAGAACAATCTAAAATATATTAAATATTCGTCCCACAGACTGACTGACTGATGATTTTATAATGTTAGCGATCGAATAGGTACTTACTAGGTCAGAGTGAAGCCCTTCATTAAACTTACATTTTTTTTTTTTTTTAAATTTTAATTTGAATGTGGAAATCGTATTTTAATAATACAGTGTTATCTATATGGTAGGAGGTTTACTTAAGAATCATACTAAAGAATCGAAGCAAGTTTTTTGGTAGAAATATTGTGCACAGATAAAAAATAAATATCTTTGTAAAACTATAAACTTCTCCTCTCGTTCCACTCAGAATCTAAAATGTCAAATACAGGTATGTATAACCATTATATCATATCAAACATTCTTTAAGAAAGACAATGTAGAGATATTTAATACAGCACACAATATCAGAACTTCAAAAAGCTATAATTTTGAAACTTAGTCCGCTTAATTCTGATTTCACCATCGTTCTTAAATTGACAATATACTCATACATATGTTCAAAAAAAAACAAATTTAAAAATTAGATTTGTTCTACATGATTTTTTTACTAAAATCATTTTCATCAAAATTTAATAATAAAATTCCTTTATAAAAAAAATAAATACTAAATTGAACACTAGTTTTTTTTTTACCACTTAATGAACATTCTATTAAATTTTCACGCATTTCTGTCAAGTCTCACAATTTTACAACACAGTACCTACCGAATAAATATTACGTATATAACTCTTAATTTATAATGGCTATAAATATCTCAAAAATAAATTTTAAATTTTAAAGGCTCAAATTTTTAGAAAACTTTACCACGTCTAGAAAATGTTAAATATACGTTTTTTTTCAAATTTCATGTCTATAAAATTAATACGAATATTTTTAACTGAATGTCGATAAAAATATTACAATTTTATAAAAAGCCTAAAAATGGCTCAAATATTTTTAAAATTTTACCATGTCTATAAAAGGCAAATATGAATGTTCTATCCAAATTTCAAGTCTTCACGAATATTTTTCCATTTGAAAAACTAAAAATTGTTCCAAAAGTACTTAAGAGTATTTCAGAGCTCTGGAGGATATTTCCTTTCAGAAATGGTGCCGTGTATACATATCAGAGCAAAATTTCTGATAAAATTTTTGTACATAGTATAAAAAAATAAACATCTTTGTAAAACCAATACCTTTTTCGCTACACTCAGAATCTAAAATTAAGATAAATTTAATACTTTTCGAGATATTGCAAAGGGTATACAATATATTCTCGTGAGACACAATGCATATTGTTTAAAGAATCTTACATCTCTACTGTTTTATAGTTTTGATATATTAATAGGCTTCTACAAGAAAGTCACCCACATGCAGTGAAAACATTTTCGTCACAAATGAAAGTATCCGTATAATTTATATCAAAAAATTAACACAAGTTTTACTTCTTTATTTACAGAACAATCAACTTTGTGAAATTAAAAATTGAAATTGACTCCAACGACAATGGATTTTAACGAGTATAGAAAAAGAGGTAAATATTATGAATAATTACACAAAATAATACAAATTATTAGGTATGTACTATTAAAATTATCTTGTAGTTTTGTACGGTAATTTATTTTTTTATATTCCTGTATATTCTCATAAGACATACAAATAATTTATTTTTATTCTAGTTTTCAACAAGTTTTAACTTGTACCTGTACATAATACCTATTTATACATAATACACATTGTGGTTATTTCTTTACAAACGTTTTATACGATATTTTGTTTTACAACTAGGTAATTCATTAATAAATATTTCGACAACAATTTTATAATTTTATATTTCTTCAATTATGTAAAATTTTCAAATTTTTTCAATTTGTACCTTTAACGATAGGGATTTTGTGTTAATATACTGCGCCTGGTGCTCATTTAGAGGGAATGGATATGGTCGTTTTAACGCACGATTGTGTTCGCGGGAATAACGATAACTCACTTCTTAATTTAATATTTGTATACAATTTCTTTTCAAACTAATAAACAACAATATTCCACGGTAATTTAACTTCGATTTTTTTTATTTGATTTCAAATAATAATAGTATAAAACATTTACTAAAAAAGAACTTAAAATGTACTATTTTTAAAGATACATAATAAAAACAAAGTTAAATTGAGACTGTAGAAAGTTTTCTTCTTTCTAACAAAAACATAATCGTCCCCTTAAACTGGAAGTATTGTTTTAGCATAGATATAACATTTCAACCGGTGGCATAATATTTTCATTTTATAGATTGAATGTTATGGTTTTAATGACGAATTGTAGTTTTTTATCTATAGTACCGTTTATAAATCTATATTAACCTTAAGTATTGTTATTAATATGATATAAAACTCGTTTCAGGAAAAATAATGATCGATTACATAGCCGATTATTTAGAGACCATACGGGAGAGACGCGTTTATCCAAACGTACATCCCGGATATCTAAGGAATTTAACGCCAGACTGTGCTCCCGTAGATCCGGAATCTTGGGATCATATTATGGAAGACGTTGAAAATATTATTATGCCCGGGGTAAATCTTCAAATGATACGAAATACCAAATTATTGTTTGATAAGCAGTTTTTTTTCTTTTTAGATTACACACTGGCAATCGCCACAAATGCACGCTTATTTCCCAGCGCTGAATTCGTTTCCGTCTTTACTAGGCGATATGCTGGCAGACGCCATAAACTGTTTGGGATTTACGTGGGTAAGATTAAAATATCCGAGTTCTCCATTCATTAAGAACACCTGTATCTATAATTACTTCCGTTGTAGCTACAATTTTTTTTAAAAACTTTTAAGGCCAGTAGCCCAGCTTGTACTGAACTAGAAATTGTAGTGATGAACTGGCTCGGAAAAATGATCGGACTGCCCGAAGCATTTCTACACACACACAACGAGAGCAAGGGTGGAGGAGTTATTCAGGTATATCGCACAATTAACTTACGATCATTGCACGAACCGTTTTTAATTTTCGTCCGATGATAATGGCTTATATAGACTACCTCAAGCGAAGCAACTTTTGTTTGCTTGTTGGCTGCTCGAACTCACGCTATCCAACGACTACAGAAAATAAATCCAGAATTAGAAGACGTGGACATAAATAGCAGACTGGTGGCCTACTGTTCTGATCAGGTATAGCTATATTACAACTTAAAATGATAATTTTGTCAACCTTAATAATTTAAATTATTTAGATAATTATTAATATCAAAACTATTATGGTAAAATAGAGTTTGTGCTACCGTGCGCAGTGACCATAAATCCCTATAATTAGCATAACTACTTAAGTAGTTATAAAATTAACCATAAGGAAAGTCAGACGCGTCAAAATGTTTTTCCCATAGGCGCCAAAATCATAAATATGGTCCTGATTAAAATATTTAATCATAATACGCACAATAATATGCAATAAACCGGGTTCGTCGTCACATAGTAATTACACTATGCCCCCCGCGGTCTGCGAATAAAGACGGCCGAAATAACTATTACCACATACATAATGAATTATTAAATTGTCAAGTCAAATATTATCAAACACAAATATTTTCGTATCAGTACACCACTTTATCCGTAACGTTACTAATGAATTTGTATAGAACAATTAACTAGATTTCCTTTTTAATTTGTATTTATTAATTATTAACTGTTTATTATTTTTATTTGTGGTTTCGTATAGTAAGTATTCGCACTTGAAAATACAATATTACGTGTAGGTTTATTTCGAATGTTTATAAAGACTATATTATAGTTAGAAGCCCTAGTTTTTTAACTGTCCTGGAGCCGTTTCCCTTCCAGCTACGCTACTGAGTATATGGTGTCTACAAGCAAAGGAATAGATTTTCTTACGATTTATTTTTGTAATGTCATGCAAGCTCCAAATACTTTATCCGTGTTACTTGCTGTCATATGGAAACACCTAGACGTTACTTAATTTGATAAGCCCGAATTCTTGATATACTCATAGACAATATTTGCTTGAGATTCTTCAGTTGCTGATTGAATTTCTGTGACTCCAAGTAGTTTAAAAATACCTCCACCAGATATTGGAATTGCCAGTCAATCAAATTTTTTCTTAATAGTCAAAGATTGTAGCAAGCAAACTAATATTAACTAGTATAAAATTAATTAGGCAGTTTTATTGAAAGTTATTTGTGTTCTAAAAAACATATTCCCATATTCAATCGTGTGTTATAATAATAATAATATTTGACCATGTAACTATCCTATCAAAACTTCCCAACAAAAACCTTCCGTCAACACTGTGTGAAAACCTTGCTAAAAAAAAAAACTCAAGTTAGAAAAGTTGAGATATCAAAATAGGCTAAGTAATTTCTAAGAGGCTTCATAAGTTCATTAGTATAGAAATTGTTTATAAATGTTTGTATTTGATGAAGTGCGATAATTTAATACAAATAATTTAACTTATCTTGGCGGCTACTAATATTTACGACTATAAATAAACATATAATGCTGACATGGATATTTATATCCCCACTTTATTATTTATTAATATTATCATAATACTATTTAAGTACATACTATGACTAGTCACCAAGCTAAGTTAAATTGTTTGTAATTCAGAGGTTTCATTGTACATGCCATAAGTAACCAAAATAATGGAGTGAGCACGCTTAGTGAATCATCCTGTATATGGACACATGCAAATCATTTATTATTAAAATCGTTAACTTCGTTATTAAATGAACTTGTGGATCATTCAGTGATCCTTTATCTCTAAAAATTGTATTATGTGCTCATGTTCGTTCTATAATTTGGAATATTTTCCTTTAATTTAGACAAATAATACTTCAAAGCAAATAGAAACGATTGAATCAGTTCGGTATAACTTTCTACGATTCATCTCCTTTAATTTTAACATTTATAGGCCTTCCTATGGTTTGTACGAATTAGTGTTAAAATGTATGCATCTCACTCCACTTAAAAATAGACGCACTCTATTATTATCTACATTTTTACATAATTTACTTATAGGGATGATCGATTGTCAAGAGGTTCTTCCCTTATTCATTTTAAAACAAACTTCCATAACACCAGAAATAGTGATTTATTCTATCCCATCCCTTATAAAACAAACTATATAAAAAAAATAGTCACTCTAATATCTTAATGGTTATCTCGAAATCGCTGTAATCGCTTAAAACGTCTCATTTTAACATCTTCTTTGTTGTTATTATTACGTATAAGAATCTCTTCAATTTGTATCTGTAACTTTTCAATTTTAATATGTACCTTAGCTCCTAAATTTGTTGTGTTTATGCTGTTTATTGCTGTATATATCAGTGTTCATATACCATGTATAATTTTTACTATGCTTGCATTTTAATATGTTAATATATATTAATATGTATAGGACTCAGGTCCGTTTATATGAATAAATAAATAAATAAATAAATATAGGCACATGAAAGTCTTTCCGGTACCATCGAAAATTTCTCCCATACCACTTATTTAGAAATATATGAAAGAGAAAGAAATAAATTAGTGTGACAATTTTAAAATACTTTTATTGGAGTTTGAAATATGCTCACGACGTTATACGTTCGTGCTATAGGTAATTTTCAAACATATTTCATATGAACCAGTAAATATTATATTATGTAACAAATTAAGATTAAATTTAATTAATTGATAAATAAATAATAAATTATGTGTTACGTATATCCAATAAACAAATTATTTTTATGTTGACAGGCTCATTCTTCAGTTGAGAAAGCCGGTCTCATTGGCCTGGTAAAAATGCGATTTATCGAAAGTGACGATTCGTTGTCTTTGAGGGGAACTCAATTGATGGAAGCTATTGAAATCGATAAAAAACAAAACTTGATACCATTTTTCGTAAGTCCCTTATAATATACTTAAATATGAAATTAAATAAAACTGAGTTTTCTCAATATTCGTAAAACGTATAGATTTCTTTAAAATACAGATGCTTTTTTCTGTTACCTTCTATATTATAGTATATTAGTCAGTCCTCGAATTGGGGGGACGGAGTACCTCAACTAATATTTCAGAAATGTAAGCATACCTCTACTATTAATTTGAAGTGAAACACTTTGAACGTAGTAGTGGATACAAGGGGTGACGCCAGGCGTTCACTCCCCCCCTCCCTTCGACCTTGTTTTTTTACGTAATTCTTATACTTTACAATTGTTTATATAATACATATATATTTTTTTAATAAAATTCACGCCCCTTTAACAACCTCAAGATCCACTACTGATGGGAAGGTACATATTTTAAATATTTATCAAAATGCATTAAAATTTAACTTTAAATCGTGTACAAAAAAAAATTACTTTAAAAAAGTAATCTTTTTTCCCATTAATTCAAATTTCCAAAACAATTGTAATCACATACAACCAAATAACATCCACAAAAACTTGAAAGTTCAAATAGTTATAACTTATAAGTTATAAGCCGATAATTTAAAAATATCCAGAATGATTTGAAAACTATACCATGTCTGGAAAGAGCCGTACATAGGAAATTATACCTATATATTTATTATATGCTATATTTGTATTTACGGCCTCTACGATTATTTTTTACTGAATAAATATAATAATATATAGCAGAAACCGTTAGTCGTTACTGTGTAAATGTAATATTTAAAAGTTTCCTAAAGTATTTTCTAGAGTTTTCCCCATGATTAATGCTAAAAAAAAAAAATTAAAAAATAACCTCATTACACCAAACGACATTTGTTTACTAGAAACCATCATTCTTTTCTAAGTTATTAATCAGGGCAAGAATTCTGGATGTTCTCATTCAGAAAAATAAATATCATAGTAGAATCATAATAGGTAGTAATCATAGCAAAACTAAAATAAATATTATTTATTATATAATCAAAGAGTTAGCCTGTAGTAGGTAATAGTATTAATGTTTATTTTCGGAAATTATTAACTATTGTATTATTTTTAAAAATTGGTATAGGGGGGAGGTATTAGATTAAGTGCAATAAACGCAAGAGACGCTTATTTTCTTAAGTCTTATATTTTCTCTTCTTTTATTTTTTTAATTCGTGCACTGATATTACGACTAAAATGGTTGAAACTTATTACATTATTAAAAATATTGTGTACTGTTTAAATAATTTATCACTAATTTTTATATATTATTAATAATTATTCTTCCAATAGCTATGCGCGACGTTGGGTACAACAGGTGCTTGTGCATTCGATAATCTAGAAGAACTCGGACCTATATGTAAAAAAAAATATATTTATATAAATCGGACGATATTTAAGAAGAGCTGCTGGCATTTATTGTCTCAGATAACATAGCAAAATTACGTTACCTAATTATTAAAATGCAAACTGTGACCTGGAGGGGCCACAGTTTTGCTGCGAGGGTTAGATAAGAATTGGTTTTCAAACACAGATTACTTAATTCAAAGATGGGAATATTTTCTAGGGCAGTAGGTTACTATTTTTCTGAAATATTGTTAAACACAAACGTTATATCTATTTTAAAAATAATGAAAACTCACATTACTGTAAATTTTCTATTTAATAATATTTGAAAAAAAAGTAACCTACTACATTCGAAAATAATTTCATCTAAACATTTTGCAATCAGTGTTCAAACACTAAAATTTCAACCAAAACGCCACGATGTATGGTCTAAGTAACGTAAATTATTATTTTACTATGTTTCCCGTTAGTTTGACTGAGGCTACAGTAAATGCGAGTATGATCTCCTCTTAATTTGTTCTCATATGTTATTAAAAATTAAAAAATAATTATTTAAGGTCACGCCGAGGATATGTGGTTTCACGTAGACGCGGCTTACGCGGGAACAGCGTTCATATGTCCCGAATTTCGTCACTGGCTCACCGGTGTCACGTACGCCGATTCCATCGCGTTCAACCCGAGCAAATGGATGATGGTTCATTTCGATTGTACAGCCATGTGGTAAAATAAAAAACTTACAAAATAATAACAATAATAGATACTACACGAGTTTATTATTATTATCAGGGTAAAAAACAGCGAGTGTCTCCATCGAACTTTCAACGTCGAACCGTTATATTTGCAGCACGAAAACTCAGGTGGGCATACCTAACTAATAATATTATTTTTTCTTAACTTTTATCAACGAAAATATATTATCTAATGATATAATTATGATAACAAATTATCAATTACCTTGTATAACTTTCAGTGGCGTTGAAATCAAATTTTACAGATGTTGCAAAGCATACATTTAGTGCCCTCCCCCAACAAAAACAGTCATAATATACTTCTTGTATTTTCATTTCATAATATACTCCTATTTAATGAAAATGTAATCTCTGAATTGATAATTTTATAATAACTTTCCCTTTGAACAAGAGCCATATTAAATTGTATTGTTGTTATTTGAAAAAAGAGAATCTATACAATCTATAAAGAAATCTAATGTGTCTGTTGATAAATGTTGAGTTATGATTCTACTCTTTTTTTGTTTCATATTTCCACTCTGAACACATTGTGATCTCTCTGGCAGAGGGGAAAAAAATTATTGTTCAATACATTATTATTTAGATTGATTCACGTTTTCGAAAAAGAGACGAAAATAATCATTAAATTTAACTGCAAACCTTAAACCCCCTCCCCCTTTACAGAAATCACTTGACCTCCGCCAATTATGTCCCTGATACAATTATAAATATAACTTCACTCTAAGAGTTGCCTATAAAACATAGGTCATAGGTATATATAAAAAAAAGACATCCAGGGATAAATGGGGACGGGTACAGCCACTGTTATATATAATTTAATGTATACCATGTAAGCAACGATTAACCATTGCTTACGAAAAAACGATTCTGAGTAGAGTTCAGTTGATAATGATACCTTATAAACAATGTATATGTCATATTATAGTAAGATAATTAAATGGGCTTTATATATTTCCTTTAATAATATTTGTTTAATGTTGTACCGATTTTCCCTGATTTTCTACTTTTTTCCCGATTTTTCACATTTACTGGGCAAAACCCTTGGGCAAATCGAAAAATAACCTCCTTAAAGTACCTTCCCATAACGACTTGATTCCAGAAATGGTGGTACACTTAAGAATCGGAGCAAGTCTTATGATATAAAAATTGCGCACAAAAGAAAAATAATAATAATAATAAACATCTTTAAAAAACCATAAGCTTCTTCGTTCCACTCAGAATCTAAAATATTTAAAATGTAATAACTAACGTAAATAACTCATCGGTTTTGTATACTAATTTTTTTTTATCAGGTCTCGCTATTGATTATATGGTAATTACATTTAAATTTAAAAAATTATTATTTATTACAAATTGTATACTTCACTAGCCGACGATTTTGATTTTGTATAGCACTGGCAAATACCACTGAGTAAACGGTTCAGAGCACTGAAACTGTGGTTCGTTATTCGTTGTTTTGGAATTAAAGGTCTGCAAAAACATATCCGAGAAGTGAGTGTAATTTACTATAGTAAAAATGTCAAATAAAAATACAATTTCGTTTTATGTAAATGTAGGGCGTGCGTTTGGCTAAAAAATTCGAACTGCTCGTATTGAACGACGGAAGATTCGAGATACCCGCGGCTAGACATTTGGGCTTAGTGGTTTTTCGTCTGCGTGGCGAAAATCATTTGACCGAAAGACTATTGAAGCGTTTGAATTCCAAAGGAAGAATTCACTGTGTCCCAGCATCTCTGAAAGGTTATAATATTAATATGTAATTTTTTTTTCTTCTTCTATTTAGTGGTTTTAGATATTATAAATATTTCGAATATTGTATTAAAATAGTATTAATTTGTGCATATATATAAACCTTGCAATTTATAAGCATTTTTTTTTCTCGGCAGGAAAATACGTTATTCGTTTTACTGTCACGTCGCAGTATACTACGGTTTCGGACATTACGAGAGATTGGGCCGAAATCAAAGCGACAGCTACCGAAATTATAAATGACAAAAAAGCCGACACAACCTACAATAAAACAAAAGTTTCGCTAGCTGGTAATGCTCAAGTTTAATCATATATTTATTTCGTTATATTTTTTTTAAATCAATATTATAATAACAGGCGCAGGCTGGCTGGAGTAGGTACCAACAATCTGATAATCTTATCTATCTCGGTATTCGCCCTTTCAGCTCATATCGGTGGGAACTATAGATATTTTTTTAGATTCTAAGCGAAGCGAGGAGTTCATTGATTTTATAATGATGTTTTTTTTTTTTTTGAGGTACGCCTATTTGTACTTGCAGAGTTTTAAGCTAATCTATTGTATATACTACTATATTATTATACGGATAGACTAAATTAATATAATCATCATCTTGTGTATAGAACAAATATATAACGATTTTGATTAAAGGTAACAGGAGAAGAATAATGGAAGAGTCCACTTATTTAAATTTTAAGATTTTAATGTAATATAATATGTATTATTTATCATAACATAATTATGTAATTTTTTTTTTTTTTGTCAAAATTAAAGATACCTATAGTTATTATTTGTAACAAAACTTTTTATATTTTTATTTATATAATAGCGATATTTGGTACATTCAATTATTTTTTTAGGGACATAGATATTAAATTTTCGGTTTACCCCGTTTTTTTTAGTATGAATACGAGCGATAATCTTTTTTTTATTATATTAGTCAAATCAATTAGATACACCAGAGAAAAAAATATCTGTTTAAATATTTAAGTAGTCAATAATATAATATACTTCAATAGTAAATTTTAAATACATAATGTTACGTAATGTAAACTTGAATGACAGACACATATATTTACGTTACAAACAAAACCTGCTGAAAACGAAAGTCGAATCTGAAATTTATTGGATCCTAGAACCGATAAATGTACAAGATGCGATCAGATTTAACACAAACTGATATCTGTACTTACTACACATATTACAATAATATTGATGAAAAAATGGTCTTTGGCTCATGTCAAATTGATAACATTAATTTAAAGTCGGTTTGTTATATATCAAGATTACATATCTATCTATATATATATATATATATATAGATATTTATAATAATTTTTAAGATATCTCTGTAAATTTCAGATAATGCCACTGTAGGGCACATATATCGCTCTAAAAACCATAAAATTTCGAACTAAAATATTACATACATAATATAGTGAATTTCGAAGTTTTGTTAAACTCGTATACCTACCTACGTAGGTACCCATTCCTATATTATAAAAGAAATATGATATACTAAAACAAAAACTTAAAAAACGTGGTAAAAATGTATTATTTATTTTAAGTGAGTCTTTAATATTTTTTACCTACGTACTATAATATATTATATAACATTTATTTTTAATTATAATTCCAATATCTATCAACTTACACCAATTAATATAGTACACTTATGCAAAAATATTGAAACCAATAAATATATGCTGTCAACTTATTAGTACCTAAGTACTTGTACTAGTAACTACTTTTATAACCCATTAATTGTTTATAATATCTCTAAATCTTTCTTGTTAAAGGAGTTGGAATCGGTTTTCTAAATTGTCTCAACAATTTAAAAGTTATTGTTTACCTTTTTATGATAAAATTTTTTCTCCTTTCTACTGCCGGAAACACATTTAAACGGAAGAGGTACATCCGTTTTTATGGACGAATGTGACGTTTTAGACCGATAAGCGGCGAAAAATTAGAGACACCTCCAAATGTCCGATTTCAATTTTTAAAAGATGTATGCATTTTTAAACAAATTGTTTAGGTTATTATTTATGAAGTCGGTTTTTTTATTTAAAATTGAACGTGTTCAAAGTAAATACAAATATAATATAATTTTCACAAATAATATCTTAATTATAGAGGTCTACTAAACTGAATATTGAAAATCATTTTTCCACCCTAATCTAGAAAATTTGACAACAAATTCATACATACTTTCAAAATTAAAATCGGATATTTAGAGGTGTTTCTAGTTTATCGCCACTTGTCGGTCTAAAACGTTACATTCGTCCGTGAAAACGGATGTACCTCTTCCGCTTAAATGTGTATCGGGCAGTATATTAGAGGAAAAGTCTTATCATCAAATATGTCTGATTACCAGCTTATGTAATTAGCTTATACATAGCTAACACAGCTTTTTGGTCTAAAATTTATGAAAAATAGGTGTTCCAACACCTTTAAATGAAATACTTCGTTTAACCTAACCTGACATGCACATAATATTATATTATTGCTTATTCAACTTGCGCAAAAAGATGTCCAGATAGAGCCAGAAACCACTCCCGTAATACAATATGAATGTTTTTAGTATAATTTTACCCCAACCCTATAATAAAAAAGTACAAACATAATATTATTATCTTATATTTTTCAAAGGCAAAAACCGTTGTTCATCTTCTGAGCAGCCCTCTACATTTTTTTCAAATAATTAAAATAATATTGATTTTAAATGGTATAAAAAGTTCACACATAAATTGAATAAGAATTATACCTAATTTTTTCTCAATTATACAAATACACAATATAATAAAAAATAATAATATTTGTCTGCGCTTATAAATACTTTTGTTGCCAGTTCGCGCCTGTGATTAGAAATTGATCAACCGAAGTAATTTGAATATCGCTCCGACACTTAAAATAACATTTTTCGTACCAAAAATATAAAAATTATATTATTATAAATAAAATATTTCCATTTGATTCGTATTTATAAAAACTAAAAACCCCAAGTACTGCAAAATAGTGTGCCTTTAAAAACTTGTATATTATGTAATAAAAAAAACTGTCACGAATTTCCTTTTCTATTTTTTTTTTTTTCTTGTATTTTTATCTGATTACAGAGACACGTAATTGGAATAATAATTTCGGAGCTAGTTTATTGTTGGCCAATTCACCGATGTCACCGAAGGTCGTGAATGGAAGTTTCGCTGCGTTGTTCGACAATGAAGACGATGACTGGTCGCGCAAATTATTGAGAAGCGAAACGAAAGACAGTTCTTGTAATTATAAAATATAGTACTCACCTATTACCTAACAACCGTCGTTATTGCAAAATAATGTAAAAATTATTAAAAAAAAAAATCACTTATAATTTGTTTCATTTTCCTGTAAGCAATGAGAAGAAGAATCCGAGGAATTTTGATGTCAGGAAAACAGTTTTCTTTGGATTCGCGAATGGATTTGGTTCAGGGAATGGTCCCGGAAAAAGCAATATGTATGTCAGAATCAACATCCGATTCATCAGGAGCCAATTCAGGTAAAATAATATAATACATAAATGTAAAAATGTCAAAATATCAATATGTTTAAGTATACTCTGACTATATTCACAAACCACAATTTAACATTCGGTTGACTTTTTTTCTGCAGAAAATAAGATCATCGAGACGGACGAAAAAGGCGAGACCGAGGAACCGAGAAATCAAAAATCACGAATTTTTCGCCTTACGCAACACGAAACCAGCCTTACGCCTTTGATGGAAGGCAACAACGCAGATAATATTGATTAATTATTTCGCCATTATATCTTACTCCATTATAAGATACATAAAGTTATACTTTGTGCTTCTATAAATATCTATCGATAAGCCTTTATATGCAATAGTAATTATATTTTAGCGTAGTGCTTGTAGGTAAACTTCGATTAAACTACGGATATATATATATATATATATATTCACGCGTTATAAAATTAATCCATCCTATCTAATAATTATTCGACTTTTTCAAAATTATATTACACAAAAAAAAATCCAATATAACAATATTTTAAACGTATAATGAAATAACTTAAAAAAGTATAAATATATATCATTACACATTTCGTATATCTATCGAATTATTTGATTATAAATTTAAAAAGCTCTTTATAATATTGTAGAATTAAAATTTAATTTTGTATTTTTAATCAAAATTTTAATTAATATTATCTAGGTAGGTAATTATAAAATAATATTACGTACTATTATTATATAGCTAGTATAACATATTTAAAAATGGTTACTTCTTTAAAGCGCTGTTCTGTGCGCTGGTCAGACCTGTACTCGAATATGACTCTGTTATTGGAACCCTCATTCGGCAGTCCACTGCCGACAGATTAAGCGCATTCAACGTATATTTCTTAGTTTTGTGGATTTTAAGCTTGGAATTACGCACCCTTCACACAACTATACGGCCCGGTGCTTCTTAGACTTAACCTCCTATCTCTAGCTGATTGTAGAATTTTCCAGACTTCCCTCTACAATCTTCTCAAAAAATTAATTCCCTCTCCTTATTGCGTATTAATTTTAGAGTCCCCACACGTGCCACCCGAAGCGTCACTCCTTTCTTCATCCCTTCTTGCCCTACTAATTACATCAGTATAATGAGATAATTAATAGCTGTATGAAGCTGGCCAATTGGCCAATTTGAACACCTCCTTCTCTTACCCAAACTATTATAAATACCGACTATTCATATTAACCTGTACACCTATAAATGCACATTAATTACCTAATTGTAACTGGGCCACTACCCGTATATTCAAATAAAATAAAATATTATAATACATCTTACTATAATCGATAAAAAAAAATATATATATATATTATAAAAATGAGTTACTTATTAATAAATAATAAGTTTTAATTAAATTAGGATAATAACCTTTATAGTGATTAGATCCGATTGTTTCACAGAAGTCGCGTATAGACTATATCTTTTGAAATCGTGCAGTTATTATCCTTTAGTATTTAAAGTAGAATAATTCAGAAAATTGTTTTTCAAATTTCGATTACAATACGTAAAAATTTTCAAAAAAGTTATCTGGCTGACAGTTTATATCAAAATGTCATGCAAGTTCTCATTTGAAAAACTAAAGTTGTTATCGCCACAAGATACTCCATAAATGTTATGAAAATATAATTTTATTCACTATACTTAACAATTCTAAAAATCAAAATTTGAATTTATGCATAATTTTACCGCGAAAATGGGGTGAACATAATTAAAAAATATCCTGTATTTAAGAACAATATGTTGATTGGGGAGGGGATACTTCCCCCTCTCCTCCTCTCCCGTTTGTTCGTCCATGAGAATATTATATGGAATATTGTGTTGATATACTCATTATTTCGTTGATGCATTTTATGAAAAATATTATTTGTTTACCAATAGAGCCGTCTATAATAATATGTATACATCCGCTCGGTTCATAACATATAATAACCGTGTAGACGTGTAGTGTTCATTATACATCCGGTGGGCATTTTTTTTTTAAATTGTATCGTTCAACGGCAACGACCACACTGAATACGCATAATTGGACGAAATTATAATTGACGAACCATTGTGTATACCTACTAAGTTTAGTCTCATGACTTTATTAAATTGTATAATAATCTTCTCACGAACTTATTAATTACGAATTGCGATTTATGTTGATTTCTAAACCTCAACAATCCATCATATATTCCAAAACAAACATCATCTTTAACGGGTAGATTTTACTTCAGAAGAATTCCTTTGTTCCCCGCCAATATCTATAGCTTCTCATTAACTGTTACAAAATTGTATAAGTATGTATCATCGACGGAGATTGGAGGGCGATGAAATTATCCAAAGCCTTCCCCGCAAATTTGTATTGTCAGTCTTTATAGAATATATAATTTTAAGGCTATTTTACATCCAGAACCTCCCTCCTCCAAAAAAAAAATAAAAGCTTTAAAATTTCTGCCTAATGATACATTGACCCAAAATACGTATATATTAAATCAAATATAAAAATATAAAATATAATATAAAAAAAAATACGACTTTTTTCAGGCTTAAAAATACAAATTGATTCAAACTATCTACATTCTACATATTATACATTTCAAACAGTATAATTAATATAACTAACATATTATGTTAATGTTGATAATTAGATAACTAGCTAAGTACAAGGTACTATAATATATGCAAATAATCCTGGATTAAAATTGTTGAGGACCAATGCCAAGTAGCTGTAAAGTCCCAGTATAAAATCTAAACAAAAAGTGGTACATAATTGTATTTTTAGAGGTTTAAAATTGGCTTGTAGGTAAAATTGTAATATTATTTAATTTTAAATCACCTATACTATGGTTTTTAATAGTTTTTCTTAAACACTAGGTATATATTATAACTATAAATACCCTATACAATTTTTGTATGCTATATAAAATATAAAATGCTTTCAAAATAATATATAATCTTTACGTAATTTGAAAAAGGGGAAATATCAAACGCATTTATAATCGTGGATCAGCTTACATAATACTTATATCCCTGCCTAGTTCTGAAATTTAGTAGAAATAATAGAATATTCATTATTATATTGGTAATGCGAAAAAAAAAAATGTAAACTCTAAATTCGGTAATAAATAATTTAATTTTGTTTTGAATAAACGTTAAAAGTTATACAATATTTTAAAATGTGGTTCCACTGGTCTACTTTTTACTTCATACCTAATGTACTTTATTATAAATAAATTATAATATGCATTTATCGAAATATACCTATATATTATACCTACTTCTTTTATTATATTATTATTATATGTCCAAGTAGTTTATTTATAAATACTTACAATTTAATATATTTTAATGGTCATTACTCAAGAGGATGTCAGCGCACTATTTGTTTTCTCTCATTGATTCTCGCACATATGCGAGCCGAACCTACCGCAAACCGATAGCAACAATAATAATTGTGACGGCGTGTCAAAGGTTCGAGCCATTCGCGCCAATCCATCGAGAGTAGGTTTTTTTTTAACGAACGCAAACACGAACCCTTCGCGAGCGATTAGCGGTAGAATCGGCTCGCACATATATACTCGGTTTAAATATCAAAGTTTAAAAGTACTTATATCTCACTTAAAAACTGAAATATCGATAAAACATAAAGAGCTTAATGGTCTTACCTTTAAGTTTAATAACAGGTAATTTCATTAAAATACTTAAGCTAACAACACAAATTTAGCTCTGCTGAACAAAAATGTATTATGTTGTGCGTAAGTCAGAGAGAGCAAACAAATAATGCACTGACATCCTCTTAAGAGAACGTGATACACTCGTAATTTGTGCATAAAAACATGGTTATCGAGTAACAGAACTATTTTGTTAATAATTATGATAGATCAACGATTTTTTGTTTTGTTTTAATAAAGAGAATTTTAGCTTTGACGTAGCGTTTTTATTTTTTAGCTGGTACAAAAAGGTTTAAAAATATTTACTTTTAAAGTTTGTAAATGTTTCAAGTTTTTTTGTTTATAAATATAAAATTATTGAATTAAGTTATTGGAAAATGAAAAACGCTACGCCACAGACAATTTTTTCCTTATTAAAACAAAACAAAATGGTCGATCTATTATATTTATTAAAAGAATTATTTTGTTTCGCGTAAAACTGTTTTTCCGTGTAAAAACAAAACACGTTGACAAATAATAATTTCGTAACCGCAAAGATACGATGAACAGCTTTAGGTATCACGTTCCCTTAAGTATGTATAATATTTAAGTATCTAAATCAATGTATTAATCTGTATACCTCTTGGTACTATAAAGTACATATTAGTATTTGAATTAATAATTATTATAATTATAAAAATAATTGTTTTTCCATCTCAATTATAAGATACCTATTTATTATATTATTATACAACGATATACTTACTAAATTATAATTATATTACAAAGATTAATCCGATTGCTTATTATAGGTTTGAGTATTTGATTTTTCGAATTTATTTATCTAAATTTTAAATAAAAAATAACTTATGAATACTTATCAAACATATATATAAAACAAAAGAAAATTATATAGACTTTAAGTACACGAAGCACACTGTCCTATGAATACGCGTAAGTATAGATATAATAATAACTGAATTTTCGATTTAAGTCGTCCTTATAAACTCCATTGAAATATAATCAATGACCAGCCAGTATAGAATTTGTATTTCGGGATAGGAAAATATGAATTTAGGTTTACAATTATTTTAATTATTTTATAATCAATATATATAATACATATAATTATTACAATTATATAAATTTATTTTTTCATATCAATTATAAGGCACTATGCCTACCTATTTATTATATTATAAATATAGCGTATCTACTGTATTATTACTATTATAATGATACAAGGATTACTCATAGCTTATTTGACTATTCTAGGTGATCCATTTAAGTGGGTATACTCATAATCTCGGAAAATATTAAATTTTTCCTAAATTTTTTTTCTAGAATATTTAAGAAACAAGCTGTTCTACAATTGTATTATTATGTTATATTTTGTCACCCTTATTTTTGGGGGTAAAACCACTACCTACTTTTGATTTTCAAACGGCAACCTATACTAAAAAGTCTACAAATAAATGGAGTATTAGTTAAAAAGAAATTTCAGTGTTGACATTTTTGATTTCCGTAGATCCGTTGACGAGATATTCCACTTTTAAGTTTGAGTTGAAAGAGAGTGGTGGTGCATTATCAACATGCCGCGCGCCGTACTGACACATAAATGATACTCCTGGTTTAGTTTTATATTTTGAGCGCAGTGAGGAATGTATTGGTTTTACTATAATGGTGTGTGCTCTTTTTTTCTCTCTGTATTCTGTAAACAACTTTTTTAATAGAAATCTTGCTCTGATTTTAGATTCTAAATGGAGCGAAGAAGCTTATGGTTTTACATGTTTATTTTTTTACTTTTTTTTTTATCTATGGACAACTTTTCTACCAGAAATCTTGCTTTGATTTTTAAGAGTAGCACCTTTTCTGAAAGGAAATCGGTGTGGGGAGGTATTTTAAGAAGGTCATTTTTCGATTTTCTCAAAAGTTGTATTAACAGGTGTAATTAACACAACCTTCTGGCTACAGACGTTTAACGTCGAATAATAATAGAAGCTATACCTTATAGATATATAAATATATATCATAATCTGATTTCTGGGACATAATGACATTTTTTGCATATTTTTGAATTTTTGAGTGCATAAAATGTGCGTTAAAATCCGGGCCCCAGTTATAACAATACCTACTAACAATTTAATATTATAATCATGTCTACGATTTACCACATAGAAAGTATTATTTTACAGTATTTTTTTTGTAAACCACTGATTATAAAAATCCACCCAGTATATATTATAAACTCAATTTTTTTTTTTTTTGAGAATAAGGTAAACATTTTTTAGATACGAGTAAAAATACAATATTAAAGATCAAGCCGTTTTTGCACATATTTTAGATTTACCCTCACTGCAATACATTTCTTTTAGATCACTGATAAATTTAGTGTTTTCAGAGGTTTCGCCAAGCTTTTCTACCAATCGTAATTCGGGCTTTTTGTCCATCGCAGTCACGGTGATGTCCGCATCACAAGGTGCAATAGATTGACACGTTGATTCTGGATTTTTTAGTTTTTCTCGCAACTCTCTGGCCTTATGCTCCAAATTGGCTATTTTCATTTCTTTCTCTTGTATATCGCACAGCAACAAATTTGTGTCTTTTTCCAATTGTTCACATTTGCTGTTCTTTTGTTGCTCAAAAACCTCTGCCGACCGTCTCATCCTTTCGATCAGACACTCATTCGCAATCACTTGCTTTTTCAAAGAATTGATTTCCGACGTCGTGCACTCATTCTCCACGCTCTGTTCCACGATTCTATTTTGCAAGCAACATAGGCTTTCCGCTTTTATACAATTTTCTTCTTTCAAATTCCGAATCTTAGAGTTCATCTCACGGTTGTTTCTTTCACACGCGTCTCGAAATTCTGCTGTTGAAGTCTGCGAATTCTGTATTTTACACTTCTCGTCATCTATCATACGTTTGGCTTCACAAAGTTCTGTCTCCAGCATGTGGTGTTTTTGACATCTAATATTCAATTCGTCTGACAGTGTATCTTCTTCGTGTTTCAACTTTTGCGCCGTTAGTTTCAATCGTGATTTCATTGCCGTAATGTCTTTTGTTGTATATTCTATGGCCGTCGTTAATTGTGTACAAGTTTCGGTCAATTGATTATACGTAGTTATAAATTCCTCCAGTTGGACCCGTAATTCACAGCACTCTTTCTCTCTGCACTGCAAGGTTTTTGACGAACTCTCGACCAGGTGCGTATTTTTTTCCACTTCAACCTGAAAACAAAAACAAATCAACGAAATTGCCCGAAAATATATTTTGGGTTATACAGAGTGTCCCACAGAGATTGTATTATCTCCGGAGATAATAAAGATAATAATAAATCAAATTATGTTTTTTTTACTCACAGGGATAATGACTACAAATATTTATATTTCAATTGATTTTTTATATTTTTGTAAAGGTTAAGTTCAGTTAGGTTAGAAAGTAAAAATAAAAAGTTAAGAAGTGTAGACATTTCTTTGGGGGCGCGTAAAATATTGGAAAATATGTTGTCGGAAAATAATTTTTACCTAACAACGATAACGCATGCAGTCAGGGAGTGTTTATGATGAAATTATATTGAACAGTTCCGACAAAATATATTCCGACGAATTATTTTTCAGAAAAAAAACTTTCTGACTTAATATTTTTCCGACAAAATACAGTCCCAACAAAATACATTCCAACAAATGATAGCCCTCAGTTTTTTTATATTGTACAATGTAAATCTCCAATATTATGGTTTATATTTTATTCATAATAATATTTATTTGTTTTATCATTGTATGCAAATATTACAGAAAGAATATATTAGAGGAAAGACTCCCGGTGGACTGGAACACTGCACTAGTTTGTCCTATCCATAAGAAAAATAATCCACAGGAATGCAGTGTTTATAGGGGAATTGCATTATTAGATACAACGTACAAAGTCTTAGCATATTGTCAACTTGATAGAGTAAGGCATAGCAAAAAGTAAATTAGGAATCTCCAAGGTTGGTTCAAACCCAATAAATTTACTACGGAACAAATGCTCATAATAAGACAAATCCTACAAAAAAGAGTATAAGGATGTGCACATATGAATTGTAAATTTTAAAAAGCATTTAGCTCTATCCATAGAGAAAGCCTTATAAATATTACAGCCTTTTTTTCTCCTGTGAACAACTTTTCTACCAGTAATTTTGCTCCCTCCGATTTACTATGATATCATCTTTTCTGAAAGTAAATCTAACTGGAGTGGTACTTTAAGGTGATTTTTTGATTTACCCAGGGTATTTCCAACCAATGAGAAAACTGGAAAATAAATACAATATAAAACAAATATTATTAAAGAAAATATATAATGCATAATATGCATAATAATGCATATTTTACAATAATGTGACATGTATATTGTTGACAAGGTACCCTATCTATTATTGTTGGTTTGTATTACCTATTTTGAAAAGTTTGCCCAACTATTTTAATATTGTTTTGGCACCACTGATACAACACGTACACGATGTCACAACATTATGTTTCAAATTTGTATATAAATCATACAACTACATCCTACATACTACATAGAATTCACAAAAAAACTTACTAACATATTTCAGGGGAACTACAACCCCCAAACTTCTCCTACTTTCACTACTGCCTATTGCTAATAATTAAGACCAAATTTAAGGAATGGCGAAAGAAGTGCCCCACAAGGAATTAACCTGTCACCATAAAAGAAATTTAAAAGTTAAATTTTATTCCAGTAATCGATCAGCTATGTGTTTATCTTACTAAAATATTAAATGCATACGATGCTGTCCGTTTAAAATTTGGATTTCTGAATCACTTAGAGAAGATGGACGCTGCAAAGATAGACAAAGTTGTATGCTTCTGCAGAAGAATTAGTAAAAGTTTACAAAGACAATCAAAATTGCATAGCTACATTCCCAAACATTGAAATTACACAAAGAATATTTTATAAAATTATTTTAGGTTATAAAACTCTAATGAATTATATTAACATTATTAAAATTATTATTATAAATAAAATATTAAATTATATGTAAGTATATTACCTTAGCATTACAAATATCGTTTTGAATACAATCCTTGCGAATTTTCAAATCTTCTATTTCCATTGGGAGCTTTTGTTCCTGTTTTTTTAAGTCACTTAGTTGATGACCGGTACGATCGTTGACATCGAGTAGTTTTTTGTTTTCATTTCTCAACATACACTCGGTCGCCTCCACTTTATTTAACTTTTCTGTTTGAACGTCCAAATTATTTATCATATCGTTGTTCATTTTATTACTTTTATGTTGGATTTCTTCTAACCATTCTTTCAACTTGCAGACCTGGTTTTGCATCTCTTTCTTTTTACTCAAGTCATCCTCATACGTAGATAGTTTTTCTTCAAGTTGGCATAAAACATTTTTTTTACACTCGAAGTTTGTTTTTAATTGTCTTGTGTCTATATCGGATTGCATCTTCATCAGCTATATGCCTATATGTATGTGTAAATATAAGAGACATTATTTTAGACGATTTCAATACGTTATGGAAAAAACATTATTTCACTAACTTACAGTTTAATGTAACTTACCTGAACGTATTTAAATTTTTCGTTTTTTTTTTTTAACGGTATATACCTATAATATAAATGCTCATCTATATTTTTAAAAACATATACAAAAAAAATTTGTTGTAAATTCAAATAAATAAATAAACAAAAACAATATTCGTATACTTATTAATTTTATTATAATTAGCCAATATACTTATCAATAACATAATATGTAAGAGGTTTTAGTATGTAATATGTTTTTAGTTTTAATTGTAGAAATAAAAAACAATTTAAATTTCAACACAGTTAAATCTTATTTATCTCAAATTAATTAATAACAACTTCCTCATTATCAATATTATACAAATATACTATAAACTTAACCACGGTCGACGATTATAAATATTATATAACCAAGATGTATTATCTTTAATCTCGAATTTGTGACAACAGCTTATTATAGTTATTATTGTTCTGACGGCATGTCCATGTAATAATGTAAAATATTTTGAACTTTTATAAATTACTTATATTTATTTTGTATATTTTTAGTTCAAACGTCACAAAATAATATAAATGTATATAAAGGTATATAAATATATAAGGTATATAAAGGTATATAAAAGTATATAAAAGGAGGGTAATTTCGGGTGTTACAACTCCCACAAGTTTTTTTTGCTATGGAAACCTGTTAAAAGTTACAATTGAACTAGAAGTGTGTCCCCTAAAATCAGATGTTTTTTAGGCCCTGAACTTCATAGATAGTATATTTGAAACAAAATGAGGAATACGATGAGTTCTGATACAAGGATATAAACTAAGTGAAAATAAGCAATTGAAGGACAGAACTTTTCACTTAAGATGTACAAGTCGTAAATAAAACGTAATAAGATTTATTGTTGAGAAACTTAATTTAATTATTTCTAAAAAAAAAATTAATCATCCGACAACTTCTGAAAATATTTGAGATCGATAAAAAATAATGTCTACACTATTCTACAATTCGAAATCAACTGATAAATATAAAGAAATGAGAATATTAATTAAAGAACTTTGTAAAAATTAATAAACAAAGAATTAAAAATTAACAAAATACAATAAGATTTTGAAAAAAAATGCCCATATTGCCATCGAAGAATCGTTTCCAACTATGATTGCGTGCTAATTTCATTTGAGTCAACGCTGTTATCGTAAAATCCAATCGAATAATTATTTATTAAGTAAACAAATAATATAGAAATATGCCTTAGATTAAAATATTTTTTTAGTCTAGCTTTCTTACCACCTAAACATGTTGATGATGGTTTTGTTGAGCTCATTTTTTTAGCTTCAGCAGATAATTATACGTTTACTGATTATATTTTAGAAAATAATATTAATAAAGAGTCTCAATTTCCTCCAAATATTTGAACAGAAACTCTAATAAATAACGCTAGGACAACCAAAGGGTCCGAAGCTTTTCATAAACATTTTAATGCACAATTTTACTATATCTACATTCGAACATACATCATGTAGTAGACGTTTTGACTGACATTCAGGCAGAAACTACATTAAAAATAAATAGTATAAAAAAGCAATTCTATTACATTAGGTAAAAATCTATACTTTACACCAAATTTATAACTGATAACTGGAATGCTTATGAAAAACTATGAGAATTCGATATCAAGAAAATAAAATATAACTATTACTATAATATCGTATATATAAATAGGTATTAACCATATTTATTTACGAGTATTTACCATTTTAATAATTTTGTTTTTACTTTATTATTTAATTATTTAAAATAATATGTGTAAAAAAATTCGCTAAAATTCTGAACAATAATACAAATAATGTAAATATCCGAAATCACTTTTAAGACTGTACGTAATACATTAAATATTTGTAAAATAAACTAGCAAAGTGACGTAGTAGGTACAATTAATAGTTCTATCACAAAAAAATATGCGTTGCCACATAAGTACGCCATAAAATGATTATACAATTAATTACACACTGCACCCCCACCCGTAGCCACTGCGGTGATCGTATGGGAGCCGCCAGGATGGGGTCCACATACTGAATAAGACGCGAGAAGCGTAAATCTTTTCAATTGAATCTTCACTTTACTGGGTTCGCAAAGCAAAAGCACTCTTTTTTACTCATCCAAAATTCTTACTTTTCCATACATCTTTCCAAACCTAGTTTCAGATATTGGGTTGACTACTGTATTTGGTTAATCCGCATCTCCTTAAACCTTGTTTTCTATCGCACATTAAACAAGCGAGGATAAAACTTTGAGAGTACGAATTGAATGCTATAAAAATGGATGGCTAAAAGTAATAGATAAACAAAATGAAAAAAAAAATTTTTTCAAAAATAAAAACGAGATAGAAATGGCTAATATCATATATATTATAAAACAAGATTGATAATACGAAAAACTTTAAGAAAAAATATATTGAATTTATTACATAAAACGCATTTTGATTTTGTAAAAATGTATAAAATAGCTAAAGAATTATTTTATTGGCCAGCAATGACTTCAGATTTAAAGTCGTTTGTAGACAAATGTAAAATATATAACGAATTTTCTAAATCGCAGATAAAAATAAAGTTAATTAATCAGCAAATACCATGTTTACTATTTAATAAGGTAGGTGTAGACATAGCAGAGTATGCGAGTAAATTTTTTTTAAATTTGGTTTAAACTATTTTCGAAGTGGTTAGAGGTAAATTTATTAAATAACAAAACTTCAACAGTGTGTGAGAGAACTTAAACAAATATTTAGTACACATGGAACACCTGAAGTGGTAGTGGCGGATAATATACTCATTGACTCACAGGGGTACAAACAATTTGCTGAAGAATGGAATTTTACCATAAATACAGCATCACCCAATTATCCAAAAAGTAATGGACAAGCAGAAAGGACAGTAAGAATAATAAAGAATATGATTAAAAAGTGTCATGATGATGGTAAAAAATGCAAACTATTTAAGTCAAATTGCAATAATAGTAGTTACAAGATTACAGTACTCACCATCGCAAATATTGATGAGTAAGAGTGCTTAGATCTAAAATTCTTTTTAAAGTTAAAAACTTAAAACCTAAAGTGATGAGTGAAGTAGCATATAAAACAATATTAGAAAACAGAGAAAAATGAACTAAATACTATAATGGAACAAATATAAAAGAAACACATTATAAGGCAGGAGATAAAGTATGAATACAAGAAGTAAAAAGTAAGATTATGGAGTGGTGTGATTATAAAGAGATTACCTTTAAGATCATATTTAGTCAAAGTACTTAAAAACAATAGAGTAAGACGGAACGATGTATTTATAAAAAGTCGTAAGATAGTCCTAAGATTAGAAGAAGAAGAGAATAATAATAAAAAAGAAAGAGAAATTAATGAAGAAAAAAAGACATTAGGGCTGAAAAGATCTCAAAGGAAATTACAAATGTATATAAGGTATAGAAATAATTAGATTTATAAGTAGTATAATGTGAAATGTTCTTTATTGTTATTAGTAATTATTAAGTAATGTATATTGTAAGTTTAAATAATAATTTTTAAAAAAAAGAGCATATATAATGATAATATTGATAAGATATTAATTATTAAGAAGTAATATGTAAAGATGTACAAACACAATTTATAAAACCACGTTTTTAAATGATAAAAGTTAAATAATAAACGAACAAAGTGTATTTGTTAAAATAATAACAACATAGACAAATTGATAAATTAGATTTATTTCACATAATTTTTTACTCAAACGATTTTCATCAAAATTTAATATTAAAATTATTTTATAAAAAAAAATACTACATTAAACTCAATTTGTTTTTTTTCAACTACAAAGTTAGACTCCTAATAAACCTCCTGTTAAATTGTCAAGCATTTCTGTTCGAGTGTAACAATTTTACCACAGAGTACCTACCTTCTTCTTCTTCTGCTGGCATTTATTACTCTTGAAGAGTTTTCGCCGCCATCACAATCTGCCTCCATTCTTCCCTGTTATGAACTATTGTTCTCCACTCTCGTACTCCTATTTTCGTGAGATCTTCTTCCACTGTATCCAACCTTTTAAATTAAAATTAATGCAAAATTAAAATATCTATGAATAGCTCAAAAATGGATTAAATTTTTTGAAAATTTTACCACGTCTAGAAAAGACAAATATAAGATTTCTGTCCAAATTTTAAGTCCATAGAGTCTCTACGAATATTTTTAAATGAATTACAACAAATAACAAAATTGAAAAATAATAAAAGCATTATTTTCGTACATTTCTCGTTTTTCTTAAGTTTTATCGTGGTTTTTCCCAGATATTATGAAAACCACTTGGAAAATCAAAAAATGACCTTCCAAAAATACCATCTGAGCAATTTTCCATTTCAAAAATGGTGCCGCGCGTATATATCTGAGCAAGATTTTTGGTCGAATTTTTGTTTACAATATAAAAGAAAAGAAACAAAAATAAACATCTTAGTAAAACCAATACATTCTTCGCTACACTCAGAATACAAAATTAAATTTTAATTAATTTTTTTACGGAAATCATTAGTTTTAAAGTTATTGCTTTATAAAATTCACGATTTTCGGTGTCTTACGTATTTTCGTAATACGAGTGACTATATAGTCAAACTATATAGGTTAGGTTACCCGTTATGTTACTTGTTAACTACCCGACGTGGTTTTGCACAACAAATCAAGGGTTATTTTCGATTAAAATTGTCCTAGTGACTACATCGGTCGGTCTTTATTCCACCTATAATGCTTTTTCACTGCTCTCTGTTACCTATAACCGGAAGTGGTTTTGCAATTTCAAGAATACGATATACCATTATTTTTCTGCATTCCAAAAAAAAAAAATCCCAAATGCCGAGGAGATGCTTCAGTTATTATTAATCAATATAGGGTTTTATAAGTACCTACATATTGTCTGTTGTTCAAAAAGGTTTTGATTGACGATACCCTCTAATACACCACTGGGTACCTATGTTCCAAATGCTACAAAACCAATTAATTCTAAAGTCAAAGCCTTCCCTCCACCAAGACTTGATATTTTAAAAATGTATAGTAAAGAAAAAATTATTCACCCAAAAAACCATATTTATACATTTATCCACTTGTTGATAAATATAAGTAAGTACTTAGATAAAACAATAAAGTATAATAACTGTGGAAAACAAATTAAAATATTTTTATATTATATTAAACTTGGAATTAAATATACATACTTAAATAAATTTAAAAAAACAGTCACATACCTGCCATAATACATGCATGTATTATTATAGGTACCTGTTTATAAATCTAGTCTATACATTTAATTTAAATCAAAATATTGTGTACCTATCATTTATTAAAATTTATTGCCAGAAATAGACAAAATGGTTTTAAAATTGATTTTGAAAATCTAAAAAATCTTAAAAAGATTTAAAATTCAAAATCCTATGGAGTCATAACAATTAACAGACAACTCTTCTGTGCCCTTTAAATGGTAATAATGGTGTCAATTAAATATGTCTATTAGTTTAAATTTTTCTTAATAACATAGACTGTTAAGGAACTATATAGGTTTTAAATTTAAATAGGACCTTCCTGTTATAATCTCAGAATCTATCTAAATTGTCATAATACTTAGATATATAATAACACTGTACATTAAATGAATAGTTAAACAAAATATTAAAATATTGTACAAATATTAATCATTAATATAAAACTAATCAGTAATTACCTTGTACATAATATTAAAATACAAATATGTCATATCAATGTTTATTATATTATTTGATAAATATTTGATCATAATAATATATTTATGCTCATGTAACTATTATTATATCATTATAATCAATAAACAAAATTAGGCTGGACCCAACAACAGCTATAAAAAAACCTAGCATATTACGGAGCACCACGGGCACATCCACTTCACTCACAGTCTTTCAAGAAATTCCTTTGAGACAATGACAGTCCTCTGTTTTCACGATCTCCATCTTACAACATTCTGATGAACTAGTGGATACATTTTTCTTTTATTTGTGTTGTGTCTACTAGCATCAGTACATTCCATTAAATAAAATGTTTCTTGTTTCTATAAATGAAATTTTATTTCCTATGCATCTCTGGAACCCTGTAGACTTCCATCTTCAGTATTGCACAGAGCAAATATAGTTTCCCATTCTTGGCTGGTAAACATCTAATTATTTACAGAACCTATTCTATATGATTGGTAAGGATTGTTTTATAGGAACAGTTGTGTTTTCAATGGGTAGTTTTTATAAATAAGATCTTGTTATAGAATTTCATGACCCCTAATAATAAAGTAATTCCCATTACTCTACTACTATATAGTTACAATACTTGAATTGAAAAAAAAAATAAAGGTGGACTCTAAATATAGTTGAAAAATTAGCGTTCATAAGCAAATTAATCTAAAAGTAATGTGTGGGGGACTTCATCTCCCAAACCCCCTAAATATATCTAAAATGTAAATCATAAATATCCAATGACTAACGGAGATATTGAGATACTTATTATAAATATTAAACAATACTAATAGGTATTTATTTGTATAAACCTATCAACATGTCTGACTAATTTAAATACAAAACTAAAAAGCAGTAAATATAGTCACATGAAAAATGAATCATTCAATTAACTTTTAATTTAAAATAATTCAAGTATTTCACTGTTACCTAATAAAAAATATTAAATATATTATTATTTTATTAATATATATTTATATATTTTTTCAATATCAATTGGAATATTTAAAGTATAATGTTAGTTGAATAATGTATTTTATCCTGTGACTATATTCTTAGATTGAAAGTTAAATAATAATATTTTTACTATAGGTAATAGATATATATAATGTATAAGTATTGCTTTAAAATGTATACCTAATAATAATCAAAAGAAATTTTAAGAACTTTCGACTGTATTTATTAAATTTATTAATAAATTATTATTTAAAAAAGAGACATACTTGTGTGTTTTCGTGACAATGATTGTTTAAAAAGATTAAAATAGTAAAAACTTAATAGCAACAAAATATAAATAAAAATTGTTGCCAATGACTATCTTATTTTTTAACTTTCAATCTTTTTTAACCTAAAGACAAAGGTTTTCCTCATTATCTTGAATATTAATGAGAATTTCAAAAAATAACCTCTCCAAGTACCACCCAGAGAAAAATTCCTTTCAGAAAAGGTGCTATATTTAAAAATCAGAATATGCATTCTGGTAGAAAGTGTTCACATAAAAAAAAAATATATATCATTGTAAAGCCAATACATTCCTTGTTCCTCTCAGAATCTAAAACTTAAAAAAATTATTTAACTTTTAAATTTTCCATTATTATACGGGTATTTTAATTTCTATAACAATGAAACTTGTGGTGTTGAAGGAAAATAGGGGTTTAAGATATTAAAAAGAAAAAGGTGATACTGGGGATGGATGCAACAACTGCTTTATAGGTAGAAAGGTTTATATATATACCTGAGTAATTTTCATAACAAAAACAACAGAAAGATTCTCGAAATTATTAGATTCATATCACTAGCACACCCAGAAGTTTTACTATAATATATTTTTAGCACTTTAGATGTTTATACCACGAATTAATAAGTAGTTAAAACACTTAAAACATGTTATAGTTTATAATACAATATTTTATTATTGCAATCCTAATATATGTTCGAATTACTAATTATGAATTAATACTAAAATTAAATTAAATGTTAATCATTTCCAATTTTTATTTTTATTTAATTTTTCTAAAAAACAAATTGATTTTCATAAAAATGCCAATGTACCCTCTGCGGTCCTTGATGAATAGAATAAAGAGGTATGCTATAATATGAAGGCAAATTATGAGTAGCTGTCTCCCTGCGTCCTCCCCAATTCAACCCCTGATTATATAGCTATCTACATCATCTTTACCCTCGTAAAAGGTTAAATATTTTAATTACAGCGTTGTAAGGATTATTATAATATCTAAAACCCGTATATTTATTTCATCAGATGTAACTTATACAATAAAATACAAAAAAAGATGAGTGTTACACATATCAGTGACATATTCCAATGATAAACCGAAACTTTTAAAAAAAAAAAAAAATAAATAGGTGATAATAATAATTATAAATTAACAAATAGTATAATTAGATGTAAAAATATATAATAAAATAATTTTATTAACATGATTAACATTATTTAAATAGGTATTATTTTAATTTTATATTATATCATCTAAAACATAATTTAAAGTGATTATTCAAAGATAAAGTTGACAAAAAGTGACTAAAGAAAAACAAATAAAGTGACTTACAGTAAAAAATAATACAATAGGTACCAACTTACTACAACCCTTGAGACCCATTAAAAAAAATAATGATTTGACCAAAATCTATTTTTAATATCTAATATAAGCAATGGTGTAAAATTCAATTTTGTTGAACACAATTTATATGCTTTAAGTGCTAATGATTATAGCTATTAATTCATTTTCTTTCACATAAACTATAAATTTATATTTTAAAAGATTTAATAAAATTATTATTTGGAATTAATACAATAAAAAGCAGATAAAAATATTTAACAATTTAGTAGGTAAATAATAATTATAATATTACTCCCTAAAAATATATTTTATAAATAAAAATATAATAACTATATCTTAAAATGTAAAATTAATTAATAATATTATTATGACTTCTTTATACTGTGGCATACCTGGGAAACATTTTTGATGTGTGAAAGGAGAGGGTCTCCTTTCACACCACCCCCGTGTGTGTGGAAGATATAAAATACCTTATAAAAACCAACATTCATTATAACAAAAAAAAAGTTGCTACTAAATTTAAACATTAAACAAAATATACCTCAATGTGGTACACCTATTCAATACACCACTGTTAATAATAAGTTATAAATTATATTTTAAGTATTAATATTTAATATTATTTTTATGTCTTAGCTTTTGTTACTTAAAAAGTAAATAATAATAAATTACTATGACTTTTTAAATTTGGTCTATTATTACAATAATTCATTTATAAATGTAACCCTTTTAAACTTTTTTACATTAAATTATTTTGTATTAAAATACACTGGAGATTCTTTGATGAACAGTTAAAATATTACCAAAAATATAAGCTATACAAGTTTGAAAAATTTGGGCCATAAATCTTAAGTGCCATACTATCATACAATACATTTGTGAAACAGACAAATAATTTTATCATAGAGCTGCTTTTGCCAATGTAAATAAAGGCATTCTAATTAACTAAATTTATGGCTGATAACCAACTCAATTGGTCAGTTATCTTATAAACTCTATTTAAAAAACAACTTTTATGTTGGCAATATCAGCCTTTAGTTGATTATCAATGAATAAATATTACCATCTAGGTTACCCAAATATCCCTATGGTCAAAAACTTAATTTTGGAATATGATTTGTAATAAAAATCTATCATTAGACATTCAATTCAAAAACAACATTAAATCAATATAAAATTATAAAAACATACCTATTTATTTGAAGTTACAAAAATACTGCAAACCGTGATAGTGTACGATTTAATTGCAATTTAAAATGTAATGTAAAAATACTTTAAATTTTGTGTAAAATAAAAATATAACTATATATTATATATTATGTCCAAATAATGTGATTAATGTATTCTTTGAACTCTTATATTATTACAAATCTATGATCATTTTTTTTTTTTTTTTTTTTGTAACAACTTAATATTTTTAACCTCTCAAAAAAACAGCTGTGGAATTATTAAAATAAATATCACAGCTATAAATTTAATAGCCAACCTCACATTATAGTTAAATGACATTTTCAAAAAATAGATAGAGCATATGATTATACAATATATCTGTTAAATTTATATAATTTTCTAATTACAATAGAAATAAAAAAATATTAGATGATAAGATAGTATAGATTTATTTGTGATTCTGTAATGTATTACAAAGCCAATCCATAGCCTCATCAAGTCCTATACCTTTTTTGGCAGATGTTTTAAATATTTGGAATGTTCGATTTTTTAAAGTGTCTAGTCCGAGAGCTTGATATATTTCAGTAACATTCATACAACCTTCGACATCTTGTTTGTTAGCCAATATTGTTAGTATAGCACCATTCAGTTCTTCTTCCTATATAAATTTGTGGAATTACCAAGAACTACTGTAATATTATTAAAACTTACTTTTAACATGTACATCAATTCATCTTTGGCTATACCCATTCTTTCTCGATCTACTGAATCAATTACATATACTACAGCATCTGTATTAGAATAATAGCATCTCCAATAAGGCCTGAAAATGAAAAAAATAAAATTAATATTAGCTATTATTTTATCGTTACTATTTCCTACAAAATAAAATAGTTTCACCAAATTTCCTTTAAATCTTATAAACAAAATATGATTAAATTGTAATGAATTTAATGAAAATGAATACCTAATAATATGATCAGGTAAGAAAATACAATTTAGATTATTTATAATATTCTGTCATTACATTATCTATAGACTTTGCATAGATAATAAAGTCATTTATTTTTATTTTATTTTTTTCAACTGGTGGACATTAGAAAATGTATTGAATGGATTTAATTATGTTATATACTTATATTTAATTATATTAAAAAGCATGGGTCTTCAAATATTGTTTGCCCTGGGCCCCCAAAAATCTAAATTCAGTACTGCTGTTACCCTATAATTATTGGCCCCCATACAATATAAACAGAAAGTGATTTCACATTATAATCAAATAAAATCTTAGCATAAAATTAATTTATTAGAAGAAATCTATTATCTGTAAGTATTTATTTATTTATTTCAGCCAAATCAATTACAAAATATTAATTACAACAAATTACATGTAATTTATCAAGAAATCAAATTTTGTAGAATAAAACAGATAAGCTCATCAATTTGTTTTTAATATTCTATTTCTGTATATTTTAGGACCATTTCAGATTAAAATCTATAGTCACTCCTAAATATTTAAATGATAATATTGTTTTAATTGGTTTATAATAAATAATCACTAAAAATGTACAGTCTCAAAAGTATCAAAACTTATCAAAAAGATTTTCAATAATAATTAAAACATAATTATTTTAAATAGAGATGATAGCCGATGATACATAATGTGGAAATTAGAAAATTAGAATTTTTTTTAATAATATTAATTATACTATACAAAACGAATAAAATAAAAAATATTACCTAATAGATGTTTGGCCTCCAAGATCCCAAACTTGAAATTTAATATTGTTATAAATTACTTGTTCTACATTGAATCCTATTGTCGGAATGGTTGTCACAACCTCGCCAACTTGTAACCTATACAATATGGTAGTCTTTCCAGCACCATCTAAGCCTAATATTAAGATTCTAAGTTCTTTGTCTCCAAATAAACTCTTGAAATAGCTGTAAAATCCACCTGTAAAATAAAATTATAATAAACAATTTTTATAAATACTCACATTTTAAATCAGAAATTATATATTTCATAAAATTAGAACTTGCTCTATTTAAATTTTATTTTTATTTGTATTAAATATACGGGATATTATACAGAAATTTTAATTATAAATTAATTTTAAAACAAATTTAAATGCAGTTCTAATATTTTCTTAAATACATAAACTGGTTTATTTAATAAGAAAATAGGTTTTGTTTTTTTTAAAAATTATTATGTTAAAAAAGTTACTTAACAATAAAAAAATATTAATTTGATGATCTTACAATTTATTATTATTTTAATGTAATAATATGTGGTCACTGAGTAGATATGTAAAACATAGACAAAAATAACTTGAATATTTTGGTAAAGTTTAATTTTGGGGGATAAGCCCTCTTCTAAGCCCCACCTTATTAGTGCCAATTATGTAAAATGGATTTGTTTTATTTTTTGTATACCTACCTTTAATTTAAAATATGTCTATAAAGTTTATAATGACTATGTAATACTGTAATTTTTCCATAAGCTACGCACAATATACAAGATGATCCATTGAAGTGGGAACACCCATTATCTCAAAAAGTTTTAATGTTTTTAAAACAAATTAATTTTGACAATTTAAAAAAATGCAGCTACATGGTAACACTATCCTTACTTGATGATTCTTTTTTTTTATTTAATGTAAATTGTTATACTTTAGATCAATTGTTGAGGAGATGCAATTGTAACATAAAAAAAAAAAAATTAAACTTTATTTTTGAGGATGAAACAACTAGCTACTTTTGATTTTCAAATAACAACCTATTATAAATGTTAATACAAAAATATTAATACCAAAATGTATTTCAACTAATAATTATACTAAACTAATATCTATGGAATTTTAGATTCTGAGTGGAGCGAAGAAGCTTATGGTTTAACAAAGATATTTATTTTTATTTTCTATGTGCAATTTTTCTATATTAATATAATTTGTCATTTGAAAATCAGAAGTAAGTAGTTGTTTCAATGTAATATAACATTTTTGAGCAGATTATTTTTTAAATTGTCAAAAAAATTTTAAAAAGTTTTGAAGATAATGAGTGTAACCACTTAAATGAATATCCTCATATAGTTAATTCATAGATGTATCAAATAAAAATAATAAATTAACAATATCAATAGCTTATTCAAAATTATTCAATGGGGAGAGGAGGGGGATGGGACTAAACATAGTAATAATGAAAATTATATATCATAATTCAAGCAAAATATATTTACATCAATTGTGTAAAACCTTTTTCTTGAGGGTATAGTTCAAAATACATAATTGTGTTGTAAAAAATAATTTGTACTTAGTTAAATAGGTAAGTAGTGCAAAGGTATGATGATTATTATTTTATTAATACCTAATAAGTAGGGCTTGGAAGTTATAAGAGTTGCATATTTGTCTGAATGCACTGGATTTATAGCAGACCAAGCTAGAAAGTCTTATTCTTTAAATAAAGAACATTTAAAATATTTTGTTAATTTTAGAGAAAAAGTGCATATTTGATAGATGTTCATTAACATTAGCGTATAATGCATATTTAATATTTGCTAAAAAATTTGATTTTTTTTTTCTTTCTTAACAAATGTGTTTTAAATAATATTTAATATAAAACTCAATATAATTCAACGTAGTTATTTACCTTGTTATTCATTGGTATTTTTAATCATCACAGTCTATTATTAATTTAACGAGATAATGGTGCTATTCACATTTAATCTTTATATTTTTTTTTTTGCATATTAATAATCTTATTATAATATATTTTTGAAAAATAAACTGAGTAAATGTTTGCATATTTATTACATTTTTTTAGCTCCTATAACTTCAGAATTCTACTTAAAAGTTTTTAGTACTGAATTATTTACAATATGTTTTTAATGAAATGTCCTGCTCTGAATTAGGCAAATTAAATTCAGTGGTATGAATATTAATAAATAAAATCAACAATAAAATATGAAAAGATAAAATTATGATTTTGGATCATATACATTATTCATATATCTACAAAGGTATGTACTAACAGTTAGATGTAATCATCAGTCACATTTTATACTTTATCCACATGCACACATACGGTAAACTTTAAAATCAGACGAAATATTGTCTGGTCATTAATGAAGAAGGCAAGTAAACAACTCAAGCCGAACATTTACTCCCGCCTCACCAAAATGAAATGTTATTCAACATTTATAATATAACAGAAGGTAGGTAGTAAAAATAACAAAAATGTAATGTACAAAATCCCTATTATTATAACTATTATAACTAAGAAATAGATACTTATTTCTTTTTTCATCAATTAATGAAAACATAAAGTACCTAACCTATAGGTACTAATGGGAAATTTCAGAAGAATCCGTTGTAACACAAACCTCAATACCAAATTACGGATTATAAATGTCCAACCTCCAAGACAAAGTCTACAGTAATTTCAAATGACATCAGTCATTCAGAAAAACTTACCCATTTCCGTGTCCGTTGGCAAATTTTACGTATCAGTTCTCAGTACGCCGCGTCGATGAAGTCGTGGTGTTGGTGTACTCGCTGGCGAGTCACGTTATCTATCGGACAGTCGACGATGACCGCGTCCCTGTGTCTTAATCAGAGAAACGTTACACAACTACACAAGACTGATGATGATGATGGCGGTAGAGTATTAAGTGGCAATTGAGACAGTTGTGAATAGATCGTAAATTGTGTGTTGTTGGGTACTTATGTTTATGCGAACGCGAAACGATCGGCGGGCGAATCGGCAACGTTTTTAGTTTTTACCATTAAAAAAGATAACTGATATCACGCAATCGTTTCGGCCAGAGCGCGTTCGTCGCCTTCCACACCATAGAGTAGAATGTAGATAAATATCTATGAACGAAGCTAACATGTTTACACGAGTTAATATGATAATTGCCACTGCGGAATAGATCCATACATAGACCCGGTAATTGTATATTATGTTGTATAAGTCTATGGATCCATATAGCTGAGAGACCTACTAGAAATTCGTTGGTACAAACTGACGTACCGATAAATTTTGTACCGGTTTATTAACACTTGATACCGATTATTTTACAACAGTATAGACGATGGAAATCTGTGTATCCCCACCATTGTTTAAAATGAACAATGATAATAATATTAATTAAATATTAATCAATTATTTAAATTATTAGTGTATTACCTATATTAAACTTCCCATTTCCCGATTAATTTGAATAGGTATTAATTGTTATCAATTAAATTATTATTATCATTTATCTGTTCGTATATTATTCGAGGGAATGAAACCGGCGTAAATAGTTAATTTAGATGAATGTTTTAAATATGCATTAATAACTAGTGTAGACATAGAACATAGTTTTCCTTTGTACAAACATATTTCAAGTAATAGAAGATTTAATTTTATGGAAATAATTTAGAAATGTCTAATTATCAATTTTAATTTAAAAAAGTAACATTTATATAGTGCAATTTATTATGCAATTTTTAAGTATATTTTGGTGCAGTTATATAATTTTAATATGTAAGTTTTGGTTATTTTAAATGCAATTAAATCTGGTCTTTAATTATGAAAATTGCAGACCACAGTAGCATAAAGGCAGCAGGCATAGTTAAAAAACAAACTATTTCCTTAAAATTAAAAACTTATAGGTATTACTTGGTAGGCACTTAAATTATAAATTAGGAATTAGAACTTTTATTTTGAATCATACCCTACTTAATCTATTTATGAAAACAGTACATAGTTTAAATTTAAAAAAAAACGATACAGACATACTTTGCACAATGGGTGGACCGTTATTGTAGGTGAGAGGTCGGAAAGATTTAATGGATTCCTACACACAATGATTCAAAATAACCATTGCAAACGAAAAACAACTCTGAACAGAATAGTGTTGCTTTGTCAACAATATACAAGTAGATAGGTATATCTCATACAATGGTAAAATACTTACATATGCATTATATATTTTTACTAATAATGATATTTGTTTCATTGTTACAATTGACCTTATTTTTTTCATTTTACCTATTTATTGAGAAAACTACTGGAAAAATTAAAAATGATCTCTCCAGTCAAATATCCTTTCAGAAAAAGTTCTACACTAGAAAATCAGAACAAAATTGTTGGTAGAAAAATTGTTCACAAATAAAAAAAATACGTCCTAGGATAATGGGGTCGGATGCAGCTACTGTTATATACTTATGTAAAGATCAGATTTAATTGGATTTAAAACACAAAAATTGCATATTAAAATCATATAATTACATCAAAAAATATGTAAAAATTACATAATAAATTGCACTATATAAATGCAAAAGATATATAAAAGAAAATTAAATAAATGTTACTTTTTTTAATTAAAATTGATAATTAGAGACATTTCTAAATTATTCTCATTAAAATTAAATCTTCTATTACTTAAAATATGTTTGTACAAAAAAAAATTGTGTTCTACGTCTACACTATTTATTGGTACATACTTAACACAATTCAATAAAGTAGGCGTTATATCTAAATTAACATTTGCTTTACCTGACATGACTTCATAGTAAGACTTTAAAGTTTTATACTCTTCATTTTTTTTCAATTACATACATTAATTTTTCTTTAATTTTTTTCCCATTTATACCAGTAATATTTGTTAAAATATCTTCAATTTTTCTAAAAATATCCATGCTTTTCGGTAGTTCACTATTAGATTCTTCTAAATTGTTAAGACTCATGGATAACTCGGACAAGTGTAAATTTTTGAATGCTAAATCACATTTGACTGCATTATTTTGTACAAGCTGTTTCAGTTTTTCGACACTTATAGCATCATCTCTTAAACTTTCAATCACGTTTTTAAACTTTTCAAAATTGGTTGCATAGAAAAGTGCAGCATTGAACCATATTCTCCATTTTGTAATAATAGGTTCGGTAAAGGTAAAGGTATACATAGCATTTATTTTCAGTATTTATTTATTCTTGGTGGTGCTTTTAAAAAAGCTTTTTTACCTGCTATAAATGAAATAAGTTACATATGTATTTAAATTTTAAATAGGTACCTAACATATTACCATTGTAATCAATTTATTAATGTCGGGATACAATTCTCAAATTTTATATAGAACTCTATTAACTGCCTGCGTCATGCATGTAATATGAATTAATTTCGGGGAAAAATATTTTTAATGTTTTTGCTGCTTTGATTATATAAGTACCAACATCACTATTAAAAAAATACTTTTTATTCAATACCAAGAAATATTTTTAACAAAGAATTAATAAACAGACAAATAGTATCAATTGGTGGATTTTAGTTCTTTATTACATGAAACTAAATATGATATACTAGGCATCCTATCTAATTTACCAATTAATAAATTTACAACAGCCAAACTTAAACGGAAATAGTATATTTTATTATATGAGAAATTAAAAGAATTATTTATACAAACCTCTTAAATCGGTTGTTTTGTCAACAACTATGTACATATAATTATTTCCAATAGCACTAGTTATTTGGTCCATAACACTTATAAATATTTGGTATGTAATGTTTTCTTAAAGTGCTTTCATCCAGAGAATTGATTTGCCAGTATGTTTTTCCAAAAATTATTTTAACACATTATTTCCCCCAGCTTATTCAAAGGAATATTTGCAACAACGAATACATTACATAAATCTTCAAAAAGTACATTTTTACTATTCGAATTTTGAGAAGTAATCAAAAACTATTTATTTTCTTTATTTCTTTTCAATGCATTTATGTGTTGAACTAACAAAAATATGCATGTATTTTTAAAATAATATGTAGTATACTACGTATAATATGAGCATATAATACAAAACTTACTTGTTTTGGAATGATGATCTACTAATAGATATTTTTTTTCAGTAGACACAGATTTGTTACATACGAGACAATATATAACCTATCAATCTGATGAAAATAATTTTTTTTTTTCATTGTAAAGAGCAATCTTATTCGAAATTTTACTACTAAAAGTTGATTAGATTTTATATATTACGTCGAATACGTGTGGCGGTCAAACTGATCAAAGAAATAGGTACTAAGGTACCAACAGATAAACGCACACGAATCGCTGTACTACTACGTTAAATTTAATTACCACCATATATACGAATATATATATTAGACGCTTATCGCTCGCTGGGTTTTCCAAGCTTCTAGAAAATTTCAGACGAACGATAAACGATTAAGATTTATAAACATGAAAAAATTGCATTATAAAATTAAATAGGCGAAATATTTTTAATATATATCGGCTACATATTTAATCAGAAAAGTTGCAATATCAATTAAATCCGGTCTTTAGTTATAAGTAATTTAATGTATACCTAAACGCAACGATAAAATGATTCTGAGCGCAATTCAGTTGATAATGATGTTTTGTAAACAATATATATGTCATATTATGGTAAAATAATTAAATAGACATTATGTTATTTCTTTAATAATACTTGTTTAATATTGTGTCGATTTTCCTATTTTTCCTGCGTTTTTCCCGGTAATTCACCTTTGCTGGGGAAAACTCTTGGAAAAATCGAAAAATAATCTCCCCTAAGTACCTTTTCAGTCAGATTTCCTTTCAGAAAAAATTGTACCATAGTGAATCGGAGTAAAATTGATGGTAGAAAAAGTTGTTCACTGGAAAAATGAAGGCCCACCTATTTTTCAACTATAATACCTACATTTCGTACATTTTCCCGTTTTCCCTCCGTATTTTTTTTTGGTTTTTCACAATTGTTGATAAAACTGGGAAAATCGAAAACTGACATCCTAACAGTACCTTGAAAATAATATTTCCTTTCAGAAAATAAGCTACACTTGGTATATCGGAACAAGAATTTTGGTAGAAAAGTTTGCACGACAAATCGAGAGGTATTTCGCGATTAAAATAGTCCGAACGAGTGATGGCTTGGGTCTCTAGGTACACCCAAAATGCATTTGTTTTTTCCTTGTTTAGGTAAAAGAGTAAAAAAAGTGCAAACAATTTATTTTCGAATTACGGGTTCGAACACACAAACTCTATGATGGAAATAGGTATGTATTTAAAGAAGACAATATTTAGTTATTTAACAAAACATATAATATCAGAAATTCCAATTGTATCAGAAAAGCTATAATTTCGGAACTAAATTAGTTCGCTCAATTTTGACTTTTCGATCGTTTTTAAATCGGCAATTTACAAAAAAAAAAGTTGAAATTTAGATTTATTCCACATTATTTTTTACTTAAACGATTTTCGTCAAAATTTAATATTAAAATTCCTTTATAAAAATGAATACTACATTAAATTTAATTTATTTTTTTCAACTACAAAGTTAGACTCCTAATGAACCACCTGTTAAATTGTCAAGCCTTTCTGTTCAAGTTTAACAATTTTACCACAAAGTACCTACCTACCGAATAAAAATTACTACAAAACTCTCACAATTAAAATGTCTATAAATTGCCCAAAAATATAAATACGTTGTATTAAAAAAAAAGTATTTTAAGTAGTATTAACTCTTATAAACTTTGTTTAAATTTCATGTTGTAAAACTAGGAGGTTATAAATAATAAGTGATAAGTGAGACATAAAGTAAAAACTGATGATAAGTATAATATTATTAATTTAGTAGTCCTAATTATTAGGACTTGGGACTTTAATTAAGTGCCCATTTTTCCCAAAAAAATTTGTTCTACCTACGGTGCTGGATTCAGTAAATGTTTGCATAGTTTTTGCAGCAAAACATAAATGGTATATCGTTATATCATTAAATAACTTTATGTATCTTACCTTACCGACTTCCCACGTACAACAGTGGCGCATCTGTTCCTAGCATCAGCTCTTTTTTTTTAAGGTATTATACAGTCAATTTAAAATAATAATAAAATAAAAGCCCATCATTTTATTATTTTTCAACATAGTGAAATAGTAACCTATACCTACCTAAATAAAATAAATTACAAATTTCCGGTCTGTTTAATTTGTTTACCCTCTAATATATATTTCAATATTTTATTCAATTCGGAGGCCGGACGTCGGTTGTAACCTATTAATAAAAATAAATTCATGATGAGTTAGAGACTATATTATTATCATTTAATTGGTCGTGGAATCCATACAATTCTCCCAAGTGGACCTTATATTCAAAGCGTAGTAAAGAATCGATCTAATTGGTTTTACAATGGATATGTGTTTTTTTGTCTGAATAACTTTCCTACTAGAAAACTTGCTCTGAAGTATATACTATAGCACCATTAGGTAATAGGTCTCTAGTTGGTGCAATGGGGAGATCATTTTTTTTTATTTTCCAATAGGTTTTCGAAATAATTATAATATTAATCAAAATCCGACAGAAAATTATAGGTAAACCGGCCAACATTTACGGCGCACCGTTTTCATTGTTTTTATTATGTTAATATGATGTTTTTGTACCAGAAATATTGCTCCAATCCAAAAATGACTAAAAATCGATTTTATTCCTTATAATATTTTGCCACTGACAGACTAAGTTGTTTTTCGATATTCAAAGTAATGTTCCTAATAATAAGAAAAAACCAAAAGTTAAAATTGATTAATATTTACGGATGCAACGTAGCGTCCCAATTTATTTTAATATGTTCAACTTGTGTTTTCTATCAAAAATATTACTCCAATTGAAAAATTAAAAGAAATCGAATTTAAAACATAGTCATTGACAAAGTGAATCATTTTATTATATTTAAAGTATTTTTCATAATAATTGGGAATAAAAAAAAATATGTATTCTTTTTCTCAATTATGGCTCAACGATTTCATTATTTTAAATTTTTATAGTTTAGGTTTTCTACCATAAATATTGCTTCAATCGATAAATGACAAGATACCTTTTTGGTTGTATTTTTAATCTAGTTTATGAATAAGTTATTCGATTTTAGATTTTTTTTAGTTTTATTAATAATTGAGCATTACTGAAAAAAAAAAAAAATCATAGAAATAACGCTCAATTTTATGAAAATAATGCTTTTATTAATTTCAGTTTTGTTTTTTCATTTTAAAATTTTTTTCGAGAAAATTAAGTAGGTATATCAACTGGTAAAAAAAAACGAATGGAATTTTTTCATAGACAAACTAATTATATTATAGGTATGTATGAAGGTAGTAACTAATATAACTAACTTAACCTATAAGCAAAAATTTCATAATTTGTTTAAGTATGTTGTAATAGACCATTATCCAGTTAGGTATAATCGTGAATCGTGACAAGACTCAGTTGATTTCTGCGGTGACTGGACGTGACGATTTTCAAGGAACTATTTGTCCTTTATGTTGTTAAAATATTTGGTATACCTAAAAACAATGAATTCACTTCGTTTCAAGAAATGATCTAGTTTATACAGTTTACAAACCTGCTTAATTTATATGAAGGCGAAGGACTAGACCAACTGGTTTAATTTTGAACAATGGGTATATTTCAAAATGATTCCCCCTCCCCCCCCGAACAAAAATGTTTGATACGGGAAAACAGTACCTACCTAAAATAATTGAAAATTAAAATTACTATATCAGTTATATGAGAAACTGAAAAATGTATACTTTATTTGGTATCTGCCTGAAAATACAGTATACCTACTATTACTCATAAACATTCAAATTTTGTATAGGTATACCAGGTACCTATGTATAAAAAATGTTATACCTGTTATGGCTAATATGAATATGTATTGAATCAACGATAATTAACAGTTATAACAAAAATTATACAAAAATTAATAAGTATTTACTTTATTTTAGGAGTATTTCATTGGAATGCAATCTTAAAAGAAAAATTCCTAATATAACGAAAAACTTAGGTAGGTACATCATTAAGAATTTGTCAACTACAGTTTAATTACGTACTTAGGTAATTGTTCAAACACAATTATTAATAATAAACTAAATAACTTCTGTATTAAATAATTAGGCATATGTAAACAAGGTTAGAAAAATAGAAATTCAAATTATGACGTAAGGGAGTGAATTTTCTATAACTTTTATAAATTATAGGTATTGCTATTTGGAATAAGTCATGTATGTGTTTGGAATCTATCAGATTTATAAAATATCCCTTTTGGTCCTATTTTTTTCATCTATAGGCCTCTTAATACACTGTAAGTTAAGTATTACATTTATTAACTCTTTGATGTGTCTAATATATTTTGTATAAATAACAATTTCGTATAATGTTTTACACTACCGGTTGTTAGTTGTTCTGTTTAATATTACTTATGAAATAATCAACAACAAAAATGAAAAGAGATAATCTTATTATATTATTAAAGCTTGTGGTTAATATTAAGAAGAAAAAAATACATAAACTATTAATTTATAATTCTCATGGCAAAAACTCAAGGAAAAATAGTATAAAAATCAAAATTTTAATAAATAATACTAATTTGACAATAACAATATTTGAAAAAAAAAAACATTATTTACTGTCTATTTGCATAAAACACAATATAAAAATGTTAATAAAATGCATACAAAATTTTAATAATTAGAATTACTCTATAATTATTATAGAGTAACATGTTCATTTTTAAAATTAAAATAAAGAAATACAAATAAATAATAATAATAATAATAATAAAGAATATTTATAACGTAAGAAATTACTACTAGATTTTATTTTTTCAAAATTAATTAAGTAATGAACAATAAAAATGAAGACATAATTTTATTTATTATGAGTCATGATATTAAAAATTTGTAATCAATATTAAGAAAAAAAAACAAACTATTAATTTCTTATTCTCATAGCAAAAACTCAAGGAAAGAATAATATAAAAATCAAAATTTTAATAAACAACACTATTTGACAAAAACAAAAAAAAAAAATTATCTTGTTAATTATATTAAATGCATACAAAATGTTAATTAAAGAGTAACATTTCTTTCTAGAATTAAAATAAATAATATGAGATTTTTTTCAAAATGAATTAAGTAATCAGTTAAAGAAATCAAAATCCAATTGAAAGTGTAAAAATATTCTACATATACTTATTATTTATCAATATAACACTAAAAAAAAAAAATATATATATTCAATCAAATAAAATTATCATTTGATATTTAATGCCTAATTATTATAACTCATAATTTAATAATAATGTGTTTTTTGGATGTCAATGATTTATTAATGAAATGGAAACAGTTCTTTGTAAATTGCATCGAGGATACCCTCACTACTCTTTGGAATATCTGCATTACTGCTACCAGCCAATTCATCAGCAATTACATTTTGACCTTCATTGGCACCATTTAAATCATTTTTGTCAATAACCATAGACATTTCATTATCTTCATAATCATCGTTATCTTTATCATCTTCATCATCTTCATAATCATCGTTATCTTTATCATCTTCATCATCTTCATTATCTTTATCATTTTTATCATCTTCATCATCCACAAACCCATTTTCAGATTCACTGTTACTGTTATTCTCCGTGTTTTCTCCCTCAGTAGTGATTAACAAATGTCTGACAGACTTGAATCCCCTAGAACTAGCAAACTGTGCCAATTGACCAGTTGGGTCTCTGCCTTCTCTTCGTCTGCATATGCTACAATTACAAATTCCCCGACATGGTGGGCATGCCCATTTCTTTAAACATAAAAATAAAAAATATTATTTGTATTTAATTAAGTATGTTGTAGTAGTTGGTATCACTGTATGATGTGATACCTATAATTTAGTTTAAATAGTGATAAGTTGTTTTTGAAAAGATGGTTAACTAATGATGGTTCATACATACACATGGTTTTCAAATAGGCTGTATATTGTATAATTGTATAAATGTATTGTTTATATTATAAATTATTAGAATTTTAGAAATCATAAATACAACATAGTGCTAATCAATCAAAATAGTTGTGGATACAAATAAGAGAAAAAAGTTTAATAAGTCAAGCCCTCGTAACTTAGCATAAAATATCTTGAAGAAATTTTTAAAGGTTCAGACAGAGAATATTTATTTTAGGGTTACTGAAACTGACTTAAAAATGAGAAGATAAAGATACCTGAAGTTTTAAATTCAGCTGTACCAGAACCATATAGGTTATGCAATACATTCAAGGTTGAAAAGGCTGAAAAGGTTTTGATAACTTTTGAAACCTATTATATACTAAAACATATAAGGTAATAGAATATTTTTGTTTTTTCACAGAAGCAAAATGATCAATTTTACACTAACCTAAAGACATTCAAGTATAACCTTGTTATTTTGATACCATGGACAACAAAATGACATACTAAAATTCATTGTCTTCAGGCTATGAAAATATAAGTTACAAATCAAGAATGCAGAGAAAAAACTTAGATCTGGATAAAATGGTTGAAGGGATGGTAATGGTCAATCAAACAGAATTGGTCAAAATGGAAACTGGCAAGTAGAGGTAATACATAATTGTAGCAAATGTAGTTTTACACATGGTATAAATAAATAGTATGCTTATAGTAAGAAATGTACAAAATTTAATTATTTTAGAAAGTGTTATAGTATAAAAACTTTAAATTATTATGGTAATAATAAAAGAAATAGAGTAAATAAGTTGAAGAAATAATCAGGGGCCTACAAAATAAATTTGTAGTACTGAGTTTGCTGGGAGGAAACTATTGATATAAATGGATATAGAGTGAATATAAGAGTAGATAAAGTACACAAGTAAATGTAATACTATTAAACCTGTGCAATAAATTTAAGGTCAAACTATAAGAATGAGAACCAAAGATTAGGGACTTTTGAAATTTTTATAGTTGAGCCTGGAGAAAAACAGTAATATTAACTAATTTTACAATTGTAATTGAAACTAAATTTATAGAGGTTGATATGTGGTTTTTAATTCAATATTAGGTTTAACTGATAGCAGAAAACTAAAATAATAAATTGAAAATGCAAAGATAGGTCAGTTAGTCAGAACTATTTTCAGATGTTATTATTAAATAAAAGGACCAAAGTCATACATAAAAATGAAGATGCGGTCAAAGAATTGGGTCATTTTCATAAATAGTTACTGTGAAATTAAAAAAATGTAGCACAATACAAAATTGTGTTAAGCAAGAAAGACCCCTTGTTTGAGACAGGTAAAATAGTTATTAAATGAACTGAGTGAGTAGGTAAGTAATACAATGATTTTAGATTAAAAAATATAAGAGTTTATATATTTGTTTAGACTGTAATGAAAATTAAATAAGTAAATAGTTAGAGGATCATCAGATATCAATATTACAGGAGATTAAAGTCCAACTGATAAATACAAAATTGTTCAGTATATTAGATAATAATAGCAGATTTTATCAGTGTTAGATAAAAAAAATCAAGCATGTTTTTCAATTTTAGTAGAGGATTTGGCATTATATCAGTTTAAGAGATTAGCTTTAGACTATTGAATTTGGTTTCTACTCTAGAAATATTTCAAAGATTAATATACAGATATTTTGATGATATTTATTTATATGTGCTAAAACTTTGGATGGACATAATCAGATATTAGAGAGAGCAAGATCATTAAATATTAAATTATAATTATATTTAAGAGGTAAAATGTCTTGATTTTCTGTCAAATGAAAATAGAATAAAGTATGATAAGGAATGAATAGAGTCCATAGTTAAGTTAACCAAAAAATAAAAAAATTATAATGGTAATGGTTATAATTAATTATATCAGAGTTTGTGCCAAATATAGCTGAGATTTCAGCCCATTGAGAGAGTTAAAGAAAAAAGATAGTTTGGGAGTGGAATCAAAATCACGATAAAAAAATTAATGATATTAAACAATTCATTGGGAAAATAAAAGTATTAAATACGTTTGATTCGAAAATTCCACGAGATTTATCACAGAACACCACTGTGTGCCTGTTGCCTTATGCAGAATAAAAACTTGGTTAATATTCTGTGAAACTATAAGGGCTAATTGTACAATTAGAAAACAATGATTAAATTATAATCAATGATTAAGACCTTTGGCCTGTTGTACAGTGTCTGTTAACTCCTTAACAATTGATTACAGGAAGTTAATCAACCATCAGAGGTCGGTTAAACAATTACTAATTAATTAATTTTTTATCTATAATCTCATGTTATTATTATTATAATTGAGACATTAAATATTGTTATGCTTTTGACTGTTGCATAAAAAAAGGGCCTACAATACATTTGATTTCAGAGGACACACTTATTAATTCAATTGTAACTTTTGATAGGTTTTCATAGATAAAAAACCTGTGGGGGTTGTAACATCCAAAATTATCCCCCCCTTTTATATACTGCTTATATTACAGATTTATATTATTTATATGACGTTTGGACTAAAAATATAAAATATAAATATAAGTAAAAGTTCAAAATATTTTACTAATAGTTACATCAACACACTAGTAGTAGTTTTGATAAAACATGGAGGGGCAAATTTAAATTTGTTGGGCCCCATACTATATAGACATTTATCAAATAAAGGATAAAAATTGTTTACAGTCCTTTCATAAATTACACATAACTTTCATTTTAGATTCAGAGTGAAGCAAAGAAACGTATGGCTCTACAACTGTTTTATCTGTGGATAACTTTTCTACCAGAGATCTTGCTCCAATATATATGATGTAGCAACTTTCCTTAAAAGATAACTTTGTTGGAAATGTACTTTAGGGAGATCATTTTTCGATTATTTCTGAAGTTTTATCAACTCACATTTATTCAATGTGAAAACAGAAAAAAAACATGGGATAACTAAAATAAATGTAGGAAAAACAGAAAAATCATCAGTAGATACAATATTAAATTAATATTATTAAAGAAAATGTATAATGCCTATTTAAATATTTTCACATAATATGGCTTATATATATATATTGCTGACAAAGCATCACTATCAATTGAACTCTACTCAGACTAGTTTTTTTGTTAGCAATGGTTTATTGTTGCTTATGTACAAAATATACCTAATAGTTGATAAAAAAAAATTCCAAAAATCATAATTATATTAGAGTATATGCAAAATGTAACCAAATAAATGGGGTAAGCATGCAGTGAATCATCCTATATGTTAAATTGATGTTTTTAAGTTACAAAATAACTGGTATGACCATCAAAAGTATTGAGTTAATATTGTAACATATTCCAATCCTAGTTATTATGAAATACAACAAAGTATACTATTATAAATCATAATATTATCATATTATAAAAATTACTGGATTTTTAAGAACATCTGCAACATTTTCACCATATCTCTTTCCCAAACAAAATCCACAAAACATTCCCCTGACACCTCTGCATCCCTTATAACGGCAATATGATTTTTGATCCAATGTCTTTTGCCTGAAAAAAATTAAAACATAATCACACTTTTAAACACCCATAATTAGTATTTATATTATCTATAAAATATTAACATAAACTAAGATTTATAATAAATAAGTAACAAATTAATTTATGGACTCTAAATAGAAATTTGAGTTTTTTAAACAAAATTTAAAATCCATAATAGGATATTAATAGCATTGATAATGAAATTCAACAATAGGTATAATATGCATTAAAAATAAGTAAAATATCATCATTACTAATAGAAATAACATTAATTTAATAAAAAATATAATAGCTTTTTAACTAATAATCTCAAATCTTGCAAAACAACAATAAAAATAGTAACCAAATTAATAAACCAGCATTCAAAACCCACAATATTAACAAATAAAATAAATGAATTTAGTAAACTGGGACCAAGATATATAAATATATATAAGTAAAACAGATAGAAATTTTAAAAATATATAGCAAAAATAAGATTAAATAAAACTTTTCAAAATATGTCTCAGAAAGGGGCCATCTATCACAAAACATTGAAAAAGATTCTATTCAATGTGTACTCAAAATAATAAATATTTAAATTCAGTATTAGAAAGTTATCACATTCATAATGAAATAAAAACCAATAGTTTCAAATATTTCAATAATAGTATATTAAATAATATACAAACTGATTTTAAAAATAAAATTCTATTTACTTATTTACATAGACTTAAAGATGATAATAACGATAACAATGTTTAATCGGTCCTATACCCTTTTTGATATCAAGAATATCACTCAATCACAAACTAAAGCAATCAAAAAGACCATGAACTTATCAATTTCAGTTCCATACTCCAAAGTTGATAGAACTACTTAATTATTTAGATCTTATCCTCAAAGACCATGAATTAATCAATTTCAGATCAGAATCGGAATAAAATAAAAAGTGATGAGACTACTCAAAAACAGAATAAGAATATACTCTAAAAAGACCTTTTATTAAAAAACACAAATAATACATGAATTCCTTTAGTCAATCTACTCATAGGCACTCAAACCAAAAACTGCCACACTTCCTTTTTCACCTCAAATGGCCTTACATATAATTTACATTATGTTGCCTCCGCTTATTTTCTTCACTGGCGTACTTAAAAATATTGGTGATTAAACTTATAAACAATTTGTTTATATTTGTGTTGGCATATACAGCAATATCATTATTATCATTGTTTTAACTATAAATTATATACTTGCACTATAATATCATAAATAATGTTCATTATTTGTATTTATATTTATTTTGTTTTTATTTCAAATATTAATGAAACTATTTAACAGTGCATATCAATAACCTGATATATAATGATGTTGAGCTTAAATTGAGTAGTTATATAGTTATAGTTATAGTTATGTACAGTGCTCAAATTGGGAAAATTGAAGTAGAGGAACTCTGATTAGTCACAAAAAAATGTGTCATTTAGGATTGTTAAAATTCTATTATATTCATTATATAGAACAGCAACCCAACAGATGAAAACATTATGAATGTGGCAATTTCTTTATTTTCAGGAATTTCGACACTTGTTATCTCAACTAACTATTAACTATTAACTACAGGTCTATGTTAAAATCTTGAATGGCAACTCCTTGAACAGCAAAATCGTGAAAAAATAATTTCAACAAATTCTTGAAGGGTTTTAAATCTAAAAAAAAAAAAATAAGTAGAAAAGCTCTGTTTCCTACCTCCCTGTATCAATTTGAGCACTGGTTATGTAATAATAAACTTTCAGACTTCCAAGTCTTAAGTTTAAATTGTTTAAAAAAAATTATAATACAAGAAGTGTTATATGATCTCGAATTTATAATTTTAAAAAAAGCTGTCCTAAGATAATAGGAATAGGTGCAGCCACTGTTATAGGAAAGAAGTTGGGAAGATAGAAGAGGGGGAATTTGATATATATCTATAAGGAACGATAAACCATTACTAACGAAAAAATTATTCTGAGCGGATTACGAGGAAAATTAAAAAATAACCTCCTTATAGTACCTCCATAGTTCAATTTTCATTCTAAAAGTCAGGCTTTCCACAGACTACTAGTCTAAAAAGTAGTGAGAATCATAAGTATTTTGGTAAATAAAGTGAGTCAAAATTAAAAATTTAGTGAGTATACTTCACCAAACATTAAAAATACAGTACTTAATATAGACTATAGTAACACATAAAAAAAAAAAACAAACAAATCAATTTGAAATATAAAAATTTATATTCATTGAGGTTAAAAATAGTTTTACACATATATAATGAAAAATTTTATATTTATTTTTTAATTTTAATTTTTTAATAATATTAAGTTTACATATAATTTTTATGTTTTAGATTCATTATACTTAAAATAAAAAAAGGTAAGATAATGGAGACAGGTGCAGCCACTGTTGTAGGTGGGAAGTTGGGACTGTAGAATACAGACAAAAATTTAATGTATATCTTTAAGCAACAATAAACCAACTAGCTAACGAAAAATGATTTTCAGTGGAGTTCAGTTGATAGTGTTGCCTTGTCAACAATATATATGTCATATTATGGTAAAATGATTACAGCAATGTGAGGTTCCATAACAAAAATGATTATTTAAAAATGAATAAAATAATAAAAACAGTTGCCAATGACAATTGGTTTTTAATCATCTAATCTTTTTAACCTAAAGAACCAAGTTTTCCTCGTTATGTCAAATATTAATAAGAATTCCAAAAAAATAATCTGTCTAAAGTACCACCCAGAGAACATTTCCTTTCAGAAAAGGAGCTATACTTGATAATTGGAGTAAGCTTTCAGGTAGAAAGTGTTCACATAAAAAAATTCAACATTATTGTAAAACCAATACATTCCTCGCTCCACTCAGAATCTAAAATCTAAATAATTAAAATGCACATAAATTATTAAGGAAATTACTAAATATGAAAAAATATATATATAAATATAATAAAGGAACCACAAATTAATTAAGACACAGACAAAAATATGCAATTACTATACATTCTGCAAATAATTATATTATATTTATTAATATTTACCTGCACTGATGACATGTTGTACCTTTATCACTATATTTTTTGTTACTTGAGTTATACTCAATATTTTCTAACATTTCATCTGTCACCTGAGATACTGACAATCTAGGTGTTTCCACTTTAGTATTCCTTCCTCTTCTTTTTTTTGAACGCTACACATTAATTATAATTTATTAAAATATCATGTAAGTGTTACATAGTATATTTAGCAATTTAAATGATATTTAATACATACAGGTTCATCATAATTATACCACTGTTCATAAATCTCATCTTCATCGCCATTATTAGGTAGAGCATTATAGTACTCATCGACTTGTTTTTTACTTCCATTTGATTTAAACCACGGGAACTTTATACATAATGATCCTCGAATTAATCTGTTTGTTTCCCCTTCATTATCACTTTCTTCATTATAATTTGGTGTTTCCCTGAATTATAAAAGCACATACAAGTAACAGATTAAAGGAAAAAAATTGTACACAATAGTTAAAAAATGAATTATTATTTTCTTGACTAATAGCTAGACTAAACCACAACATTATTGTGGGGTTATTCATTCCAATTTAGACACTTGATAGTCATCAAATCCCAGAAAATTAAATAATACTATTTTACTAAAGCAAATCATATGCTCCAAAAATATAAAGCGAATAACCAATAAAATTAGAGAACCCATTTTTTTGATTTTCTATGTCGTTTTTTTTAATAATTAATCAAAACTGAAAAAAAGTTTAGATAGAACAGGAAAATTTATGAAAATAATATTTTTTTTTTTTTTGTAATTCAGTTTAAAATATTTGTAGACTTAAAACTTTTACAGAAATTTTATATTTACTTTTTCTACATGTGGTAAAATTTTAAAAACATTTGAGCCATTTTCAATATATTTATAAACATTTCAATTTTGTAAATTGTTTTACGTTATTTTATTGGTAGGTATTCAGTGGATAAAATTATTTGACCAAACAGATATGCTTGAAAATTGAACGGGAGATTCATTACAAGTTGTACTTAGTGGCAAAAAAAAAATTAAGTATAATGTGGTATTTATTTTATTATGAAGTTTTAAATAAATAAAATAAAATATCAAATTTTGATGAAAATCGTAAATATTATACCTTTTAAAAAACATGTATACTTGAACTCCACTCAGAACCGTTTTTTTTAGCAAAGGCTCATTGTTGCTTACATTTATAAATTAAATAACTTTATGTATCCTACCTTCCCAACTTACCTCCTACAATAACACAATGGCACACCAGTTCCTAGATCTGCTTTTTTTTAAATTTTTATGAATTAGTGTGGCCTATTTTTTTTTAATAAAACTTTTTCACTAATTACAAAACTATTTATTCGTACGCATAATTTTTGTTTGCTCTCGACAAAATTACTTACGATTTATTAAGATATTCGTTATAAACGTAAATAGAAAACGGTTGAGAGAAAAACCGAAAAAGAGTTGGTTGGATGGGATTGAGAATGATGCGAGGAAAGACTGTGTACGCGAGATGGTAGATAGATCGGGTAGACGGTAGAAGTTTGGAACGAAAGTGGCCAACTTCGAACAATTAGGATGAAGGCGATGGAGATATTCAATTCTCAAAAGAGATTACAAGGTGATGTTCAATGTAAACGCGACAAAAGCGAACAAAACCACAGCTTGTATTTTATCACACCGAACGGCCAGAATAGAGATCATTCGTATAGGTACTACCTAGTCATGTTTACGTAGGATAAAGCGACGTTCACTCTATAAAAAGAAAAGAGCGTTATAATTTCTATATTTTCCATCTTTGTTACGTAGGTACTATTTATATTATACTCTATAAAATACAATGGCCGTTTTCCCATTTAAAAAACCATAAAGCACAATTATAATGCTAGTATATTATAATGTATTACACTTATTAAGAAAACGTAATACCCGCAAATTGTGCTGTTCAACAAACAGGCGATAATAGCAAAATCTACCTTATGCAGACTGCGTAGAAACCGCTTATAATTTTAGTTTCAGAATAAAATCGCCTATTATAAAAAGGACAATTTTCCGGAGTAGAAAACGATGGCATTTCTTTTTTTTGAAATCATGGGCAATCGGTAATCTCGAATAGTCGTATACAGGTGATCCATTCAATTGGGTATACTCATTATCTCGGAAAGTATTAACTTTTTCCGTTATTTGTTTTCTATAACATTTAAGAAAAAAGCTGCTCTCAAATTTTACATTTATGTTATTTTTGCGGGTAAAACCCCTACCTGTTTTTGATTTTCAAATGGCAACCTATATTAAAAATTATATAAATAGATGGAGTATTAGTTAAAATTTTAGATTTCCGTCGATCCATTAACGAGATATTCCACTTTTAAGTTTGGGTTGGAGAGAGTAATGGAGTATCATTTGTGGTACGGTGCGCGGTGTATTAATAATGCACCACTACTCTCTTCCAACCCAAATTTAAAAGAAGTGGAATATCTCGTCAATGGTTTGATAAAAATCAAAACTTTCAACACTCAAATTTATTTTAACTATTACTCCATCTTTTTGTGCAATTTTTTATATAGATTGCCATTCCAAAATCAAAAGTAGGAAGCGGTTTTACCACATAAAACTAACATAAATATAAAATTGTAGAGCTGCTTGTTCCTTGAATGTTCTAAAAAACAAATTCCGAAAAAAATAAATACTTTCCGAGATAATAAGTGTACTTAAATGGATCACCCGGTGTGTGCCACTTTAGGCTGAACATGATTTAACACGTCACTGACTATATTATAAAATAATAAAGTAAAAAAAAAAAATATTAAAATATATAAATAAAAATAAAATAAATAAATGAATGAATGCGTCCTCTGAAGCTTTATGATTAGTGTATTATACAACAAACTTAACCTAACCTATTGTGTTATACCTGATGAATTTTTAATTCGAATAAAACACTCCAATGTTAAATTCATTTATTTATTAATTTTATTTTTTATATACATTTTTTATTTATACATTTATTTACTATATGTATAATATTATAATGGTCCCTCGTTCGTTATCGCCCAACTAGTGCCCGCTATTGTTTGCCGTCATTACACCTCAACAAAATAATAACGAAATAGCATTACTCTGACGCCACCGTGTTATAATAGTTCTGACTCGCTACCATTCGGTATCATGTAATTCATTTTGTAACAATTTTGAATATTTGTAAACTTTTGTTAATTAATTTCTATAATACAAATAGTGGTAATAATCTGGACTGGCCAGTTGTTCACCTAGTGGCACAACATGTTAATAAGGGGCCATGTAAAAATTTCTAGACAGGGTCTATACCGGCTATACAAGAATTCTATAAATAGATAGGTTTTTATGTCTTATTATCGCCAAACGCGTATTGTCACGACTTAAGGTGCCTTTACAGCTTATCGTGAAACGTGAAATATTCTAAGACTGCGATTGGTTGAACCATGTGGTTATTTTGTAGTGGTTAACCAGTGGTCAATCATCATTTTTGATTTTAATATCTTTCCTGTACCGCTTACATCGGATAGTTAAGTATAATCCTAATCGGACGGACCGTTTACCTGCTGTGCGTTCACCACAGCTTAATGATAATGATTTAACTATTCTGAATTATATCAATCATGGTGAATAAATTGTAAATTATCACATTTCACGGCAAGTTGTGAAGGCACCTTTATACACACCAACACTATGTATAATAATTAATATAAGAAGTTTCAATTATAGTCTATACGTTATACCCGCATTCTGATTTCCGGCACCTATACAGAATACGGTTATCCGGTACCTATACAGTATAATATGGCTATACGGTATACAGGTGTCTCACAGGTACTCGTAATTATGTACAGGAGAGAGAAGGACAAATTGAGACACGGGGCCTTTAGGTCATATACCAACTCCCTAAGTTGTGTTTGCTTTCAATATTTAGTAAGTAGCTCTATCCATTGTATATGATCCAGGCACGGGACACAGTGAGACGATGTAAATAGATAACAGAGAAATAACATCTAGAGGTTCATACCGATATGCAACGAATACGCGATGTTAAATACGTTTCCATTTTGTAGCGGTTTGATACTGATAAGATGAATCATGTTTATCAACATTTCCCGCAATTTTGTTATCAAAACGAAAAAGAAAATAATAATGAGATAATATATAACATATTACCTATATCGATAGGAAAAATGGTAGGAATATCGTACTTATATGAGATCTCAGGGACCCCCACAAAACCGGGGGCACCGGTGAATTGCACACCCAACGTTCTCGATGATTGCGTCACTGTGTTCATCGCATGTCTTGTACCTACGTTGCTCTAAACCACCGTCCAAACTTTCTTAACACGCCAATATAGAATATTATGATACTGGAGTTTGTTTGTATAAATTAAATTAAAAAAAAAAAAAAACTCGTTTTTAACACAGATAATCCTCGAGCGGTTTTTCCCATGTGATTGCGTGTTATATTTTTCTAGCAATTTATTAATTTCCTTACTTAATTTCATCGAAATATGAACTGAACTTGAACGGAAAATTCATAGGATATGTATCGCGTTATAAACTACACAGACTGTATGTGTAAGTGTTATACTGCCTCGTCTCCCCTACCGCACCCACCACAAAAACACGGTACTGTAAAATATTAATAAGAATATAAATTATTGTCGAATGTTAGATTTTATTATCGCGAGTTAATTATGGACTCGTAGGAAATTAATATTATCATCGTATTTATTATTGGCGTTTAGTGTTTGCGGAAAACCGTAATCTTGAAATCCCGCGTGACTGGGTTTTGTTCACGTATTATTTACCAGCCGAAAATAATTTTAAAAATAGCATTAGAAATAACCATAGATGTTGAAGTCTTTACGTTCAAATAACGCAATAAAAAAAAAAAAAAAAAGATAAAAATGAATGCCTACAAATAATATTATAATTTTTTTTTTCTAGATAAACCTCACTAAATGTTCGACCTTTTATTGCTGGGTTTATATCCATACAATTTAACTTCGTATAAAGATAAAACCACATAAAAACTCGACCACTTTTAATAGATATAAATAGTTCAACAATCGTCAGAATATTGTAAGAATTATACCACGGCTAGAATGACCTAAAAAAACCCAAGTCTCTGATTAATCGAGCTAACAACAGAAACCATTAAAGTCCATATTTTTCAATTTTTTCCCCCCCAATTGTTGATAAAACTAAAAGGGAAATGAAAAAATTAAAAAAAGACCAACTCAATGAACAAACTAGAAAAAAATTATTACTGGAAACCACCTCTGCAATATTGATAATCGGCAGGGAAAGTTAGACGGAAAAAAAACATAAAGTAGTAAAAATCAAGTAGTAAAATTTTTCTGGGAGTTGGGGAAAGTTTTATAATACATCTCTTTATACTTATTACATACCCTTACGATAAATTAATTAAACAATACATTTTTATTTGTATATACTCTCTGAAAAGATAGAGTGGCAAATGCCCTTTCTTACCTCCCCTACCACCGCGATGTCTATCGCATCATTACCAAATGTATTCAATAATCAATAAACTAACAAAAATTGGATGTTATAATATATGCATTTACTTGTTTTTCAAATGTCGAGCTGAACGCCTTACTAACGTGGGACGTTCATAATTTCGAAGTTTGGGTGTTACACTTCGTTCTGGTTTTGGCTGTTCGGCTGTTCGTTTACGTTTCTTATCCGCAGTTAAAACGGCGACATTTTTTTCCACAGATTCTACCAAGTCATGGAGCTGTGAAAATATACGATTCTATTAAACCGATGTCCACATGATTCTGTTCATAAAAAAATTAGACAAATCGAACCATAGCAAAAGTTTCGAATACCTATATATACATATACATATATGTAATATACCGTTAAGTACCAACCTGCTCTCTCATAGACATTATGTTTCTGTTAATAGTTTTTTCATATTCCGACAGATTCGAGTCATTCATCTTCAAAGAAGTATTGTGAAACATGTTGGATAGGTAGGTAGCTCAGACTTAAAAATAACACGCGAACGATTAAAAATATTTCTGTCTCCGGCTCGTTCGGCCTGTTGACCGATCGTTTCACAAATTTCCAACCGGAATAATGTGTTACCTATACTTTTATTTTATAGAATAACACACGTCGAAAACGTACGGATATTCAATGCGCGACAAAAATAAAAAATACGTATATACCTATCTAGGTATTATACGGCAACAGGAAAACCCAGACAACTCGGACGACAGCGAACAGACAAATGGCGGGCGAGATTAGTCCGAACTCGGAAAACAATACTGTGCAGTGTGTTGGGCATCGCACTGTGTTATAATATTCAGTGATTGTGTAAACGGTTAACGTTTTGGCGCGTAAATGCCCATAACGGACAATATACATAGATACATAGATAATGTAATGTTTAATCAAGGTCACAAGTGTTCCAGACCATGAGATAATACGAGACAATACGAGTTAATAGTTGAGTTTATTATCAGTGAATACCCTTTTTTTTTTTTTTTTTAATAAAATATTATGTTTCTGTTTAAGGTTTGACTATTCGAGTTCAATAATAAGTTTTGAAATTTCCATTCTGGTTTATCACTTCTGATTGATTTGTATTCTAATTATTATCAAGTCTAATGTCTTTTTCTTGATCAATTGTAATTATCGTACATCTGCAAGTTTGAAACAGTGATCAATCATCAAGGTAGTAGTTTCCCGCTAACAGTAATTTTAAAGTCGTAATAACGAGTTTTCTGATATAATTTTACCACTCTAATAGTATATTCAGATATTCAAATCTAATTTATTAAGATCAACAAAATTTACTATTTACACGAAATATTTTGTCGTACAGAGAGGGCTTAATTAATTGATTTTCTACCAGTAGGCTGGCAATGATAAATTCTTCCATATCCTCAAAATAGGAGATACGAGTATGAAAAAAATTGTTTTGTTGCGCCCCTACTATTTAACGGCACCCTAGGCTGCAGCCTTTTCAGCCTATTGGTTAATCAGGTCCTGCATACAGAAAATTTAAAAATAATTAGGTACTTATTCTGGTATTCACAGATAAGAAACACGCTTGTGGCTAACTAATCTTGTCTGATAAAAATTCGTTTGGAACTATCGGAATCATTGAAGTATTGAACTATTATAACATAGTTCAATAGTATAATATAATCAGTGGCGCATCCAGAATTTTTTTTTTTTGGAGGGGGGTTGAAAAAAATATAACAAATTAAATTTTTTTGAATTTTGTGTGTATTATAATCATACATTAAACATTTTATTACTATTTACAGCGCTAATTACATAAAAGTTGAAATATTTATCTTTTTTAAAAATTATAAATGTATATTCATTTTTCGTTTTGATGTTTTAGCAAGTTCATCCATAACATCATTTATATCCACATTCATATCGTGATGAATTTATTTTAGTAAGACAAAATCATTTTAACATATTTGTCCGGAAGAATTTCTCAAATGTTTTCATACGACAGAGTGTTGAAAATGATCGTTATTCAGTGACAGTAGTCACTGAATAACGATCATTAATATGAATATTTGAAAAAGTTTAGATATTACTGGATAAATATCTGGACTAGTTTGGAAGTATACTTTAGTAGTATTTTTGTTCTTGAGTTCGGAAGATGTTAAATTTGAATATTTAGTGTACCACAAATCTAATTTTCCGTTTAATATATGATCATTTAAATTTGAATCGTTAAATTTATCAATTATATCTTGATATGATTTTTACTAATTGTTTGAATTTACCTTTAATATCTTTCAGATATTTTCATTTCTATCTTGGTAAAATACAATTAAAACTATTCAAAACAACATGTGCGATATAAATCTTCAAATCGTTCAATTTGTCTAAACAATTATTTATAATAAATATGAATACTTAAAAAAGTATTCTGGATCATCTGATTTAGATTGACGTGGCAAATTAACAGTAATATCAAATTTTTCACAGAGAGTTATCACAAATAAAAATAATTGTTGAAAATACATCACAATTTTCTTTAATATTTTGAACACTAACAGCTTCTTATGCAGTTTTTAAATCAAGATTTACTGTTTGAAGGTATCGGCTAAGTGGAAAACTTATTAAGTATTTTCACTAAAATAGATAAAGTTATTTGAAATTGTATCTGTTTTATCGCAGTAAGAAGTAACTTACAGAACTAGAAGTATAAGAATCTGTCCAAAGTGTAATTTTATCTAGTGCATGTAAAATGATTGGTTGAAGTTCTTCAAATAATATAACTGCATCATGGCGATCGACCCATCGAGTTGCACATGGATTTTTCAGTTTAAAACAATTAGTCTGTGGATATACTTCTTCTATTGACAATCGCAAAATACTTTTATCTTTTTTGATAACCGATAACCATAAAGCTAATATACACACTACACTGGGCTAGACATATATTATTAGTTTGTATTATTTGTGTAAACTGTTAGGTGTAATAACACTATTCTTTTTTCAAACTATTAGTATTTTTTTTTTTATTTCGAAAACATTTCGGGGGGTGGGGAGGCTACAACACCCTCCCCTCCCAAATACGCCACTGAATATAATTATGATTTATAGTTCAATGATCGGGAGCTTTTGCTCGTCTACAGTCGTCCGTTATAGATAATATGTCATAATGTATCAAGGTTACACCACATCCTCGAATATCAACAGACATCATTTAATATTACTCTGATATTTGATTATTGTCAATTGTTACGAATATCAACTACTTGTATGAACTATACTATAAGCATTATACTACTATGAACTACAATGTTGTCTGCTTCGATTGTATCGGTCTATTACGCTGATACCATACTATTTTGATACTCACGCAACTTAAAATTTTCATAATACAATACAAATATAATAAAATTAATAGGTATAATGAATTCAGATTTCAGAAAAGTAGTAGGTATATTGAGTCATAGAGTACGTTATTCGTAAATAAATTATAGTATTCAATATGAAAATTTCAGTGTTAACAAATAAACCACATATAGTTGCGTACTTATTTAGGATTTTGCCAAGGAGGGTGATATTTAATTTGAAAATTGTGTCATATTATAAACGTGTGTACAGGCATTTTAATTTTTTTTTTGAACATAAACTCTTCACAATACGAATATATATTACTCCAAAATTAAATTTAAAACATTGTATTAACTTGATAAAAACTGCTACGAAAGATAATAACTCCGAATTAATTGACGTCGTCTCATTATGGTACCTACCTTAGATCCAAGGTTTATAGATCTATAGTTATTTAACTATTTATCTGACTATTTATTTATCTATAAACCTTGCCTTAGATCATATACCATTCCTATTGGTAATATTTTTATCTCTAATAACGAATTAATATATCTGTTTCAAATAATAGTTATTAATTTATCTGAATTCGTATCACTATAATATTGTTAGTTTACCTTTGTATATTGTCTTATAGGTTTTTCAAATTTATCATTTTACTAATGCCTTGTCATAATCATGACACAGTTTGTAAAACTATAACCCGTCATAATATTTATAAAACTAAGTAAATAAGCTCAAAGTTTATCTACTCAAGATTAAAAAGCTGTCCTGGGATTATGAAGACGGATGCAGCCACTGTTATAGGTAATTTAATGTATAACTGTAAGCAACGATAAACCATTGCTAACGAAAAAAACGATTCTGAGTACAGTTCAGTTGATATTGATGCTTTGTCAACAATATTTTTATTATAATAAAATAATTAAATAGGCATTATATATTTTCTTTAATAATATTTGTTTAATGTTGTAACGATTTTCCCGTTTTCTCATGTTTTTTCCCGGTTTTTCACATTTTTTGAGAAAATTCCTGGAAAAATCGAAAAATAACCTCTTTAAAGTACCTCCTCACACCGATTTCCTTTCAGAAAAGGTACTACACTTAAAAGTCGGCACAGACAAAAAAAGAAAACAAAAAATAAACATTTTTGTAAAACCATAAATTCTTCGCTCCGTTCAAAATTTAAAACGGTACTACAATAAAATACGTCTTATAATATTTTGCAAAATGCATATTAAATGCTGAAATATAATTATGTGCTGCGGAAATATGATGTAAACAAAGTTCTTCAATTGACTTAGCCACTTGAGTGTACCATGATATTTTAAATTACTTCACTTTGATTAAATGTGTTTACATATTGAAGGGATTTAAAGGATACAAACGTTTATTTGCATACAACTTCTTTATTAGTGGTTGAATATCTAACTGTAAGTTTAATATGGACCGTGGTTGATTAGATCTTAAAGTTGCTGAAGTAAGTTAAAATAATAGCATTTAGTTCAGTATTGGAAAATATGTTTTAAAAAGTATCTAGGTATCTACATAATAATATTTTAGTTTATTTCAAAAGTATACGCCTTTGGACACTTTCATACAAGATAATATAAGAATATTAATTACATAGTAAAATTTATATTTTAGTTATAATTTTTTATTTATTTTTATAATTATTTTTGAAGATATTACTGATACTAGCATATCACTGAGGGTAATACTTACCTACTTAAATAAATAATTCCTTGGTATAGTTTTAAATTGAAAGTGCTTGTATATCATTATTTTAATTTTGTTACAAAGAATGAGTGAAAATAGTTCAGATAATTAGATTCGTAGTGTGCATTAAAATGTATGATACGTTCCAAATTATCTTGGGATGTATTTACTTTAAAATCAAAATAGACCAGACAAAAATATTTCTAAGGGACAATCAATATCAATTCATTTTTTGATTTTATAATTCATGAATTGTGCAAAATGTGCAACATATTATCAATATGAATGTAACAAAATGAGAGGTTTAATGATAAATTTTGGTAAAACTATTTCGGAGTAGTTGTTAAGCGGTCTAATGTAATATCTTATTTCATTTACTTACTCGGAATAAATTCATTAGGTGGTGAAATGCAATTGCTACGGCAATGGATATATATACATATATAAATAAACGAAATAATAATTAATAATAATTTAACGAAATATATAGACTGTATAGGCCATAAACCTATTAATAATTTGTTAATATGTTATAGACTATGGACCACGATTTAAGATCGTGAGATAAGACTATCTATAGCATAGACATGTAAATATATGTAATAAATATATTTATGTCTATGATCTATGGTCTATCTTAAATTGTGGTATAGACTAGTTATCAATCTAATTTAGTATATATTTCTATGCCTACGGTGGATTAATATATGTTCGCAGTTGACTCGCGTAAACTGTGTCTTCCCGTAGGTAATAAAGTTCCATAAACCAAATTCCTATCAAACTAATTATCAGATTTATTGAAAAAAAAATTGTCATAATGATACCAACAATTAATATTTATTTCATTTAAATGTTTACATTAGTAAATAACATCAAATGGATTTTTGATTAAGTTACGGAATCTAAAATTATTTCGGATTTAAATAATAAAGAGGTAAGTATGCCCAACAGAAATTGGAAATTCCAATTTGGAATGAAACTTAACCCGACAACAGTTTTAAAGATAATGGACAATTTTTGAATATGCTAGATAATTAAATAGACTTAAATAGATTTTAATAAATATTAAATAATGACATTTTTAACAAGTCTGCTACACACATTCAAATACTTTTACAGTTTAAAGTTTGAAAGTTTTTCTTGACAAATGACAATGGACAAAGATCAAGGTAGGTAAATAATTATTATATTAAAAACTAGAATGCGCTGGGTGATATTAGAAACGCACAAGAATATTTCGTGGACGCTTTATCACTCCTCGTTACAAAACCATAGCATATATCTATAACCGTGGTAATCCGTGTGTTCTTAAATTCAGCAGATAGGTCAGCCGCTTGATCTAACTGTTTCTAAACTCAGCTGCCGACCAATCCGTTGGAGGGAAAGTGATCAAACAGATTGTTTTATCAGCAATCTGATATTTTGTGGATGGAATACTGTTTAACACAGACATAGATTTTAACCAAATGGATGTGATAAACACTAAACTTTACGCGCCTAAGTTAAAACTAATTTACTAGCCAATATTTGACAAAAAAAATGTGTTAACATTTGTTGTCTAATGTGCTAACGTATTTCCAAATTTCAATTACAACACTCTACGTGTATAATTCAATGGAAATATTTATATAAAAAATTTATTTGCTGACTTGATTTGTACATCATTTAATCCTAGTATGTATACCTGTATTATAGTTTATTGTAACTTAATCAAATGTTTTATATTTATAAATCTCGATGTAAATCCTAGACATATAATTATATCATATTACATATGATGACATTATGTCTATGAAGAAAAATAATCAAAAATGATAAGAATAAAACAATAATGATTATGGTCTATTGGTAACCTTAGGTAATGGTATTAACCAATATATTCAAACTGAATAATAAAAAGATTGTTCCTAAACTGTTAATCTACTGAACAATCCGCTGGATTAGCTGATTGATTTTGGAATATACGGAATATCATTGATTATAATATTATGTAATTATTAATTAATGATGTCATATCCACCCTGTTCATATTATAATTTGTGGTAATGTCACTCAATCGATCAAAGTTTTGATGATAATAGGCACAAATAGTATCACATCACATTAATGATTAATAAGAACAACGGTTCAAAACAAACTGTCAAAGTGTCATCGCGTGGTTCATAACATAAGTAAAAGAAATGCGGAAGTGGAAAAAAATTCATTTGTTTGATGTTAATAATTTTTTCTTAAAGTGCTAGGTGAGTATAAAAACACGTTCTTCAAAATTTTATACCGTCAAAAATATGAAGATAAGCCCTTTTTCGTAAATACCACGGCTATTGATATTGACGATTATATAATATTGTGGTCAATACAAATAAGTATTTTATACTATACATATTATACACAAATAATGTTAAAATATTATTACCAACTTTGGATTCATTTGTTTTAAATCTAAATCATAGGTTTTTGGAAACATTTTTTTCAAAATGAAAATCAGTGACACTTACATTGACAAATGAATGACAATGAGCAAAATTTGTATCTACTGTAGATACCGTGGTAATTAGGAAAAAAGGGTCTAGCTTCATATTTTTGATCAGTATTTATACATGAACTTGTGAAGAACATGTTTTTAATAGTTACCACTCTGAGGAAAGAATACAAACTCCAGAGAAATCAATTTTTTTCTACCCATGAATTTCACGAGAGCTTCCTAGCAGCAGAGATTTTTGGCATTCATCAATAGTAATACAGGGTTATTATCATCATGAATATATGGCCGTGATAATAGAATTGTTTTGATGTATCCATTTTTGATTTTACTTATTATTAAAAATTAGTTTTGTGGTTACTTTTATTATTTTGAGATATTATATTGACTTGGGCACCAGTGTCAAGTTGACATTTAATATTTATATAATTAATTTTTAATTCAGTAATTTTAATTTAGTCTTGAATTAATATAAGTTCATAAAATATTTTATTGACAATAATAAAATTTGTACACAAATACAATATAATATATATATATATATATATATATTACATATAGGTAATTTGGTATGCAACAAGTTTATATATTTGAAAAAAAATAACAATTGAATAATATAATATGTATTTTGTGTGTATAAAATTTAATTTGTTGATTGTTAATTAATATTTCTTGACTGGAAAAATATTCTAGCACTATTTATATTGTAATATAACAACATAAACTCCTGAAATCCATAAATATTATTATACTATTAAAATTTGTGTTAATTAGTCTATACATTAATTAATTATGAAATTGTGTTTTACTTTATAATAAATTTGAAGTCTTGAATAAGATAAACTAAGAGGTTGTTGTAACTTTGCATCATTTTTTAATGCTTTGATTTCTTGAGTTTTTAGTTGCCGTAATTTTTCTTCATAATTCTCAGAAACTGATTGAAACCACTTCAATGAATCAAATTTTTCGTTTAAACTAAATATACGCAATAAATATGCAATACCTGTAAATAAAATTTATACTAGTACAAGTCATTGTAAAAGGAATATATCAAATTTAAACACATTGGTAAAAACTGAAAAAAATATAGCACATATTAGTTAGGGAATTAAGAGTAGGTATTCATTTTAAGTATAATTTTTTCTAATACATTTAAAACTAAATAATAATTTAAAAATGTTTGTATTTCAATTACAAATTAGAACTTGAAACAATAAACACAATTTTTAATATTCAAGATTATTTAGGCAGTAAGGAATGTATCGGTTTTCCTATGGAGTGTGCTTATTACTTTTTATGTCTAAATAATTTTCCTACTAAAAATCTTGCACCTTATTTATTTATGTTATTTAACTAAGAAGATTGTATGTAAAATAGCAAATATTTACGGTTCACCTTAACATTACTATTTTCTTACTTTTGTTTATAATGATTTCTACTAGAAATATTGCTCAAGTCCAAAAATGAAAAGAGATGGATTTTGTTACTTTTTTAACTTTTACACTTTTAATATATAGCTAATAATAGAGAGTCATTTTTTGATACTTAGAATATTTTCATAATAATTGGGAAAAATCATAAAAGAAGAAATATACATTTTTTTTTCAAAATATGGCACAAGAATTTAATTATTTTAAATTTATACACATTATATTTTCTACCATAAATATTGCTCCAATAGATAAATAACGGGATCATTTTTGTTGAATTTTTAATCTAGTTAGAGACCAAGAAATTCGTTTTTTAATTTTCTTGGAAGTTTTTTTTTTTAATAATTGAGTAAAACCTAAAAATAATGTAAACAAATTGGGAAATTTTTTTATGAAAGTAATTCAGGTTGAAATGTCCATAGGGACTTAAAAATGTCTACAGAAAATGTATAATTCTAGTAGTGATAAAATGTTCAAAATATTTGAGCTATTTATAGACATTTTAACTTTGAGTTTTTAACTTAATTTTTATTTAGTAGGTATTCTGTAGATAATAAATTGTAAAATTTAACAAAAATGCTTGAAAATTTGGTTCTACATCATTTGGTTATTTGGTAAATAATATCCAAGGACAATTGATCTACAATATTTGATCTAATTCAAAAATAACCTGTAACAAAAATAGGGTGAAAATAACCCTACTAAAAAAAGAAAATATATAATACCATAGAACATTTAGAAAATTATGAAACTACAAATATCAATACATATTTAAAGAGTATAATTAAACTATTATTCCATAAACATTCCAATTCTTTTTATGTATTGCTCAATATATAAAAAAACAACTTACTCCATTAAAAATGCAATAAAAAAGGGGCTATTTTTCGTTTTTTGATTGAAGCAAAACTTTTGGTAATAAACATAAAGCATATTTTTAAAACAATGAAATTAAGAAAATCAAAGATGACCTCTTCACGTTACCAACTATAAACAAAAGCAATGAAAAAGGTCTCTTGTCATTTTTTGATTGAAGTAAGTTTTTGGCTGAAAGTTGTGCAATTGTTGTCTTGCTGAAGATGTTAACTGTAAGTATGACAGAGAGTTTACACAGGGCCTTAGTGGTCTCTTCCCTTTCTCTATTTTACATGTCTGAACCAATTTAGTCTTTGTCCTTTCATATAACTTCTTATTACTGGTATTTTTATCATTTCCCTTAACTATATTTTTCTTCTTCACCAGAAATTGGATACATCATCATATAAGGATCCACATATTGTACTTGATACTTTGTTTTCGAAGGTCCTAAGTTTTTGTTCAAACTGTCAGGGATCATACTTCGCAGCAGTATGTAATTGTAGGTTTTTCTATTGTTGTGTAATGGTGTATTTTTGTACCTCTAGAGAAAAACTTTGATTATAAGTATTTAATTAGGGCAAATTATAGCTTTCACCTTTATTGATGTGTTTATTTCCAGTAATGTCTCATCTAGGAGTTTTCTCAATTGACCTCTTTATTTATCACTAGTCCTTTTTTTCTTTTTTCTTTGTTAATCAATATTTTTGTAGTTGGTATGACTGATTCTTAATCTTCTTCAAGAATATTATAAGATGGTCCACAAATCCTAGTAAAACTTTATCTAACTAAACTCCACAATTTTTTTCATGACATTCTTGTCAGTGAGGTAAGGTTTTTGAGGAATCCAAACTCGTACATTATGTTGTACAGACTATAAGGTTGGATATTATCCTTCACTTTCTTAAAATCTATGAATGCTTTGAATATAAAAATAAAAATATATAATAAACATTAAACTCTTTTTTCCCAAACACCCTACTTCTGGTTTCTGCAATTTTTTCTGACTAAGTTACAATAATAATCAAAAAAAAAAATGTTATACAATAATTTCCTTACCTACAGCAAATCCATCATCAGTAAACATTGCTCCTTTACTTTTCTTATACATTTTCTCCTTTGAATTAATTGCGTGTTCAATAAAATTTAATGTTAAGGAGGGAATAATTATATAGAAATTATTCAAATGTGAATTATTACTATTACTCATGGCTTGAACAAATACATCAATTAATAACTGTAACATATTAATAGTTAATTTTAATTTTTGTTTTTGATACAATAAATTTCTTTTTTCTTTTTAATACACAATTATGGTTAGGAAACTAAATAATTTTGTAAAATTTAAATAAAAGATAACACATTATTTTGGTTAATGTATATACAGGCTGTCCCACAAAGATATACCCCTTGCATATTTTCAGAGATAATATGGATAGGATAATCAAATACTGGTTTTTATTTTTATATTACTCACAGGAATGAGGACTACAAATATTTATATTTGAATTACAATTTTTTTTTATTAAACAAAATTTAAAAAATAACTTTTTACTTTATTATTTTAGGACAAATTTTAGATAGCTAATTTGTAATTTATTTTTCTGAAAATTTTAATATATCACACATTTATATCTGATGAATAGTTTTTAAGCTGGTTTAAAATCTTAAAGTTTTCTTAAAATTTTAAAATAAAAATTAAGTTTTTTTATAAAAACAGAATTTGATTATCCTTATCATCTCTGGAAATATTCAAAGGGTATATCTTTGTGGGACAGCCTGTACGTATTATAATTTCTAATTAGTTATTACTTATTAAAGATTTTGTATGGATTTTCATGAACTCTTTTAAATATATTTGTATGTTATAGTATGTGGTATATAAACATTAAGTTTATCTAATATTTATTTTGAATTTGTTTAGTAAAATTGTTTATGGTTGTTATAATTTTTATTTAAACATTTACAAGTGAAATTTGTATCACACTACCACAATTTATTTATATAAAATTATAGGTTTCTATTTAAATCATTTTGAATACAAAAGGTACCTTGTATACTGTTTAACAATTATTAAAAGAAAATATATACATTTTATAAAAATTATACTTTTTTTGTATTTGTTTCATTACTTTGAAATAATTTGTGCCTTCCGCAATATTTTGACAAATATTTTGAACAACATTGTCTAGATGATGTCCAGCATTTGAACAATTTTTGGTGAACCTTGAATCATTACAAAGTTCTTCAAAGTTAATTATTTTTTTTAAATTAGGTATAAAAGAAGTTGCTATTGAACAGAAATTTAGACCACCAGACTTAATCATTCTTACATAACCAAGAGCATTGCCTGAAAAATAAAACTGTTCATTAGGATTTCACATTTATTTAACTATTATTAAATATATGATTCATGACAAAGAGATTACTTTTTATTGTTATTAAACATATTTTTCTTACCAATATGTGTAACAAGAATTCTAAATTGATCAATGTAATTTTGATTTGTATTTAAGCTTAATTTACGCATACTGGAATTCAATTTGTCTGCACGTTCATACGGATATTTAATGTTATTAGTTTTCTGTATGTCATGAAGAAAGGATATTTCTTTTTTAAGCTTTGATTTTATGCGCTCATCGTATAAATATTTTGATAGCATATTCAATTTTCCACAAAGAAGTTGATAGGTTGTATTAACCTTCATATAAAAATATTGAATTATTAGAACAGTATTTATATCATACATAATGTTATGGATAATAAATAAGATAAAAATGTTAAGTATAATTTTAGATTGTAAGCAAGATCAAAAAATGTCTGAAAAATTATATTATTATTAAAAATTAATTTGAATTTAGTAATTGTACTGGGAAATAAAATTGTGGAGCACAACAACAATTATGAATTAATAAGATACATTTGCAGTTATGTCTCAATCTTACAAACATAATATGACATAGCAACTTTACATTTAGCATTAACAATTTAATTCTGTTAGTTTTAATATTAGATTGAATTGGACTATTAATAATTATCAAATTTATAGATAACAACATTTTCTGTAACCACTTTAGTATTTTTCGATAATTTAATTTTTAAGCCAGATATGAGTAACTGAAATATCACAATTATTTAAATCTCATTTGAAAATTAAACTATCAAAAAAAATTGATATATAAGTATAATGTTCTTACCCTTAAGGTTGATGATAAGCAAATTTACTCTAATATTGAAACTAATAATGTAAAGTTGTCACTGCTAAATAATTAAAATGTGTACCATTTGTATCATGTCCTACATGTTACAAAGAATATATTTTAACTAGATATTTATTTTATCAGTGCATATTTTAGAAAGTTAATGATTGTGGTATTATTATTTATTTTGTATTCAAAAATATAAATAAAGTGTTGTGTCACAAGATATATCCATTGTAATATCTTTAGAGATAATTAATTTAAGATAGTAAAATTCTGTTTTTCTTTTTTTATTATTAATCACAGTGATAAGAACTACAAATCTGAATATTGCAATTAATATTTTATGCTTTAATAAAAAACTTAAAAATAATAACTTTTGAAAAATTTGAAGATAGCTTTTGAACAGAGTTTATTTTTCTAAACATTTTGGTGTATCAACTTTTTATTTTCATTAAATTCGAGATTTTTAATACATTTTTTAAAATTTAGAGAAAAGTACATACAATTATGCAGTAGGCTGTAATAACATTGTTTAATTGATTGTTATTATTCCAATTAAGTATACTTTTAGATTCTAAATGTAGCAAAGAATGTATTGGTTATATAAAGATGTTTTTTTTTCTTTTTTATACTGTGAAAATTCAAACATAAATATTCCTCAGATACGCATGGCACCATTTCTAAAATAAAATGTTGTCCAGATGGTACTTATGGGAGGTCATTCCAAACAGGTTTTATAATATCTGGGAAAAACCAGGATAAAACTGGAAATTTACAAAAATAATGCTTTTATTATTTTTCAATTTTGTTATTTGTTGCAATTCAGTTAAAAATATTCGTAGACTTGAAATTTAGACAGAAAACTTATATTTGCCTTTTCTAGAATTAGTAACTTGTATACAAGGTAAAGTTATCTAAATGGTGCTTTTGAGGAATCATTTTTTAATTTTCGACGCCATTTCTTAAATAAAAGCACATAGGTGGGGAAAAACGTACAATTTCACGATTTCATTATTTTTAAGAAATACAGATGACATTTTCTACCACAAAAAAAATATTTAATTGAAAAACCACACAATACCTTTTTTGTTGCCTTTGGATTTACTTTCTTACGGTATAATCACCAAAACTTTTGAGCCATTTTTGAACTTTTATGGAATTTTAATTTTTGGGAGATTTTGCTGTAATTTGGTTATAAATACAAGCAGAGACATGAAACTTGTTAATAATACTTAAATTGGACTTACCTAGATGGCTAGATTTGATAAATTTTCAAAAATGATCAGATTACTTTTTTTTAAAATAAGCGTTTTGAAATCAAATTTAAACAAAAAAAATTATCTTTACTTCATATTATGCATTATTTAACTGTGTTCGGAATCGTCTTAATTAATCGTTGTTTACAGATATAAATAAAATAACCTTTGTATCCTACTTTCTCAACTTCTCACCTACACTGTTGTAGGTTCCACTGTTGGCCATTCCCACCCCTATTATCTTTTATTTAATTTTTTAAAATTTTTTTTTTTTTTGAACATATTATGTATAATGCTGATTTAAGAACTGACTGACTAAGTTTGAAGTTCTGATATTATGTGGATATTATATACTATGTTAAATAACTGTATTGTCTCCTTAAAAGTATGTTTGTTGTAGTTAAATTGTTATAGATACTTATTGTCATCCAAGGGATCACGAGTTCAAATACGAGTTTCGAAAAAAAATTGTTTACATTTATTTTTCCCTTTTACCTAAACAGGTAAAAACCAATTTTAGGTGTACCTAAAGACCCAGTTTTCATAAATTGGGACTATTTTAATTGAAAAATACCACTCAATTTTTTATGCAAACTTTTCTACCAGCAATTTTTTTTCAGATTTAAAATGATAGCATTTTTTCTAAAAGGAAATCTGATTGGGAGGTATTTTAGAAAGGTATTTTTTTTTTTTGATTTTCCCAAGAGTTTTCACAGCAAATGTGAAAAACTGGGAAAAAACACGGGAAAATCATTATAATACTAAACAAATATTATGTTAGAAAATATATATTATTGATAAAGCATCACTATCAACTGATCTGCTCTCAGAATCATTTTTCATTAGTAATGGTATATTGTTGCTTACATATATATTAATTTCCTATTTGTATCCTATCTTCTCAACTTCCCACCTTCAAAATGGCAGCACTCATATGGAAGTATGTGAGTCCTTTTTTTCCTCTGAACTTTAAAAAAATGATTAAAAATCAAGAATTTAATGAAAATAAAAAGTTGATACATAAAGATTTTCAGAAGAATAAACTCTATAAAATGACTATCTTTAAATTTTCCAAAAATAATTAAATAAAGTTATTAACATTTTTAAATTTATACCAAAAAGTTCTTATCACAGTGAGTAATGTGAAAAAAAACAGATTTTGATTATCTTAATTATCTTCAGAGATATTACAATGGGCACATCTTTATAGGACACTCTGTATATAAAAACATGTATAAATATGTACACTTACAGTAGTGCTCATTATTCCAGTTCCATGTATTCGAATTGAATTACTAATATGTTTAATATTAATAGTATTCAAATGTTTGCTAGTGCTGTTATTTTCAATAAATAATTGATTATTTAAATTGTATGAATACTTTGATAAAAATATGTTTAAGTTTCTCATTATCTCAAGAACATCTAAACCCTAAAATGGTATGCATTTTATCAATATAAATAAATTATATAAAAAGTAAAATTGTATTTATGTTTTACTTGTTCTAAAGTATGATTTGGTAATTTATCATCAACAGTCTCCAAGTTTAATTTGTATTTCGCTAACGCTCTCATCACACCATTATTATGCCAATCATGTAGAGCAACAGATGTCAAATCATAAAATGTTTCACTCAGGTAATTTTCTGCTCTGCCTACAAAATAAGATATAAATTAAATTAGAATAAATGGAGTTAAATAATGTTTAAAATATGTACTTTTGGTATCTAAAAAATTAGTCAAAAACTGCAAAGGTTTAAGTTTTATTGTGTATATATTTTTATCGATTGGTTTATTGAGCACTGGCTTAACAAAATGTATATGTGTCATAACATGAAGACGTAATTCATTTTCAATACAAGGATTCATTGGTTCCAATATCTAAAAATAAACTTTATATAAATTTAAGGTAAAAAAAACAATACTTATTATGTCTATATGTAATTATATTATAATGGAAACATTATTGTACATTAATTTATATATATATATATATATATTAAAAAAAAAACAATATTAATATTTTATTTAAAATTTTAGTCTATTCTTAACAAATTGAAACAAACAAATTATTACCTGTTTATTTAAATAACTTTTCATTTCATCAATAAAATATTTATAAACATTTTGATTGGTAATTTTGTCACTAAAATATGTCACCTCATGGATGTCTACTAGTGCATCAAATGTTGTCTGTACAAAAATATAATAAATTACAATAGTTTGTTATACAGGGTAATCCATTTATCACGAACCAGTGATTTCCTGGGTTTTAAATTAATTTAAGTTTTTTGTACCCACTTCATTATACCTAAAATAAGTTATGAGTATACACTTTTAATTTGCAAATTGAAGCACCCCTCCTCCGCTATTTAACAGATTTTAATAGAGCATATGATTCTATACATTTCGATACAAGTATATAGTTGCATAATACTGAGATTTAATAAGTTATAACAGTTTAATCCTCGGTAACGCACATGTATTTTGCGCGTATAGGTTAAAAATTTACCACTCCAAAAAAATAATTCAATTTTCTTCTAAAATTTGAAAATAATTATTTTTATGCATCAAATGACTTTAGAATACAAACAAAATATAATATTAAGTTAATTTTATTCTTAATTTTAAATAAATATAAACCTATTATTTTATATTACATTATACTGCTTTATTTATATTTAAATTCTTAAACATGATTAAAAATAATGAAATTTAAAATAAATTTTAAACATTATTAAATTAAATAAATAATACATATGAAGAAAATGAAATAAAAAAAAAAATAAAGCAGAGAAATTATGAATGAATGTTATACACTCACTGCATAAGGATCGCATTGTGTATAAGCTGATCAGCAAATTGCATTTACAATACATAGGGGCAAAATTTTTAATTTTAAAATTAATGCTTAAAAATTAAATATAGGAATTTGAATGCGCCCATAAAAAAGCACATGTTTAATGTTTGATGATTAATTGCGACATCAATTAAAGAAAAACTCACACTGTGTAATCAGCTTTATGTACAAGGTAGATTTATGAGTTACACAATATACCAAGTAGGATTTCAATCACTCAACAATAAGGAAAATTATATTTTTTGTAAAGTGCCCACATTCATGTAGCCAATTGCATTTTTGATATTTCCTACAACACAATTTGGGTTCTACTGTCCATTAGAATATTACCTATTGGCTATTATCCAAGGTGGATTAATCCACCTTGACACTTTGTTATTACTTATAGAAATATTGTCAATATTTTCATCATTACTATCCCAAGAACTTGAATTTCTTTCCCTCTCAAAGTTAAATTAAAATATTGAAATAGAATCATAAAAATAAGCTAATAAACACACTATATAAAAAATAAAAAAAAAATGCAAATATATTTGCCATGTGGGGTGAAATTTTGTTGAAGAGTGGACATATTGAACGTAGGAGCATACTGACAATAAAAAAAACTCAATTATGACTATTATTTATAGATAAATTATTTTAAAGAAGCTAGACAAATATTGAATGCAAATAAAAATACATATACAATTACCCATGCTCCTTATGGGTAAATATTAAACTGATTATAACTTATAGGTAACTTATTAAATCCAGTAAAAACTAATATATTTTTTTTCAAATGAGATTATTGTTATCATCAAACAACATGCTACTCCTACAGAATGAGTAATTTTTATGAGTATTGTTCCTGAATCCTAATGGCTACTTATTGGTACACTGAGAGTTGAATTAATTCAATTATTGACAATGTATTATACCTATGTATTTTCTACTCATATTATCTACTGTATCATACTGGACCATCTGTCATATGCTACAAAGCAATATTATTTTTAAACACAATATTATATAAATGTGCTGTTTAACATGTTGTATGAATGGGCATTAAATATTGTATTAATATAGCTCACTATGTATACTTGGAGGCTGATGATTACTGAAATTGCAGTTAATGGGATGGATATGCCACATGCCAGCGTGTACTCATGCATTATGCAATTTATATAAAAAAAATATTATCTATTTAAATTTGTTCAACCCCCCCCCCTCACATTTGAAAGCCATAAGTGTATACTTATATGAAATTGAAAATAGTGTTTAAATATATATTAAATAATTTCATGATTGCGAAAAAAAACAAAAATCAAATTTACTTAAAATCTTCCAAGAAAATTGATTGGTTTATGATAAATAGATCAACTTGTTTAAAATTGTATTTAAATCAATTTATTACTGAACATTCAATACTGATCAAATACAAATTATTAATTACATAACTAAATTAATGTGGATATATGACCATATTTATTATACAATTTTTTTTAACAAAATTTTCTTTACTGGATTTAATCATTTTTAGATCAGAATTAAATTGTTTTAGAATTTTAAATAAATAATTACATTTTGATAATATTAATATCATACACAATACAATATACCTAGTCATGGGGCCCACAAGAAATTTATTAGGGAAGGGTATAATAAAATCAAACACCAAAAAGTACTTAAAATAAAGTTATACTTAAAATTTTAAAGTCCAAGGGGGCAGATGTCTGTTTTGCCATCCCTCAGGACACCTATGTACTCAGTTCTTATAATTAGTTTAACTATGGGTATTTTCCCATGACTGGTAATTTCTCCCAATAAGACACATTTAAGGGTAGGACTCAAATCCCTCCCTAACTGCATTATTATATTCATAACTTAAAAGCCCAATTTTATTTATTTCTATAGATACATAGCATACATATCAGCCTTCAGCAGGTTACTAAGTCTGTAATTAAAAACTACAAATTATTGTTTGTGTATTTATACAATTTGTATAGTGATGTCACAAAATTATAATCCATTTCAAAATATTTAATAGTTTTTTGAAATCTTAATATTAGTTAAGTAAATAATAAACAATATTGATAACAATGAAATTCAAATTTTGTTTTTGTTAGTTATTCTTAAAATTTCATTATGGACACTATGGTTTAAACAGAGTAGAGAGGGGAGCAACTACTTCTTCCTTGCGTGCTAAAGTTTTAGTACAATAACTACCACATAAAAATACTCAATAAATGAGTCTATGTCCTTTCATAGTATATTTCAAAAATATTAACTCCAAGTGTCTAGTCATTGATAAAATAATTTAACAAACATACCGACAGTCCATTAAAACTTTTATGCTGTTTGTTGACATCCTTGAAATACAAAGGAAACACTACACGGTGCCAGTACATACAACTTATTTCTGATATATTTTTTACTTTGTCTTGTACTAATTGTAGAAGTTCTATTTTCTTTAAATGTTGGGTTAAAATTAATAATTGACATTTATGAAATGCTTGCAAACCAATTGCTGTGTTTAAAGCCAGGTTTAATAGTAATTGACGATTTTTCACTAAAGGTCCATGTATTAATTTTTCTGCCACTTCTAAAGATGACAATCTGTCTACATTTTTTGCATTAAAGTTTCTATCGTCAGCACAAGCAATCTAAACACACCAACACAATAAATCTGTTAGTACAATTGTATATTTTAATTTTTAAATTTTTTTTCTTTCGATTAATATAAGTAATAAAAAATTAATTTATTAGCTATACAAAACATTATTACCTTGGCTTCATTTATGATGGAAAGGCACAAATATTCTAAATATTGAACTATATCCATTATTAATTTATCCATTACTATATGATTTTTTTGGTAAACATAACCAATATTTTTCAAGGTTTCAAGTAATCTACAGATTAATATAACGTTGGATTTGATTAATGGTTTTCCAAGGATACTATGTAGATTCGTAAAAGTAATTATAGTATTTTTAATGGACGTACATAATTGAATACCCTAAAGAAATTTAATAAATACAATAGTATTGTGAAGTAAAAATCTTTAACTTAAAACATATTATATTAAATAAATATTTAGTCCACTCCATTTAAACTCCATTTTATAAATATAAATAATTCAGGACAATGCATATAAATTAAAATTTACAAATACAATTGCTTGACAAATTGAGTAACTAAAAATTAGATTTAACAAATAAAGCAATGTATAAAACCATAAAACCCCTAAAAATAATCTGACATTAACTCCTCAATATTTCAAAAAAATTAATACAATAATATTCATTGATTAATTAAAAGCTGACCTAGTAATTCAATTTTACTATTGATAGAAATTTAGGTTAGGTTTTAAACATGTATTAGTTTAGTAATTCGAGTAAATCAAGCCGAATGTAGAAAAAATACAAACAAATTTAAAATTTTGAAAATGTAAACAATCAAAACATTAAAAATAGAAATTATTGTACACAAATATGCAAAGTCTGGAGATACATAATTTAAATTCTACACATAATATTATAAACATTTATTAAAAATCTGGATGATACAATAAAGAAAAACCTTCAAGATACAGACTGAATTCATTATAAAAAGATAGTTTTATTTTTAAATATAAAAAGATCATTAGAAAACATATAAGAATACTTACATCACTTATATAATTACATACATCATGCATATAATCTAATTTTGAGGTATCAAAATCTATAAACACTATTTGTTCACTCCTTGCAAACCAAACCATTGACTAAATATAAAAACAAAATTAAAAATTAATAAATTATAAATAGGGCGATCAATTTATCATGAACCAGCAAATATTTAAGAGAGATTGTAAATGAATTTGATTTTTATTGTTAAAATTAATATGAAATTGTTTAATATTGGTTTAAATACAATTTTAAATTTTTTACTCAGACTTCTTATACCTTAAATGAGTATACTTTAGATTTTCAAATAGGATTCACTAGAATCCCTCAAATAGAACTCATTTAACATTGAGGGATTGGGAGCAAATAATTGAAAATAATGTTTAAATAAAGCTTAAATATCTTGATGTCAGGTTCTTAACCTGAGGGGTGTAACTTCTAGGGAGGCAAGAACATTTTTATAACTAAAAATGAAAACACTATTTCTGATTATTTATATTTTATCCCATAAAATGTTTAGGGTAGTAATTGTGTAATAACATTAATTTATATTTAATAATAAATAATAATACACTTTAATTTTAAATTGTAATAATATTTTTTTTCCTATAGAAATAAATGTATTAAATAATTAACATTTAATATGAAAAGGGACATGGTCATGATTTAATAATAATTTTAAAAACAGAAAAAAATTATTTAAAATTCTTCAGAAAATGAATGGTTCATGTTAAATTAATATTTTTAATTCTTAACTCAGAAAAAATTAAATTAAATTGGGGTGTTAATTAATTCTTATTTAAATGAAAACTTTAAATTGAAAAAAATATTACAAAATAATAATATTGAGATATTTAAACAAAATGATTGCAACTCCATAGTTGTAAGGATTAATATAAGAATAATAAAATAATATATGTCATCCTTTACTGACCTGCTGCAAAAGACCTGTAGTTGTTTTTAAAAAATTCTTTGTAAAATCTACTAATTCCAAAGAACATTTTTCCAAATTGTCTTGTTTTTTTCTTGTGCTATTTGGTTTTAGTAAGTGTCCTATGAAATGCAATACAAATGTTTCTGGATTCCACATTAAATTACCATCTAGTGGAATATGATTTACCTAATCAATGAATATGAATTTATTCACAAGTTATGTAATTGAAAAATTGAAATTAATAATAGGCTAAGTGCCAACAAGTTGATTTTGAGTTATTCTGATTATAATCTAACCAACGGCTCTGGGATATAGCTCTCACTTTATTTTGTTGGGCCTTGTACAAACTATTAAGTTTTGGCACATTTTAGGGCTCTTTATAGATTGTTGGCGGTGGCACATAACCTATTATTGATTTCAAGTCTTCAATTTGTATAATTTTAAATAAAAAAGTTAGAGAAGATTAAAATACTTTTTCTAATAAATCTGTAAATTGTTTGAGTAATTTTTTATCAAAAACTCCAAATATATAAGTATAAAATACTGCAGTAGAGCAAACACGTGACCATAATTGTAGAACATCATTATTTTTTTGATAAGTACGGTGTCCTAATAATAATATTGAATTATTTAAATAAAGTTTGTACTCATTTACAAAATCATCACAAGATTGAATCACTTTTTTTGAACTAAAGTCTGAAGTTAACACTTTCTAAAAAATAAATTAATGATTATATTTATATAATACCACTATATTTTCACTATATTACTTATATACATTAAAAATAAAATTAATAATAATACTAATGATAAACAATTTTTTCTCTTGATGCTCCTGATTTGCTAGAAAATGTCTCTTTCCTCACACTCCACTTGAAATCACTCCCTCTTCTCCATTTCTACACACCTCAACCTCTCCATATGCGTCTCAATTATACTCAACCTAATCTCTTCTTATCACTGTAATTTAACTGTTTATACTAATTATTATTCTTTTACTATTGTCCTCAGGGTGTTTACATATTTAAATAAATAAATATATAAATTTAAATTTAGTTAAAAAAGAAAAAAAACAACATCTGAGCAATAGAGCTTAGAATCAAATTTACTCCAGAATAGCAGAATTGTTAATATTACAATATTTCATTTTAGATTCTGAGCTAAGTGAGGAAGGTATTGAATGGTGTTTTTTTTTTTACTTTTTATACAGTGTACAAAAATTCTACCAGAAATCTTGCTTCTATTTTCAAGTGTGGCACTTTTCTGAAAAAAGGAAATTTTATATAGTTGGCACTTAATTAAGGCCATTTTCACATTTTCCAAGTAGTTTTCATAACAATTGGGAAAAACTTAGGCTTTGTTGTAATTCAATTAAAAATATTCATAGAGATGTGAAATTTGGACAAAAACTTTATATTTACCTTTTATAAATGTGAGAAAATTTTCAAAATATTAAACAGAAGATTTATTATAAGTTTTACGTAGTGGTAAACAAGAAAAATTTGAGTTTAGCGCAGTTTTTTTTTTTTTTTTAAGAATTTTGAATATCAAAATTTGATGAAATTGTAAATATTACAGCCTTTCAAAACATGTTCAACTGAACTTCATTTTGTTAGCAATGATTAATTGTTAAGTATAGATATACATTAAATTCTCCTATATTATATCCTACCTTCCTAGCTTCACAACCACAACAATGACCCACCCATTGTGTGAAGTATAATTTATATGATTGATCTTAAGTAGTTATGATTTCCAGAGTTTTATTAAATTTTAGTCTGTCGGGGAATTTGCCGTAAAAACAAAATTTAAGCATAACAATAATGGTTGCATAGAGGATTGAAAATTGAAACCACCAAAGTCATACAACAAATAAATTGCATCCTATTGACTTCATTTAAAGGGTCTGTAAGAGCATACAAAGCTAAAAAACCAACCATCTTCCACAACATGGTTAAACTCATTAAAATAAAACCAAAATTGTATTACTTCAATCTTTCTATAAATAAAACTCTAATTCCCAAGTTTTAGTTAATTTAGTCCAGAGAGAGCCAAGTTTCCAAAAGTAGTAACAAAATGGAAAAAAGCATATATATATATTTATAATTTATACAATGCAGTGTTATAATCTTCTTTACAGGGAAAATTCAATAAGTGTTTGAAATTAACATTAATATTATTTAGTAAAAAAAAAATGACAGGATAAAATCAAAACATACTTCAAATATTTTCCCAGACAACAGAGTAAACTCAATATCATTGCATATATTTTCCAATTGAACAACATCATTTATATTGACATTGTATTTTGCCGGATCCAATTTTATAGTGTTTAAAGTTCCACGATATTGAAACCAGTGTTGTTGTAGTACAGGTTGTGATGTAATTAATTTATCCAATTCAACAAAAAGATATAATAGATCACCAATATATTCAAAAATACCCTGTGAAAAAAATTCATAAATTTAAAGTATCTCTAATACTAGTGCATTAGTTATTAATATGGATCAGGAGATTGAAAAAGAACTGATAAAATACTTAAATATCAATAATCATTGATAAAATATCAATGAGGCTAAATGATAATAGTTAATGCTTAGTCCATTTACTGAATACTTACGTACTATGGCTGGCATTATACTTATTGTAAAACATAGAAATTTTAAAAATGTATAGTTAATTATCTTATTACCATATTTGATAGTTCCTAAGGTTTTACAAAATATTTATAATAATACATAACTGTTTTACCTGGAAATGTATATCAGCTGTTATTAATTGAAATTCAAAAATATTGACTAATTGACCATGTATTTCAACCAACAAATATTCACAATGTTTTACAAAATTTGACAGTTCTAATAAAATGTGTAAAAATTTGCTAATTTTGACCTGTGCCATTCCTTCAGTAGAGGCATCTTCATCTAAATCAAATCAACATTCAAAAAGTTGAAATAAATGGATTTAATAATAAAAGATGTGCTGTATTTCTGTATTGCCTTACCACATTCTTCATAATAAAGTATTGAATTAAATAATTTTACTTTAACATGATTTTTCAAGTATAATATTTCAGAGTTTAAAGTAGAAAATATCTTCAAAATATTACTTAAGACATTATTATCAATGTCTAATAAATCATCAATTGAAACTTTCTCAGTTACTTCTACCTAATATTAAAGATTATTAAAATTGTACATTTATTATAATGGTAAAATAAAATAATTTGTCACATTAACACATTGACGGATGGACATTGATACATTATTGCTATAGCAGTAATATGTAAAATGTCATATTACGTCAACATTGCTGAATCAGTAATCTTTTCAATGGTATTAAATCATAGGAAACAGTGGACTGCCACATTACGGGAGTCCACACTGACAATTTACATAGATTTTGGATGCACTATTAATATAACATTAAAAATTATATTACAAGTGTCCATCAAAATGTTAATAATGTATTAATTTAATCTATAGTCTCTTCAGAATTCTCCCGCTTAATATGTGGATATTTTTCAATCCTGGGTTCCTGGAGACCTTTAAATATAGAAAAAAACACGCTTAATACATAACTCCACATATTGTGCTCTTTTTTCTGGCACCTCATACCTTTTGATTGAAAAAATTACATTTAATATGTCAATAGAAATGATGCTTATCTAAATTATTACCGATTGTATTGTTATTATATATTGATTATGAACGGAAATTTTGTTATAAGCAACAAGACATGGTTTGTACTCGTACTATATTATTAATCGTTTTCGAGCCTTAAAGTGGTGCAAGTGATATTTGTGTTTTGTAAAATTCATGTTCTGGTGTCTAAAATGACAAGTGCATCTAGGTCATCTAGTAGTGCAGGAATAAAAGAAAGCTTAGTCTATTGATGACAAATAATTGAACATTATTAGACAGTACAATAAAAAAATTTGTGTTAAATAAATAAAAAATTGCCAATGAATTAAGATTGTCTTCCTCTTCATTGCGGATCCTGTATCTTATTTAAAATACTTTCAGAATGAATTAGGCAGGGTATCACCTATTACGCCATCCTGCATAATATACAGATTTACAATTTCCCCTTCGAGAGCAACTTAATGTGGTTTTACTGTATTTGATTTATTCATTAATGGCCAAAGAACGAAAACAGTTTAGATTAAATAATAATTATAATTATTCAAAAGACATTATTCAATGAAGTAAGTGGTTTTGTCCATAAGAGGTGAAGTGTAAAGGAATTTAGAATAGAGGATTTGGATAGTCTCTGGTGTGGTAATTTGGGGCACGGAATGCGATGTTAAGATATAATATCAATAGCATTCAAAGTGCTGTCTACAAGACAGGTAAGGAAGCAACAATAGACCTCAGTATTTGAATATTAATATATCTCAAATATATTAAGAACTCATTTAAATTTAATTTCAACAGGTGGTGTATAATTACTAACTGTATATAGATATAAATGTGATACTTAATAATTCTATAATTATGCAATTATTTTTTGAAACAATGTAATATTTACCTTAATATTTAATGGAGGTTTGTTAATAAACAGATAATTATTTAATACATTGATTTCTTCTAATCTTTTCATGTGACTGTTCAATAAACTATTATATGTTTGTATTTGTTTATCAGCCTTCACTTCTACACAGAAAAAAAAACCTGTTATATATGCATCTGTTGTTAATAATTTCAATATAAAAATTAAGAATACACAATAATTTAAACTTGTTTAATAGTGCTATTGATCAGCTGATATTCTAATAAGAATAATTGTTTGGACATTTGAATAGGACATTAAGGAACGGAGCTACTCTATTAGCAGATGGATAATCTGTCAATCCGATTATAAATTGAAATTAAGGAACATAGATTTCCACCGATTAGCCATTAAATTATTTAAGAATAAGTGGATAGTTACTTACGGAACGATTTTTCTAAATTACTCAACATATTTAAAATGTATATAGGTAACAAATAAGTGACGATTAAAAAAAACAAACAGGTAGACAATAATAATAGTAAAAATATAGTTAGTTACGTAAGAGGTTCAAACACAAACATGCAGTAATGTCTAAAGTACTAACAGTTAACGAACTGGGGCGTTGTGTACTGAGCAAAAATCTTGAACTGTGATACCGATATGATTATTTTTTTATCATAATCATGAACATAATATTGTAGGTAACATTAGAGAGCCTCTATGTAACCTAACCTCTCGGGGTGACTTTCTATGGGTAACATGATAAATTGATACCGTGTCGAGATCCCGGAAAATGTCTGACAAGAAATTATACCAGGTCAGACTATCAGAGATATTCTAATCTTGAGACAAATAATTATGGTCCCAAGTCATTTAGATCCAGACATTTTTAGATCTCGGCCAGTTGGAGACATCTGGATCCATTTATTATTGGTGGCATTTTTAAAATTTCGTACTTATTCATATTATTTATAAGTTATATTTTAAATTATAAGTAGGTATAATTAATTTAAAACTCCTATAAATATTTAAAAAAAATTCCTTATTTCAATTAGTTTTAATGATTTTATTATTAAATAATGTAATATTTAAAAAAAAAAAGCGTTTTTAGAATAAAGGGGACGGGTGCAGCTACTGTTATAGGTAAATTAATATTTATCTGTTAGCCACGATTAACCATTCCTAACGAAAAAAGGATTCTGAGCGAATTTAAATTGATAGTGATGCTTTGTGAACAACATGTATGTCATTATTTTAGTAAAATAATTAAACAGGTATTATATCTTAAATGATATTTCTTTAATGTACCGATTTTCCCGTTTGCCCATGTTTTTTTCCTGGTTTTTCACATTTGTTGAGAAAACTTCAGAGAAAATCGAAAAATGACTTGTCTAAAATATCACCCTAGTGAAATTTACTTTTAGAAAAATTGCTGTCATTTTAAGTTAGTCCAGAATTGCTGGTAGAAAAGTTGTCCACAGAAAAAATAATTGTTATATTATACAAATATATTTCCCGTTTTTCCTTAGTTTGTTTTTGGTTTTTTCGAATTTCATGAGAAAATTGTTGAGAAAATCGAGGAATGATTTCTTTAACGTATCTCCCTTGTCAAATTTCCTTTTAGAAAAATTGCTATACATAAAAATCGGTCACGTACTGCGTACGATTTTTATACCTCACCCTTAAAAATATTACGATTGCGTACAAAAATGAGTGCAACGTTGCCAACATGAACAAATCAATTTATTTACTATGTGTAGAAAATTGTTATGTGAACGTTTAACATAATAATATCTACTGTTAAGTAAAAATTATGCGTGAATTAATACAAATTATTTTAAACTACATTTTATCAGGTACTATTGAAATAAAACCAATAGTAGTTAATTAAAAACTAATATAAATTTTAATATAAAACCTTGGTATCGATAACCAGTCCCTGCAGAAAAAATATGTAGTACATTACCATCTATTTTAAATTGAGCGAATAGTCATTTATATTCCCTGTGGTTATTTTTTTGGATAACCTTAGTGTTGGAATAGTAGTCATAGAAATAATTTCACAATTACGTTTATCAAACTATAGATCACTTAAAGGTTAGTTAATCAAAGGTTTTTCCTAAAATAAGTTAATTCAAAAGTTTTTCACAAATTTCACGCTTGTGAACATGCAACGTCATTTAATGACGTTGCATTAAATTTGGGTAGGTAGAACGTACAAAATCGGTAATAGTGAAAAAGTCCGTATTCAATTATAACGCACCCGTATACATAATCAAAAATATAATTTTCGGTTGTAATTTATTTACCAGAAAAATGCTAAGTTGTTTTGTGTGTGGTTTAACTATAGTAATTCGAAAAACAAAGGCCATGAAATAAGTTTCTATCAATAAGTAAACAATTAGTTATAATGAAATAATAATAATAATTTATAATTGTTACAAAATTAATATAGGTAATACCTATAACCTATATTTTTTTTTATTATTATTTAAGAATTCCAAAGAATGATAAACATCGGTTCTCAATGGTTGGAGTTTATTAAAAACGTGGTGGTAACCTTTTAAAAATTAGGCATATTATTTGCTCTGTGTATTTTATCAAAGATTTAAAAGTTTTAGCCAAACAAAATTACTAAGTGAAATAGCAGTTCCATAATTGATTATGCAAAATCAAAGGGTATGGTAAAATAAATAAATTTTAATTTTGTTTAATTTAATCACATTTTTATAGGCAAAAACTTAAATTTTTGAGATGAGTTACACATTTGGTGCCAACAGCTCAAATCCTTGTACCAAACAGTCCATCAAGGTCAAACAGATACCATAAACAGCAATTTCGGTAAGCATAACAAATTCTATCAAATAAAAAAAAATACTTGACAAAAATTAGCTAAAAAGTATAGTTTTGAACTTAGAAAATTTATTTACACAATAAATTCTCATTTTCCTAAAGCACTTGTAATCGTTTTATATATGATGAATTTAATTCTTTGTTTTCTTGTCCCAGAACCCTTAGTAAGTGATATTTGCATGTTAATGACGCACCTGGTTTCACCCAAAAAACTACTAACATATTTCTTTTAGTTTATAAAAAAAATGTCCCCACTTAATTTTATTGCTCAAATCAAATAAATTTAAAAAAAAAAATAATTTAATTAAATTTGCAAATTTAATTCTGTTGTATATGTTTTATTATTGTGTAAAGATAATTTAAAGCTAAAATATTTTTAAGGATGTGAAGCCACCATACACCTTTCATTAGAATATCTAATGATGCTTTTGCCATTTTAAATTCAAGACATTTAATGTCATAGGGTTTTAAAGGTGCCATTTGTACACAAAACTTTGAAAATATTTATTCTTTTATTAAATTATTTTTATTTTCTGATCAAACAAGGAATATAATATTGGTTTTAAAATGATGTTTATTATTTATTTTTATTTAATACTGTGTACAATTCTATCAGAAATCTTGTTCGGAATTACAAATGTAGGACCTATTCTGAAAGGAAATTTTCCTGAAGAGGTACTTTAAGGAGACCATGTTTTGATTTTCTCAAGGGTTTTTATAATAAATGGGAAACACGTAGGAAAAATAGAAGAATTTATGAAGGTATTATTTTCAAATTATAAATAACTTTCAAAACATACATGTAACTGAACTCTATTTAGAATTATTTTTCGTTAGTAATGATTAATCTTTGAGTATATGTATACATTAAATTTCCCCTCTAACTTCCCATCTAATGTCTGTTTATTTTTTTATAATAAACATACAATTTATAAAATATCAAATTTTGATTTTGGTCACCTCATCCAAGTAATCTTCTTAATTTTTTATTCTTTATAATATTCTGTCTCTTATTATTGTTATTCTTTGATTCATCAGTTTTTTCTCATTGCTCTCCTATATAATAGTATTTCCATGGTGTATTAAAATTATTTGTATGATTTAAACACTTGTCAACTCCAAAATCTTAATTATGTTATACAGAATGATTTACTATGCATGCTCACTCTATTTTTTTGGTTAAATTTTTAAAGTTTGCATACATTCAAATTCTGATTTTTGGAATTTTGAATTCTTTGAATTTTTACAAAATGTATAAAGTATTCTATGGTGATATTAACTTTCGTTTTTCAAATGAGAACCTATATTCAAAATTCCATAAAAATACTGAGTATTAGTTTAAATACATTTTGGTGTCAACATTTCTATCAACCTATTGATGAGATATTTCATTTTTAAGTTTAGGTAGGAGATTAGTAGAGTACTAATAAAAAGTCCCGTGCTGTGCCACCACATAAATGATACTCCACTACTCTCCCTTGAACTTAACCATGGAAACAGGGTTTGTTACATAATGCTTGTATCAGAGTAAAAACTTATACTTTTAGAAAAAAAAGGGCAAGGATTGGTCTAATTGTAAACACACTTGTAATTTTATATACCTCAGAGTACTTTTGGCATAAATAAATGGAATATTTAAAATAAATATAATTCTTTTGTAGAATGGTATATTAATGGAAGTGTTATATAATTATTCAAATAGTTCAAATTCTAAATTAATACAAATATTATAAATATATCTAAGGATTACAAATAATTTAAAGTATACAAGTCTGGTAAAAATTTTTTTTAGTAAAAAAGTATAAAATATCAGATCAACTATTTTTTTTTTGGATTTTAATAACTACTTATTATTAAAAAGATATATATGAAACATATTCTTTTAAATCAAAAATTATCTTTTAATCTTATTTCTATGAAAAAGGTTTATGAATTATTTGTCTAAAAATCTAATTGTTCTATTTAAACATTAATGAACTCTTATAATATAATATTTGGACGGATAATATAATATTTGGACGGATAATAAATCATTAAATAGCTTAATAAAAGTAAAACCATTTAAAAATTCAAGTGAACATAATAAAGATATGCAGAAATTAGGATTGTTAGATTGACACTAGTAGCAGCAATGCTTGAACTTTTTTGATGTGATGATTGTTGGCCACAAGCTGGTGGGCACACTGGTATTATTGTTTCTGCAAAAAAATATTTTATTAGAATAAATAATAATGTATTAATTCAAATTTCGCTAAACATGTTTTAGAAAATAACCATAATATAAGTTTTGATATTAATACAAACTTAGAAATATTGAATACGCAAAATAACATTTACATAAATTTAGTTTTAGAAAAATTACACATACACAATGAAATAAAAAAAAAAATAATTTTAATAATATTTTAAATGTTCAAACTGATTTAAAAAATTATATTTTAAATCAATACATTTTAGATAATAACAAATTACTAAATAATTTATATTTTTTTACATACCTAAGTCTAATAATAACTAATTTTAAATAATCTCTCATAATAAAATCAATTATTTCTATATTCTATTTAAAATGATCAATTTGTATAATTTTTTTTCTATATATTCCTTCGTTTAATTTTTTATATTCAGTTGCGTTTTATATTTTGACTGTGATATACCTGATGAATTTTTAATTTGAAACCAGTCGTATAATACACTTATTATAATACCCCAGGGACCGTATTCATTCATTTATTAATTTTATTTTGATATTTATTTACAAGTATTAACCATTTTAATAATTTTATTTGGGGTTTTTTTTTTTAGAAACAAGAAAAATTCTAAAACCACATAACCTTATTGGAGATCAAACTAGAAAAAAAAAAATTAACATACCATAAAGATTGACAACACTTTCAGCAGTTCCCAAAACATTTGTAGCTTTGCAAATGTAATCACCATATTGACGCTTTTCAATAGTAATGACACGTATTGTTGTGTCTGTAAATTCATCTGCAGTAGCAAAATGTGATATCCTAAACATTGAAAAAAAATACATGTATTAAATTATAATTACACGTGTTACAGTTTTTAAGTAATAATCATTTACCTATAATGTTGATTATTAGACAGTGTAATTCCATTATTTAACCAAACAATAGCTGGTGGAGGATATGCTTCAATATGACATTCAAGATCCATGTCATACTGTAAAGCTTGTCCAAGACGAGGTTTAGGAACACTTATAACCGGAGCAAATTCTACCTCTACAGCAATATTACGTCTGGCACCACGTCCAACACCATTTTCAGCCACACAATAGTATGTACCCCTGTCTTCTTTCGTTATAGCGGGAATTTTTAAAATGTTACCTCTGTAAAATTAATTTTTTTATCAAAGTTAAATATTTTCTTATACCTATCATTGTTTTATAATTGCTTTATTTACCTGTAAATTGATCCACCTGTAGGTAAAATTGCATTGTTTTCTCGTCTCCATGAAATTCTCGGACTAGGAAAACCACCAGCATAGCATTCTAATTTCACTGGTTGACCTTCATTTACAACCAACGATCTTGTTGAATTATCAGAAATAATAGGAGGAAGACGCACTTCCAATTCAACTTCAGCAGATATTTTATTATTTAACCCAAGCACTACTTGACACCGATAAAAACCTGCATCAGTCTCTTGAATATCCTTAATCTAATAATTAAAATTTTTGTTAAATTTATATGTTAAATATTTGGATAATCATTTGTAACATAAGTTAATGGTTTAATACCTGTAATGTATAACTGGTGCTGTCAATGTCTTGCCTTAATGAAAACCTCGAGTCCTTGATAATCAATGTACTACCAGTTGAAAGTACAACGGGTTCGGTAACTTTTCCTCTATCAATTTTCAACCACAAAACTGGGTATTCCATAGCATAGAGAACTGAACATGTTAATTCTGCAGTTCCACCAATATCCTTAATAGGTTTTTGAGTAATATGAGATATTGTTGGTGTTCTTTGAGAAAATACTGAAAATAAATTGAACAATGATTTGAATAAATTGAATAAATAAATAATCAGTACGTAAAATGAATATACTAATTATTTTGTTATAGCATATAGTATGGGATATAAAATAGATATACACCAAAATCTACATTTGACTGACAAATCTTAAAATCTTGTTTATAAAATTAAAAGTATTTTGGTCTGTTGGCCATAGAAATTTTCAGTGAAATTTACAAATAGGAGACATAGTAAATTTGTATTCAGTAGGACATATTTTGTGACATTAGTTTTAATATTAAAGCAAATTGACATATAATCAAAATTAAAGGTAGATGATCTCTAGAGCATATATTTTTAAATGAGATACGAGTATGTTAAATACCTCAATTTAAAAATGATTATATCTTACTTGAAAATTAAAATATCGAAAAAAACATCAATGCTAGGGTATATATAATCTTCTTATTCTTTTAAGTTTGGTAATAAGTTAATTTGCTTTAATATTAAAACTATTGGCACAAAATATGTCTTACTGAATGCAAATTTGCTAAGTGAGACAGTAGATGTTGGTGTGGCATCCTCTTAAGTTAATACAGTCATTATTTTGTAATAACATACATGAGATACTAAAAAATGATGGTATACATTATATTCAATAAAATATATGAATTAATATGTAATTTATTATACAAATAATAATACATATTTGAACAAATAAAAATATCAGGTAGTTAAATTAATTTGTATGTACAAATAATAAGATATTATGATTTATAGATGTTTTATGTTTTATGCAGTGCTTGGATTCTTAGAAGGTTCGTTTTAAAAAGGAATTAATTAATGTTGATGTCTGGGATTGGAACTTTTATGGTTTTTTCGGTTTTAAGAAGTCATTATAATAATAATAATTTATATTTACAGAAATTAATTTCCAATTTCAAAATAATAAATTGACAGTTTATATATATATATATATATATATATAGTGAAAAAAATAATCTATTAATACTAAATAATAAAATTAAGTTATCATACAAAACAAACAATTTATGTAATAAATTTATACAAGAATTAATGGAATTATAATATATTATACAAAATAAACTAAACTATTATTAATAAATTAAGGATGTAATGAAATATTGTAAGATAGTAAATAGTATTAATTGGATAAAATATTTGAAAAATTAAGTAGTGTTAAATATATCTAAATTATGAACTGAATTACCCACGGCCATAAGAACTTTTGTTGGGGTGTATAACATGTATTTTTTATCAACCAGTGAAGAAAAAAATAATGATTTAGTTCTTGAACATGTTTGGTTTAATCTAAAATTTAAATGCTTAAGAAATTCAGAATAACTTTATTCATAAAAAAAATCTACAGTTCAACACATTTATTCTTTTATCTAAAGACATTATACCTAAATCTTCACATGGGACAAACAGGACAAATTAATGTATTATTAGTCAATGTTAAAACATATTTATGGCTTACTTAATATCATTATACCTAATAATACTAGTAGGTACTAGTTTTTTTTTTTTAGAGTTGTAACTATATTGTTATTAAATATAAAGAAAAAAAATATCTAACAAAAATATTTAATCCCCAGATTAAAAGGGTTTATGAATAAATAAATGATGTATACAATTTCTAAAAAAAAAATTAAGTATACCTAATTCTAGACAAAAATAATTACATATTATTCAAAAATTATTTAAATTAGGTAAATTTGTTTAAGATGAAAATCTTTTTAAAGATAACAAAATATTATCTTGATGAGAAAAATTGATCATATTCTTCTAAAAATTCACAAAATACCTATTCCTGATAAATTGTATGTGAATGAAATCAATGAAATTCTTTAAATCACTAGCCAGTTGATTTTATGTACTGATGTAGGTACTGTAGAAAATATTACCATTGTTATTTCTCACAATATCTAAAGCGTATCAATATTACTTAAGTAACTTAGGTACATAGGTACTATAATATAGGTCTAGGTCCATCTTTAGATACAAATTAAATAAACAAAAAAAAATTAAAATATAAAACGTTAAGTCATTAAAATACTAACCAACAAAATCATTTATAATACTCTAGAATAAATAATAATTAATACATTAATTGTTAGATAAATAATGTTAAGTATGTATACATATATATTGTAGCATTCTTCAGATTTAGTTTATTCGGTTTATACTCGCATACCATTGAAAAAGCAAGTAGGCACAATATCACAAGTTATTCATAGGGAAGTTAAAAAATGAATATTTTCTTTAAGATGTTATAATTTAAATGAATTATCCTTCCCAAAATTGAATCAGTAAGAACTAGATATTTGTTAGTTGGTACAATAGTTATAGACAAATGAAATAAAACACTCAACTAGTAATATTATCATAGGTAATTAACGATAGGTTAGAAACATATTAATACGAAACGACATTATTTTAATTGCATGGACATTATCTGGAAAATAAATATCACTTACCTAAATTTATAGTGAATACTACAAACAACCCGTAAAAATTAATCATTTTGGAAAACATTTTTATGAACGATATTTATTATTTTGTTTGTAACAAATAGTGAAATACGTAGTCGAAATGAATGGTGTTAATAGTCAGTCATCTTAATAATAGAAAATATGAAAAACAATTAATTCGCAATACACGATAACTACGGAATTGAGTGTCTGACAATGGAACGGTAGGAACAATTTATTCGGCTAGGTTCGCGGTAGTGCGTCCATGATTGTTGTTCATTGTTAGGTATACTTTAGTAGACGCCCACCTGCGGAATGCACCTGTTATCACCAATAAAGCTTAATCTTAACCATATATTTACACTATGGTTACAACGGAATATTAATTTGAATCGTTATGTGTACCTGATAACAACGATGTATGAATAATTAGAACTTGGGTTATTTAGATCCCAACCACGAATTAAGATATCTTAATTCGTGATCCCAACTATACCTTTGGTAATAGTGAGGATCTAGTCACAGAATAGATGAATCTAGTAGTATCGTGATGCTTATAAGCAAAGCGTACATTGTTAGAGAACCTTATGAAAATCCTGTTTTTAACGAGATAACAATTTCATTATCAGTTAGTAAAAAGTGTTTTGTTTTATTCGTATTTTATTATTTTTTTATTTACTTAACTATACAACTATTTAAATTTTTAGAACTGAATAGTAACACTAAATTTTATTATTTATTGATGTAAATAACAATTAATTTTATTATAATTTGTTTTTTAAGTTACAACAGACAATGAAAACAAAGTACTATGATTTATGCATACAAGATAAATTGTAAGAGCAAAAATAATTACGCATGAATGTCATATGTATCTCAAATTTCGTAATTTATTTATTTTCATCCGACGATTGTTCTTCATGTTTAAATTTGTATGTAGCATATGGAATAATGTATTTAATTATGAAACAATATTTTGTCCTTAAATAATAATTTGATATTAAATTTAATATGTACCTCACTTACCACCTACCTAAAAAAATTATTTCTTACATACATGTTATATTTAATGTAATTTAATTGGTATTTTAAATGCCAACACATTTTTTTCTGATTATCAATTTGGTTTTTATAAGGCAGGTCAGTTAACAATGCACTTATTTTTGTAAATAAAATACATTCATGAAAATCTTGATTTGAGTAACAAGACTATGGGTATTTTTCTTGATGTAATGAAGATTTTTGATAGTATCAATCATGAACTATTACTTGAAAAGCTTTATTATGCTGGAATTAGAGGTACTGCTAATGACCTTATAAGATCATATCTTACTAATTGGATGTAGGTAGTTAAAATTAATAATAAATATAGCAGTTTACTTAATTTAAACCATGGTGTACCAGGGGGGCTGTACTTGGACCCATTTTCTTTATATAAATGGATTGCTTAATATTAACGTAGATGCTAATATTGTGTTTTGTAGATGATACTATTATCCTTGTAAATGATAAAAATATTAATAAATTATATACCAAAGCCTAATAAAGTCTTTGTAAAAATAAATTTATACTTTAATAATAATCTTTTGGAATTAAATCTAAAAAATCTTAACAAATTATTTTTAATATTCAAAATACACATCAAATTATTGAACATAAACTATGTATACATAGTACAAATTTGTCAGTGTCAAGATAAAATTTAATAAATTCATCAAAATCATCTGAATATGAAATGGATAACAGACTTTGAAATTCTAGAAACAATTTTTCGATCGATCAATCAATAATTTGATTAAAAAATAAATAGTTTCCAATTCGTGTTTCCGTTTAAATGTATTAACTGTAGTAACACTGATACTCGTGGAAGCAGATGCAAAAAAGTTAGTTATTTTATTTTGCGACATTTTAATATTGTAAATTTATGAATGAAATAATGTCAAAATATGTGTTACAAAAATTATAATTATATTCTGATAATTTGAATGGGTCTACCTATTTTTCCCACAGTACTTTTATTCTACGAGTTTGTTGAGGAGTTGTGTTGCGATCAAAATCATCATTTTCTTGATATAGAGAGCTGTAGCTACCGTATTCAGAATAATTGGAATTTGAACTATGACTTTGTGAACAAAAACTTGATGAAATTTTCGCTGCTATTGTGATCTTGTGCTGTAATGTCAAACTGCCCATTTCCGCCTCAAAAAGGATATCATTCATTAACTTTTCTGCAACAATTCCAAACTAAGTATTTTTAGCCATGATAATACATATATACAATACATTGATATCAAGTGTCCATGGAAGAGGTTTGAACCCCCTGAGAACGCTCATTATTAAATTAAATTTAATCATTATTCACCAAGTTATCTATTTAACATACTCTTCACAGGAGTACAGTAGTAAGATACAGTCGGCTGGTAGGTGCAGTATAACATGTTACGTGTATGATACATTAATATTATACATTTGTATCAATATATTAATATTAATATATGCAGGGATTCGGCAATGCCTAGATGTCAAGATTTAGTGTTTAATACCTAATAGATGTTAGAAAATAATTTAAGAAGACAATTTATAACTCTACACTTTTATTTATTATTATATTATGTAGGAAAAATTTAAAAATAATTAATAAATAAAATGAACCTTAATGGCAATACATTAAATTCTTTGTAGTTTTCCAAAGTAGATCCTTGCTGAGCAATTTTATTTAAATAAATTCTAACAATATTACTATTAGTATAGGTATTCATTATGTTACCTCGAATATTACCATAATAGAAATAATACTACCATAGGTATCCAGCCGTGAAACTTCAAATTTTTAAATTATTATACATGTAGGTACCTGTTATTATGTTGAAAAATTGAAAAACAAATTAATAAAAACAATAAACCTAATTAAATAGTTTTTCAAAGTAGATCCTTGCAGAGTCATTTTATTTAAATAATATTATTTTAATGCACTATTAGTTTAGGTATTCAGTACCTATGTTACATTGAATATTAATTTACTATAAATCATACTACTGTGGGTATACAGTTGTGAAACTTCAAATTTTCATATTATGTGTAGGTAATTGATATATTATATACCTACCTACTTACTTAATAGTAAGTAATAGATTAAGAAGACGACATTTTATTTTTTATACAGACTCTGTAAACTAACAACAGTAATAATATATCTCGCAGTATTTTGATAACAGAGCAATGAAACAAATAATAACCAATTGTTAACTAATTTATTGTACTGTATTTTGTATACATACATAATGAGGACTTTATACACATATTAATGAATAAAACAAATTTTAAAAGAAGTTTATAATTAAGAGTTATTATTTACCAGGGCGGATATCGGAGGGGACTTGGGGGGGGGGCTTAAGCCCCCCAGAATGTAAATGTCAAAATAAAAAATTATGTGTTTCAATATTTGATATTTATAATTTTTATTTCATTTTGTTGAGATACGAGAATGGTCTGGAATATTCACGGCTTCTTGAAAAAGAAATTTCTAAATCTATTAATACTGAAACAATTGTTAATATATTTGCACAAAAAAATGGATATATACAACTAAAATAAAAATAATTTAGTAGCTATTCAATATTTTATTTTTTTATGTTCCTATTACCTATATATATATATTTGGTGCCTCAGCTAGAATCAAGTAGGAGTAGCCACTACAGTTGGTAGTTGGAAGCGTTAGAAGCGACTAAAAATATTTGTTTCCACAAATGAATAAGACAAAAATGCTAAGCCCCCCCCCCAGATGAAACCAAATATCCGCCAATAATTATTTATTAATTATTAGTTTATAATTTAATAAGAAGTTATAATATAATAATATAATATTAACCTAATATTTGAGTCAATTATTTTAATATAGATACTGGCTTTTGTAGATCAGAGAATATTGTCGCATATTTCAATACTGTCACATAAAACGATATATGTATAAATAATAATCACCAAATAATTTATATACAGATTATATAGGTAAATACAAATAAATAAATATAAATGAACACATATGCATACAATAAAATGATCTGTAAGCAGTATTTTGTTATTATATATACACCAAGGGTAATTGCATTGATTTTTATATTTCCCACCGATTGCAGTACTTGAACTGTAATAATGTAACGGTTAGTATTACCGGTACCTACCATCTCAACGCCATTATTTACCCCTAGTAAGTGGGTACCCAGTAATGGCACCAAACTTATTTATTATTATTAGGTGTGGTTACTGCCTTGATTACATTAATAAAAACAGATATATAATATATATAAATTATATATTAATTAATATATAATATTAATTAATAGTTTTACGATAAATAACCATTAGTACCTAACAAAATTTCTAAATCTACAACAGTGGCTACAGCTGGTTCACGGTGTTGTACGCAGGCTATACAGAGTGAAAATATATGTAGGTACACGATAGTATTATTATTTAACTATTTTTGGATACATTTGAGATTCTATATTTTTGTAGTGGGACGCATTGATTCATACGAGCAGCGGCGCTAAACTACTTTTTTGTATGCGGTTCTACTGTACTAGTGGCGTATTTACGGGTGGATTAGGGAGACCTAACCTATCACTTTTTCAATAGCAATGCAATATTAAGTACCGTGCCCAGCAAAATCGGCATCCGTGCGAAATTTACCCACGAGCAACAAAAAAAAAAAAAATCTGTCCGTTGGTTGTTGGGGATTCATTATTTGAACGTTTATTGTAAACATATTCAATTACAGAACGTTCACAATTTTCATTGGCAATCCTATAGTCATAGTGTCCGGTGCAGGGGCATCTATCGTACTCCTCTAGGCACACCCCTGTTAATATTTTTACAAATCTATTTTTAAATTCACAGTTCCTTACTATAAAAATTAAATCCGCAATTTAATGTATTGATACTTTTATAATTAATGTAACAAAAAAACTGGGGACGTGTGCAACCACTGTTATAGGCAATTTAATGTATACCTGTGAACAACGATAAACCATTGCTAACCAAATAAGGATTCTGAGCGGAGTTCAGTTGATAGTGCTATGCTATAATATATAAAATGTCATATTATATGGTAAAATAATTAAGTAGGCATTATACTTTTATATTTTCTTTAATAATATTTGTTTAGTGTACCGATTTCTCTGTTTTATTCCCGGTTGTTATTGATGTTATTGTGATATTTAGAATTCGAATCAAGAGAAGTATATAATACAATATAATATATAATACATAATACATAATTATTGCATGTTTAAATAGTCTATAAATTAATAAACCTAATGAATTTTACTATTGTTGGTAAATAGTAAAACCAATGTGTGATTGGCTGGTTTCGTGTAAGAAATTGGTTTAGTTGTGAAAGGTCCTTAAATAATTATTTTATATTAATAACCTTCAATGAATTGTCTATATTGATAACTGATAATAATCAATTTTAAATTTTCACATTGCCTAATATAAATTTAATTTGTTGTTTTTGAATAATATAAATTATTTTATTCGATTTCATAATACCTTTTCAAAAAGAAAAAAAAATGTTTACTTCGGTTGTTGAGCTAATTGACATTTTAAGTTTTATCGGCGACTTTAATCGACTTCAATCGATTGATTGAGTAGGGTACGCAAATAATGACATTTAACCACACGGATGTGTGAAAAATAATAACAAAATATTAAGAATTATCGCTGTGTCTTAAAACTAGTGATCTCAGTGGAGAACCTAGGTTTCTATGTTTTTATGAAGTCTATGGAATTGTTAAAATCACACTCATTACATAACAACCATATTAAAGTACCTACTTATGTTACTCTATATTAATTTAACAGTTAGTAGGTATTCTATATAATTTGAGTATTAGTTCTAAATTAGAATAATAACTTGTTGTAAATAATAAGAAATCATCTTTTAATAAAATGTTTGCTGCACACATTAATATTATTTGAAGGAGAATTAGTAATATTCATTTTTAAAACATGCTCCCATTTCTTTTTTAGGATAACATTTTTGGGAAAAGTGCGGAAAGTCTTCTTCGGACATATTCTCGGTATTGACCGTTAATTGCAAATCAAATAATTATTTTGAATATGTTTAAACAGAGAATATAATTTGTAAATTTAGTAGAAATAAGTTAATATCTTACATTGTTTTACATTGTGGAACATGACAATATTTATGTTTTTTGTGAGTTTTTGGTGTTGTGACACAATAAGAATGATCCATAATTATGGGCTGGCAGTTACTAAATACGAAAGTGTAATCAAAATTAAAACACGACATATTATTAATAAATTATGATAAATCGGCTAAATTAATTCTGAATACTTTCAATTTTGTATTTTATCAATAATTCAGTACTCATGTCAGCCCCGTTACTATTAGCCAATACCACCAGATGTCAGCCGCTTCGCTTTCTATCGCGAATAGCTAATAATTAAGCTATGGTTAATTTTTAAAATAAAATACTTTTATTATATAGCATAATTAGTTTCAAGGTTATCCTATGGTATACCACAGTGTATACACAATCAATGCTTTTGTGGTAAGATAACGAATATTTTCTATTAAAATACGGTTAGGTTAAAATATTTTTCCACCAAAATACGTTTCGGCTAAAATATCTTTTATTTAAAAACATTTTGCGTATTTATTACTTTTTGGATAAAATATTTTTCTATTGAAATATTTTTCGGATTCTATATTTTCAGCTGAAATATTTTAGGATATTATTTATAATTATTAGTTATACATAAATTTATTCTTATATTTATACTTAGATAAGAAATCCTTCTTGAATCAACAAAATCTTATCATAAAATTGTATTGGTTTTGATAATCGTGTAATCCTCCGTCCTCACTGTTTTACTCCTCACACTGGAGCACCGTACTGGATGACATTCACGAAATCGAAAACGCCTTGACTCAGTTTTTAAAATTATTAATGACCTATAGGTTCTACCTAAGTACTCAGATCAATAATATTCACCGTCGTTAGATTATAATCAGTTGATTTTTTTGTTATTTCCCAATTAAACAAAATATCTATCCAATGGTTCTTATCATTAAAATACCTGAATTCGATTTTTGTTAATATTTTTTATTTTTTTTGGACTCGTATATTCAACATAAAATAACTATGTCTTTCAGTTTCATAGTATTGACTTATATTTTTGCCATGATATCGGATGCAATTTTGATATTTTTTTCAATATTTCACGTAAGTATACTTATTTTTTTAATAATTTGATGTGCTAATAATATTGAGTTATTTTTTCCTTTAATTATTTTTACAAAGTCACTACGATATAACAATATATCAATTTACAAGTTTAGATATGTGATTACAAAAAAAAAAAAAAAACCTTAGACACTTAGTTATTAAACATAAATTACTCGAAGAAATAACAATTTATAGTTGAATTAATATTTTTATGAATTGGAATATTTTTAATCAAACCAGTAATTTTTTATAATTTGGTTTATAAGTTCACTCATATAGTAGATAAATATTTTCATTGTAGAAAATTGTGGAAAGTATAATAAATATTGTATCATTATCATTACTTTACTTTATAAATAAATATTTTGTCATTTCAATTAATTTGTTATTTTCCTAATAAATGTTGAAGTGTAGTGTTAAGTTATGTATTCATATATTATATTGATTCAACTAAAACTTATCTGTTCACAATATCAAGTTAGTTTTATTTTCGTACCTTATTCTAAATAAATAGGTAGAGTCTAATCATGGCTATGCATTCAAAATACATTTGAGTAGTTTGACATTTATAAATAATTAAATATTGTATTTGTCAATGGATACAATATTACATTTTTTAATTCATGTATATCGGGTATTTAGTTGTATTTATAAAACAAAATAACACATATAATTGTTATAGATTATTTTCAGTTATTATTAAAATGTACATTGTATATTATATTTATATAATATATTTACTATACATTTTATTGTTGGTAAATGTATATTATTTATTATTTATTATACTTATAGAATATACATTTTTGATTTATTATACTTGTTACAAATATAAAACTGGGATGGGATTTAACAGGGCAGAACATAAATGAAAAACAAAATAAAATATTTTGTACCACAGGTGCACCATCTATTAGTTAGACTGATACAGTAAATGTGGATATAGCTTGCAATTAAAAGGTGGCACGAGCCAGATGAAAATGGTCATCAGTTACCTATTTCTGATATAAAAATGTTAAAATATTTTTTTAGATTCTGAGTGGAGCAAAGAAACTTATAGTTTTATAAAAATGTTTATTTTATTTTTGTTTTTTTTGTAGACAATTTTTCTACCAGAGAACTTGTTTTGATTTTTACGTGTAGCATTTTTTCTGAAAGGAAATCGGCGTGGAGAGGTACTTTAGGGGCGTAATTTTTCGATTTTCTCAAGAGTTTTCTCAACAAATGTTAAAAACTGAAAAAAAAAACCGAAAAACTAGGTACATTTTAATTTTGGAATTGGAATAATTGGAATTTCACGATAATATGACATATATATTGTTGACAAAGCAGCACTATTAACTAAACTACGATTAGAATCTTTTTTCGTAAGAAATGGTTTATTGTTGCTTACATGTATACATTAAATTACCTATAACAGTGGCTACATCCATTCCCATTATCCTAGGACATCTTTTTAAAATTTAAATTATTTGTTTGTTTTAGATTATTGCATTTGATGAACTAAAGACCGATAGTAAAAATCCTATAGAACAATGTAACAGCTTAAATCCTGTAAGTATCATATAATTAAATATTATAACTACTAAATTAAATATTATTTGTATAGATCACATAAATACATTTATGGCTTATACTCTAGTTACAGTAAAATTTTACCCACCAAAAATTGTCATGAGTTGTGTATACTATATACATGTATACTTCTAGATAGTAACTAATACTTAGTGTTAGACAATTAATATTAATAAAACAAGATTTATATTTTTATTGCTGGTAAAATATTCTTCAAGTGTCAATACTCATAATTAGAGTTAAAGAATTAGTTTTATATTCGCTTAAATTTATAAAAAGACTCTTAAAAATGTTAAAAAAAACCTTAATAAAGCACTTAAAAACATTTAACAGAGTAAAAATGATAGGCGTTGAAAATTCCTCCGTTAATCACTTCAACTTATTAAATTAAATTTCCTTACCCTATTTATTTATTTGTATGCTAAAACAGGAAACAAGTAATAATGTTTATGACAATTATAACAGTTAATAAAATATAACATTGATAAGGCTATATCAGTAAGAAAATAAGCATAACAATGACAATAATAACAACAATGTATATAAATGTGTTGTTTTTAATTTTTAAGCTGTTTCTCTTTACATACCACGCATATGTCATTAGCGTAAATTAACTTTTTGGAGATAGTGTTTGGCAGGTTGCTAGTATATAAGTTAAAAAGTATTAGGGCAAGATACTTGAGGTAGGCCATTGTTTAGTCTACATTTTCTGCTTGTTTTATTTCCTACGTAGACTGAACTGTCAGTTGTTAAGCATATTTTTGAGATGGTTGTAAAGACTTTTATATGGAATTACTCTCAAGAATTTGAAGAGTAAGCCAGTTCTCTTTCCTGTATCTTACACATGTTTATATATACCTAAAGTAAATTTATTAACAAAATTATATTAAATGACTGAAATTGGTCAAATTTGCATGAAATTCAATGAAAAAGAAAAAAATAATATTGTATTAATAGACAATTTGATTTCCAATTTATTCTCTGTGTATTTTAAATTTGAATTGCCTTTTATAATAATAATTATATTATATATCCGTAATGTAGATTTTAACACTAACACCATTAATATAATAGTGTTTCAGAATTTGCTGTGGAATTTTGTTAAGTAATGTTATTACATAATAATAATATTGTTTAAAATTGCACAGTATATACTGGGTAATTTTAGATACACAAGGTTTATTTAATTATAATGTTTTTGAACCACTGTTTGGTATTATAGTATTTCTTAATGGCATTACACAAACAAATAAATTAAAATAAAAACTCAATCTGTGACTTTTCTTTAGACTTGTCCTATAAATCATTTACTTGTAATTTATCAGTACTTTGAATATATATGGTGCATGTAGAGTAGAGTATATACATAAATACATATTAATACAATAAAAAAATGTTAGTATGGTTTTATCTAGATAACTAAATTATAACTATTATAATTATTATAATTATAACTAAATTCATATTTCTACTCTTTTTTTAATAGGATTTTCTAAATTAAAACAATTTAATTACCACAGTTATATTCAAAAAATTGAATTAATATAATAATATTCTTGTTGTTTATTTGTGTTATTATGATATGATATGATATGCATTTTTATGCGGTTACAGTGGTTTTGTAATTTTTTTCTTATAACTTTGATTAGTAGATGATACATATGTTTATTAATTTGTCCATGTGAAAATAAACAATTATGTTACTAACTATCATTGTCTTTAATCATTTGACTTGGAAAAATGTAAACAACAATTTAATATACAGAGTGATCAACAAACTGTAAGACACTTATTATTTCAGAAAGTATTAACAAGAAGTTGTATTCAATTTCATAAATAGATGGATTATCAGTTTTAATTAATTTTTAATATACATTGTCATTTGAAAATCAAAAGTAGTTAATGATTTTACCCCTGAAAATAAGGGTGACAAAAAAAAGAGTAACATAATATTTTAGAGCTACTTATTCCTTAAATGTTTTAAAAAGCAAATAATGTAAAAAGTTAATACTTTTCAAAATAATGAATGTCTTATATTGTGTTGATCACTATGTATAATCACAGTCAATTTATTTTTTTTTAAAAACATTTTTAATATAACTGTTTCAATTGAAATAATAGTTGTAAATTGTATATTTTATGTATTACAAAAATTAAAATAAATAAACAAATAATGTTTAAAAATTATTTTAACCCACTCATAAAATTATGAGCTCAAACATGTCATTGAAGAATGTTCTCTTTTATTTATAATAATTATTTTGATTATAGGATACTATATTAATATTGTTGAATTTTGATTTTTAGTTGGTTCTTCCAGAATATTTAATACACTTCTCTTTTAATTTTTTATTTTTACTTGGAGGTCAGTGGCTCTTCCTTGCAGTTAATGTACCATTAATGGCCTATCATATTATACGGTGAGAATTTGGGAAAGTAATATAATTTTAATACTATTATATTGTCTTTTTATAGTTAAAAAGTGTTCACATTTAAATTTGTATTTATATACGATAATAAAAACAATTTTTAAACTTTTATTTTAGTTATCAAAATAGACCAATTATGTCTGGTTTTGGTCTTTATGATCCGACAAGTATTATGAATGCTGATAAACTATACAAATACCAACGTGAAGGTTGGGTAAAATTGGCATTTTATTTGTTATCGTTTTTCTTCTACTTTTTTGGGTAAGTAACAATATTCTTAAAAAATAAATGATACACATATATAATATATTTATTTTTGTTTTCCAGAATGATACGATCATTAATAACAGTATAAATCAAAGATATTTGAGCCTTTGTTTTTTACATGTAAATAAATTCATTCCATTAACAGCCAACAAAGATCTACAAATATATTGAAGTCCAGCTGTAGCACTGAGACCTTCTTTTTCAACCACCTTTTGTTTTATACAGCTTTATTGTTCAGAAAATACAATTATATTTTATAAAGTGTAGATTTACTAATATTTGAAAAAAAAAATAATGAATATAATTTAAAAAAATTGTTAACAAAAATTTAATTTTAAAATGATTACAAATTAATATGGCTAATGGTTTAGATCTGGGTTTTGCTTGGATCCCTTTTCATATAAATGATCCAAATTTTTAATTTGTAAACAAAATATTTTTATTTAAAAACTTAATACTTAAGAATTAAAATATTTAACATGTAAATATAACATTTATAACTTAAAGTCTTGTTAAAATATAAAAAAAAGTTACTTCCTTCATTCCATTACTCACTATTATGATTACATTTCTGCAAGACATAATTTTTTATTACAAGTATTATAATATGGTTTTACAAAGTCTGTTGTATAGATGATAACTCTTAATTAAAGTTCTAAAAAATAGTTTCCAATGTTATCAAAGAATATATATGTGCATATATGAGATGTGCAGTATCTAATTATAATGGTGGTTTTAATATATAAGAAATTTCACTGAATCATTTCCCATGTGTGATGTGAGGTTTATTTAAAATAATAACTGTAGTTTATTATGTATAGATAACTACATACACACTACATTATTGTGTAACATATATACAGGCAGTATTGTAAATCTATTGTAGCTAAATTGTAGCCCACTCATACTCTTAATGTCCACTGGGTAAAGTGACTACCATATACTGGGTTGTAAACCATTCTTTTGGAAAAAATGGATATTTACAAAAACAAAATTGAATAATGTATATTTAAAAAGTGCTGATATTGAGGATGGGTGCAGCCATTGTTGTAGGTGAGAAGTTGGGAAGATAGGAAACATAAAGTTATTTAATTTATACCCTTAAACAATTATAAACTAGTGCTAACAAAAAGCAATTCGAAGTGAAATTTCTTTAGGCATATTTTGAAAAGTCTTAACTTTTAGGATTTTTTCAAAATTTGATTTTAAAACACTTGTGAAAAAAAAAAATTAACGCATTAAACTCAAATTTGTTTTCTACACCACCAAATACAATTGTACTATTATATAACTTGTATTACATTTTTAAGCCTTTCTGTAAGTCATACAATAATTAAATTTTTAATCTAATAATAACAAAAAAAATTTAAATGTTTTACTCTTTTCTGTATTTCCTATTCTTCTCAATTTTTCATAATCATTAGGAAAACTATTGATCCAGAAAATTAAACAATGACTTTCTTATTCTTAAACTAGACAAATTTTTGTTTAAAATAATATGCTATTTTTGAAATTTGGAAAAGATTTCTAGTAGAAAACATAGTTTGTAAAAATTAAAAATGATGAAGTCGGTAGCTACAGCTGTAAATATTTGGTGTTTTTTCTATAATTTATTTTTCGGGTTTTTCCCAATATATTGAATACTCATAGGAAAATTAAAATGATTTCTCTGACTAGAATTGAAGAAAGATTTCTTTTTGAAAAGTTATTTACAGACAGAAAAAAACCACAAGTATAACCAATAGGTCATTTTGCTAGGCTATGAATCTAAAATATATTTACAACTTTATTTTATCAAAATATGCTCATCAAAATTAAATAATATTTGTACAAACTGGTTCATATACCTAATTGATAACATATTGACATATTATGTATCTATGGCATTACATAATATGGTCTGTGATAATATTACAAATAGAAAAAATACATAGGTAGTTAAATAATTGGCTAGGGAATTAAATGACCTTTTTAAATTTAGGAAGGTCATTTTATTGTCAAATTAACTGAAATACTTAATAGGGACAAGAAAATTATTATTTTTCTAGTCATTCTTTGTTGAAGCTAATTGGTACGCAGAAGACTTTTTTTGACTTTCGAGGAAATTATTTTCCAGGTTACTTGTCCTTTGCAAAAAGCACGCCGATACCAAATAATAATTGATATATATATTTATTTATATAGGTACCTATTCAGTAGCGTCCTCAGGAATTTTCAATGGGAGAGGTTGCAGCAAATAAAAATCGTGAATAAATCCTAAATTCGGCTTCTCTATCCAAATAGACTAAACAAATCCAATAATTTCTAGTTAATAAATCAATCTTTTCTTTGACTGAAATTTGCTGGGAAAACTCTGGAGAAAATCGAAAATTGACTTCTCTTAAGTACCTGCGCACACCGATTTCCTTTCAGAAATTGTGCTACACGTAGAAGCCGAGCAAGTCTTCTAGTAGAAAAAGTTGAGCGATAAAAAAAAAAAAAAACATCTGAAAAACCATAAGCTTCTTTGCTCCACTCAGAATCTAAAACAAACAGATATACTTCGCACTATTGGTGGGCCATTGTTGTAGGTGAGAACTTGGGAAGGTAGAGGGGATATATAACGTTTATCCTGTATGCAAAGATTAGTCATTGCTAATCAAAACGATTTTGAATGAAGTTTGGTTATATATGTTTTGAAAGGACGTAATATTTACGATTTGAAAATAATACATTTCGTAAATTTTCCATTTTCTGATTTCCATAGCCTTTGTAATTTTCATCTATAAGGTTCCTTAAAACAAAATTCTCCAGATGCCATATGTGTGGCAGGCCTAATCTATTTATAATGTTATACCAGTGCCAACCCAATAGATTTCGGGGGGCCCGGTGCAGAATTTTACAGGGCCCTCATATATATTTATTTTATTTTCTAAAGGACTCACTTTATCTTCATATAATTTTATAAACTTTAAGGTCTTGTTAGAAATCTAAATGTGTACCTTTACTTACATAAACTGATCAAATCAAAGTTATATAATTATATTAGACACATGATGAGTAAGTATATAATATTCCTTAAGCATTTTTTTTCGTGCTTTTTTTTGACGCAAAGAGATCAATTGTCTCATTGTAGCTCAACGAATCAGCAATACTATTTTCGATGCTGATAAATTATCTTTGAGTGTTTTCAAGCCAATAACAATGTATTTAGCTGTATATAACTGGTACCATCTTGATTTTCGTTGATAAAATCCCGTGTCCTAAGAAAACCACACGGCCACACAGGTCGCAATTTGCGTACTATTGGGACAATATAATTATGATTATTTATAGAAAAAGTGATATTCGGAATACATAATTTGCGGGGCCTAGCACAAACACGAGGTCTGGTGCGGCCGCACCGCGTGCCCCCCCCCAAGGCCGGCACTGTGTTATACTACAATAATAAGACCAAAGCGATTCTTAAACTTTGTACGTTTATAAGTAGATAGGTACACATATTGTATAGGTTAATTTTTCTTTTTGGTTTTTGATTTTAAATTTCGAGTGAAGCAAGATTTGTATATGTATATGTTTTACTTTGATGTTTTTTTTTAATAAACAACTTTTCGACCAGAAATCTTACTCCAATTGAAAAATAATAAGAAACTTTTTTTTTGTTACATTTTGAATCTAGTTAGTAATTAATTGAGTAGGTTTTTGATTTTCCAAGCAGTTTTCTTAATAAATGAAAAAAACCGAAAAAAGACACGAAAAGAACGGGAAAGTTTACGAAAATATTATTTATATATTAATATTCATTATTTTCTATTTTTGATTTTTGCTGTAATTCGATTAAAAATAATCGTAGATACTATAAATTTTAACAGAAAACTTATATTGGCCTATACGTGGAGAAATGTTCAAAAAATATTTTGAAAATAATTTTGAGTTATTTATAGACAGTATACATTTTCAAGTATTTATACATTGTTTTTTCTGTATTTGTTATTAATATATGGATACAATTATTTGACCAAACAGGTATTCTTGAAAAATCAAGCTTCACACCTACAACTGTAGTGCACCAATTGTAGTATCGGCTATTTTTTTATTTGCCTTGAAGTATTCTTAAAAAATAGGAAACCTGTAAATTTTGTTTTATTTCTGGGTTCCTTAGCAATAAAGAAAAATATAGCATGCTATAAAATATAACTTTGCTCAGAATCATTTTTCATTAGCAATATTTTGTCGTTAAATACATGTACATTTATAAATTAAATTACCTGCTCTATAATATTCCTTCCAACGTTCCTCCTAAAACAGCGGCACACCCATCAGTATAATTTAAGCCTTTTTTCATATATAAAACTGAATATTAAAAGTTAATTATAAATTATAATATTATGACATTGTAAATAAAATTACATTATTTATAGCGAGTAGAGTAGGTACATTATATTTTGAGTAGGTCATCATACAAATATAATGTCATATTTTGTTCTTGTAATTAAAAACTAAATAGTATTTTTCAATTTATCATAATTTGTCCAACTAATAAATTTACTTAATAGTAATATAATGAATGGAAGATGTCAGCGCAAGCATTTTTGAACAAAAAAATCTCGTATAAACAGCCTGTGGGCTGTAATGTAAATTAGTGAAAACAACTTTTCCTACGGCTTGACAACTACATTTAACTAAATAAAAATGTATAAAACAAATTTTTATTACGGTTTTTTTTTTTTTAATGTACCTAAAAGTCATTTTTTTTATCATGAAAATCAATACCTAGATATAGGAATGTCAAATCCTAATTATTGCGGTTATCTTTGATGTTCGATAACTCTATAATCACATTTAAGGGTATAAGTTATTATTTTTATTTTTTTGAAATTTAATTTAAATACGAACTTTTAAATTCATATAATAAAATTTTTCAACAAAAAAGTCATTACGATTTAACCCAAAACCCAACAAATAAAATAGTTTGTTTCTATTAGACAAAAATATATTTATACTACTTTTCTACTAAAAGTTTTACTCCGATTTTCAAGTGTAACACTTTTTGTAAATAAAAATCTGACTGGGAAAATACTTTAAGGAGGTCATTATTTGGTTTTCCCAGGGGTTTTTATAATAAATGGGAAAAACCGATAAAATACGTCGTTGTCATTGGTAGATAATATTTCTAAAAATAACAATGAATTTCGCGGTGACATATATGTATGAATATATTATACACATATGTGTATGTTACGGGCAAATCTTAGAAATGTCCACGCAAAACGCCACGATAGTTGGACTAAATGTCATATTTCGGCTTTTGCCTGGACAAACCAAGCTGTGACCAACCTCATTTGGGCAAATCTGTAACGTCCATAAATTTATTTTATACATATTATAAATAAATAAATCTAATAAACAATTAT